TCAAAAGGCATTGGGAACAACACCCCAGACACTGCAAAACCCGTTTCCCATAGATAAGACAGTCGCTCTAGACTTAAAAAATCTGCAGACCAATCTGTGTACAGCTTGGATCGGCCAAAAGAAAACTTATGATTTAATGCCTCATACTTGAACCTGTAAATGTCTGGCTCTACACAAAGTCACTAGGACTTTAGTTCATTGAAAACTCAACTAGACTGTGGAAAATGACATTTGAAATCAATTTAAAGCAGCTTGTACAAGTGACTATCAAGTTGGCATATGCCAAGCCGATGCATTCTTCCTATTGTTCTGCACAGGTCTAAATCTTCTCAGTCAGATGATCACGAGAAAAATATAGATAGAAATTAAAATTAAACTACCATCAGCCATCTTCTCTACATGGGTTAGATTATCACTCGGATTAGAGAAAGGTGGCCGGATGGTAATAAAAAGGAGAGAAGAATGATTAATGAACCTGCCATCAGAACATATAGCGGACATGCCTAGGAGTACTTTGCTATCCCATAGTCACATGGTAACCCATGATGAGGATGCAACTTTTAAGCAACAATAAAGCATAAGATAAATTTTGAAAAATTAGCCCAGCGTGAAGAACAAAAGCCATATCATATGTGCTGTCAGTCATCAGGTACGCAGATAGCGTTGTAAGACTGATAGAGGAAGACACGGAGGCTACTGATGTAAAGAAACTCAGAAACTTCCCACCCAGGAAACCCAGGAAACTACTCACAATACAGGGAAATTTCCATTACAAGTCCAACACACAAAGAATGTGCAAACTCGAAGCATTCAGAAATACATGGTACCAAAGAGAATGTCTAAAGTATGTACAGGCATTGGAAAACGATCAAACGTAGAAAATACCATGGCAAAGCAAGGCCCTCTAATGGTTGCACCATCTACAGATAGTTGTGAAATCCTGTCAGTGGTTGGGAAAATCCAGACTAAAAGGCAACATTGAGATAATGATTATAGCAGTACAGGATCAACACCAAATCCATCGAAATAAGGATCTACTGCATATATTAGACTTTAAATGTAGACTGTGCAAAAATGCCCTAGAAATGGTTCAACATATAGTGGCAGAATATAAAATAGCAAGCAGAAACAATATACGCTAAAAGGCATAACCAGGTAGTTGGCATCATCTACAAGAACATCTATTCCTTATATGGCTTAGATCCTTTCAAGATTAAATGGGAAATTCTTCAAAAAATAGTAAAAAATAATAATGGACGAAAATCCTGTAGGATTTCTTCATCCAGACAGACAAACAAGCACTCGCCAATCAAATAGAAATCGTGGTAATAGACAAGAATCAGAAATCAGCACTGGTGATTGATATTGTAACACCAAGCGATAGGAACGTCAGAAAGAAGAAATGCAAGAAGTTAACGAAATATGAAGGACTAGAAGAGGAAATAAAAAAGATGGGGAAGTGAAGGCCAAAGCCAAAGTAATAATTGGAGCACTTGGAACTATGACCCTACTGCTTCAGCAGATTCCAGGAACAACCTCTGTATCCAGAAGAGCGCACTATTAGGAACAATACCTGAAATACTGCACAGAATCCTCAATCTTTCAGGCCTCTGGTAGAGGACCTGAAGTTTAGGATAACCACGACCACCCACAGTGTGGTGAGAAAAGTTTTCGTTTAAATTTATTTGCTTTTATATTTTTATTATTAGTTCTTTGTTTTAAAATTTATATTGGTTGTATATATTGTCATTCTCGTGAGCGGTTAGGTCGATCTTTTCTCTTCGTCAACAATTTATTTATAGCAATTTAATTATTTATTTCTGCTAAATTCTACTCTGCTTCCATAAAAGGATAAAAGGAGTATATTATTCACCTTATTTTTCTAAAGGACATTTTTCTTTAGAAGTATATTGTTTTTATCGTGGAGTACTTGTAAGATAAGAAGATTTTTTCTCTTGTGACGCTTATTCCAAACGACACCGAAAAAGATGCCAACTAATGAGGTTTGTCGAGAATTTTCTCGAAACTATGAATCATTGTTTATAAAAATCAAAAGGTCATTTTTGCTCTGCTTCTTCCTTTTAAAACGCTGTGTGGGAGTGGGTTTCCCTTTTTTTTTGCAATATAAATAGTTTTTTTTTTTTAAACTCACGTTTTACCTAAACCGTTGTCCCTATATTCAATAAAAATAAAAAATTATTATTTTGTTGTGGTGTGACAGCCTTACAAACCCCGAAAAAGTCACAACAAGGTTGCCTTTATTAAAGATGCCAGCTCCTTATATAAAACTTTCGAGAACTTGAGAACAAAGCTGGCCTCCATTACTAAGAAAAGCATGAGAAGAAACATGAGAAGCAGCAAAATCCAATTTTGTATTTAACTAGGTCTGTTGAAATATTTACCAAGGTCAATAAGGAAATGGTATTAATAATTTGAAAACTTTTTTTGGTTGACAACCTCAAGCCTCCAGAAATCTTAACTGAACAACTGTTCGAAATTACCAACGAACATTTCGAAAAAAGAAGAAAGAGCCATGTTTTGCTGGTATAAACATTCCGGAAAAACTTATGGAAGATGAGACAGTTATTGACTGTTCTTGGCAGAGAATATTGTCGCTGCTGCTGGAATCAAGACTGATTACATTAAGGAAGTTCGTCGACAAGGAAGGAAGGGATCAGGCAAGCCAGGAGCACTCAAAATTCGACTAGTAGATAAGCATATAGCCATGTCTGTTTTACGCACTAAGAACCTACCCCATGACAGCTTTTCGCGGAAAGATTTAACCAAAAGAGAATTTTTAATAGACAAACAATTCTGAAAAGATATTATATTCAGAACCAGAGTATCAAAAGATGTGGTCAGAAATCTTTAAACAGTGGAACTCAAGCAGTCTCACCAATGATTTGTAACGACGAATAATTATTAATGCTAATAAACTACACCAGAACAATATTAGAAGGATGTTAGCCTAACATGCGTCGCTAGCAAGGCACTGGAACGACCGATTTGCTTATCTTGAAGCCAATAATTTCATATCCACCTATCATTTTTTTGGATAAGATTTCGGTAGCTTTAAAATTTTTCTATTAATTATTTTTTTATTTTATGTGAATTCATAAAAGCTAAAACAGACGGCATTACGAGGAATTCAATTTTTGTTTTATTAGGGGAGACCAATGCGTATCCGAAATGGCAACAATTAATCAAAAACTGCGATAAAATAAGTCAGCAGACTCGATTTATTAGGAAAATAAGGAAAGTACTCCCCACTGAATGCTGTTAAAATTGGTTTGAAAATCTTTAAATTCGACTCAGAAGATGATCCGCAAATTAGTAATGGGGATTTGAATTAATCAGCTGTTCCTCATTGCCGCACTTGCTTGAAATTTAGTGGAGATGAGAAATGGGCAAAAGTTGGGGCGATAAAGGGGGATGCGATGCGTGTTTGGGGAAATTTTTAATTTTTTTAATTTTAATTTTAATTTTTATATATTTTATAGTTCCCATTCATATATAAAATAATTTAGTAAATTATCTTTTTTCTGCGCTTTGAATGTAGCAACGTTGTTATTAGAAGTAAAATTCAGCTGATGGTGGCATTTCACTTGTAGCTGTGGCAGTTCTCAAGTGAAAGGGTCTCACGGAATGGGTTCGTCCTGGTAGCCAGTGGAGCGAGACGAGCTGGAAACGATAAGGGAACGACAGAAGCGCAGGTGGGTCATCAGAAAGAATGTTTTCTGAACTGCTGCCACGGAGGTGGTGCGAACCTCAGTGGCAAGTGATGCTAGAAGCCATGATAACGTTAGAAACTAAAAAGTTTGCTCCTCAAAATTGGTTTTTCTTCGCGTGAACCTTGCGTGAAACTTATATTGTAGCGGATATATTCGTCGAAATCACCGATGTTCTTTTGCTTAATTCGCTTCTTATCTTCGACCTACTGCAAAGCACACACAGGAAAATTCATCTCTCGATAATGATTAATCAGTCAATATAATTCGGCGTAAATTAGACGAAACTCTTATATACGAGCTGCAGAATATCACAGTAGGGACAATCCTAATGTGGTTGCAAAACTTAGCCAGCGAAATTGACGAAAAGATGTGAAGAAGCTCGATCCATCTTCACTTGGATTCCATATTAAAAACGAAGTATCGTCTGCGCCGCTGACCGCAGAAATTTATGCACATTTCTCACTATTTGCTAAATTCTGTCCTGGATGATGTCAGTAAGTACGACCAGTTAAGGCCTGTATTAAGGTCAGATGAAGTTTTGAATGTATAAGTGGCTGAATGATGCACTGGCTTCGATTATGGAAAAAGGAGTGGTTTCACTTACTTAAAGGTTTGGCATTGAATCGGAAAAGCCTGGATGGCAGGTCCATCCCATTAGTCATAACCAATTTTCCTCCTTTTACCATCATCCGGATGCATTTCTCTAATCCGAATGACATCCCAATTCCTCCACTATGGATCCAAGTTAGCTGGATAAGACAGTTAATATCTCATTCATATTTTTTTGCACATAACTTGTTGTCATCCATGTAGAGAAGATGGCTGATAGTAATCCCGCTTTTGAATTTGTATTCGTTTCCTTCTCGGGATTGTCTGATTGAGGAGGTTTAGGCCTGTGCAGAACAGTGTGGGTGAATGCATCACCTTAATATATGCCGCACTTGACAGCCATTTGTAAAAATTGTCTCGAGTTGATTTCATTTCGTTTTATTTTTCCAGCCTCCTTTTCCAAGGGAAATAGATTGTTATCTGCTTGATTTTGTCGCAGCAGATATTATTACTATCATTTATTACTATAAATAACTATATTACTATGAAAAATAAATATATATATTGTTAAATATATATATTTATTATTAATACTGATATTTCTATTATCACTGCATATTATTATTTATAAGTCTTCAGTGAGGATCGTCGCTCTGCATTCAGCTGCAGAGTATTTTGTATTCTTTTGGTTTGCCACTGTCGGTTATGGATTTTCAGAAAATGCATCGAAAGAGAACAATCCTGGATTATTTTAATTCAGGATCTGTTGATTCGCCATCATGTTCGGAAAATAAATCAGTTAAACTCGTACCTTTCGATATGCTTAATTGTCCTTCGGAAGTGAAGAAAAGCTCTAAACAACCTCTTAAAATTAAAGATGATGATCGCCAATTGATTATTGATGCTGGACAAAAGAATATTGGAAAACAATTATGTCCTATGGTACATTTTTTTTTGTTTAAATTTTTAAAATTCACTAATTAATCATAGTTAATCATCCTAGTTAATCTTTTTAAAAAAACTTTCGAAAACTTTCGACTTTATGATATTAATAAACTTAACAGATTTTCTTGAGTTTATGAGTTCCTTAAATTTATTCTGATTTGCAGTGTGAAATGGTTTATAACATAGATTCTCAAGCAGATGTAACTGCTCATAAAAAATTCCATTCGCGTTTCTCTGAAATAACTTGGTTTCGAGTTACTGTGTCCCAAATTGAGCGATGGAAGAAGTAATTTTCTTTTTAAACTTTTATATTTAGTTAAAGTATTATTTGTATGCACCACATATCATTTCTTGTTTGGCTGTTTGAATAATTGGATAAATTCCTTCGCTTCTATTTCGCTCTTAATGATGAAATTTGCTGCTATCATGCCTTTGTTATGATCTAACAGTGATGCGTAGATTCACTGAAACAAGATACCACGCATTCATCCTTCTCTTCTCCCATCATTTTTTGTTTAGAATTGTTAATTTTTTAGTTCATTACTAGCTTGAATTTAAGGTATCGTGTTTTAGTATCCTTGTATTTTTATAAAATGGTTTTAGTGAATTAACACTTATATATGGTAGCGGAGGATTCATATTTAATGTTAAAAAGTCAACCAAATGTTCGATAAGAAATCGCATTGAAACGGTAAAATCGATTTTCTTCAAATATATATATTAATAAAACTAATAGAGAAGAAGTTCTAAAAATTTTTATTTTTATATTTATTTATGATTATTAATATTCAGATTATTTTGGAATGTGTTAATGCGGAACTTGGTTATACCGATGATTTAGCCAAAGTCTGGTCATTTGATGATTCTCGGCAAGCTTGGGTATTCATTCAGAATGGACTTGAAAATAGTTCCCCATTCATTGCTGGAATTGTTTTAATTGAACCTTTAAAAAAGGCATGTTTGATAATTGTTTTTCATTTTATATATATATATATTTCTTTAAAAGAACGCCTCCCTTCGCTTTACTATCATAATATCGTTTAAGTGCCATTATTACCATAGCATCTCCTACAATTTTTAAAAGTTTTTTTCTTCATACAGAAATTAAATCGAACTATCATCTACCGCTTTTTTTTCTTCTCTTAGCTATTTTTGATTTCCTAATTTATTAATGAAGTATTGGGTGGTTTAGGCTTTTTATTATAATTACTTATTTTTATATTTTTTTACATTCTTTCCTTGCTCTTGGCAATGGAATTTTTTGCCTATAATGCATATATACGTTAAAATATTATCTCATTTTTCTTATTTTTATTGTTATTTATTATTATTTTATAATTTATTTGTTATATATAAATTGTTATTTGTTATTTTGCGTCGATAGCTTGGCAACAAGATGATTGCCAATGAGAATCGAGATTGGCTCGTGTTCGAATCCGCTCGATGCACCATGCTTCTTTGGGCGACATCGGCGAACGGTGAAAGAAAAAATGCTTCAATATATTGCTGAGTTTGGAGCGTCGATGCTGAAGTTCTATGTCCAGTAAGAGTAAACTGTTCAGAAATGCGGTGATTCACCTTCATTTCTGTCGTCAGGCTACTTCCTGGCAGAATTTATCTGGCCCAACAGGCCAGCGGAATGAACCAGAAATAGCGCTTTTAGAAAATATAGGAATGTTTAAATATTTTTATGTTTATTCTTCGAAAGTAAATTCAAGTTCCCAAATTTTTTCAAATTTGACCAATGCTTCTAACATTTTGGATTGCAGAATGCACATTTATACACTTCCACTGGGTCGCTAATGGGTGTTGATCGGATCTGGGTTCATCCAAAAGTAAGGCATTGCGGCATCGCGCGCAAACTACTGGATTGTGCTCGGAAGCATTTTTCAGTGCAGGGTTGTTTGCCAAAAGAGAACGTTATTTTCAGTGCACCAACTAATGCTGGATTGGCTTTCGCCAAACATTATAATCCTTTTTGTGATCCATTGTTTTACAATCTTTCTGCATAATTTAGTTAAATCGTTTGTAAACATTTTTCCGATTTAAATCTTAGTATTATCCAATATTATTACTTTTTCGCGTTGTTATTATTATTCCACAAATTTGTTCATGGTTGTTTTATTTCCGCCAAATGCACTGTGAAGAATTTGTTTTTTTTTCTTGTATTTTATATTATTTGCATGAAGAATGCAAATGAAGATAAATCTTAAAGTTTTATTTGACGATTGTGTTTGCTTTAGCACGAAATATTTTCAAATTATCAATGTGTTAGTGATAACGAGATATTGAAATAATTCAGTTAAGAGCAGCATAGTCGAGAGTTACGTCCCCTAAAGCAGAGGTCGCTTCATATAATTTTCGGTTGTATGAGGGAATTTATATGGTGGGGGAGTTATGAGAAAATACAAAGTTGAAAGAGAATTAATTTGGGAGGCACTGAATAAATTGTGAATAAGGAAAAAGGAAAGGATTAGAAAGAAACTTGGTGATTATGATGTCTTTTAACAGCCGTTAAGCAATAATTAGACCTTTAATTCTTTTCCTGTCATTAAGAAAGGAGAGGTGCAAGCAAAGAATTATGAAATCCATCCAATTTTTTAAAAAATTGTAATTGTGAAGGATCGCTCGGTGGCTCTTCACCATCTCATCAGTTTTTCCTAATATAAAAGTTATGAATCTCAAGTTCAAGCCCATTTGGGAATCGTTTATGAAAAATCAATAACAAGGATTGAGTTAGCTGTATGCTGTCTACAGTTGCCTACGTAAACGTGGATTTATTCGTTGTGATGTCAAATCAAATCGAAGAAACATGTTGGTTCGTTCTGAATAATACCTTGAATTTCTTCGTTTTCTAAAATTTATTTTGCAGGTTCCATCGGTTCCTTAATGCAAATACCTGTAACATTAAAGGATCGATCCAACCGAGATAAAAGAAATATTCTTCTCGAAATGGATTCCAATGTTTGTATAAGAGAAGTGATAAATTTATTATCGAAACGAATCAATGTGCCAAATAATTTTTTAAAAATAATAATGTGTGGTAAAGTATTGGCGGATGATGTTCAACTTCAGTCGCTTCTCCTTGGGCCTCAAACGTTTCATTTTTGATGCTTTTTAATTTTAATTTCTTTAATTTTTAATAACTAATTATGTTGAATTCTCAAAAATTATTTAATTTCTGAATGATAATAATGCTAAAATTTTGGTTATTTTTTGTTAATTTTTTTGATATATTATAATTGTAGAAGATCAGAAAATGATAATATAAATGGTGTTTATGGGAAATGATTAAATGGAAATAATTAATATCCGCAGATTATGTTTTAGTTCGTTGACAGCTGTTGTTGATGATGGGACAATGGTGTCGGCACATTCATCAAAATCCCATAACGATTCGACGAGAAACGTAGCATTTCGAGTGTATTGTAAAAATTGCGAATCGGTTAACCGAGGTAAACTTCGGGTATACTGCAGCGATTGTTCAGCCACTTCGATTTTGGTGAAAAGAGATCCAGTTGAATGGGACGACGTCATTCTTTCGTAATTTTTTATCCCTTTTTAAAATAAATAAAATATTTTCAATAAATATTTTCAATTTTGGCATTTTTCATTTGCCATAAAATATTTTATCCTGGATTATTTATTTGCCACTAAATGAAAAAGTCCTTGGGTAACTGTAAACTATTAAAACTATCTATAACGGAATTCATTTTACAGAAATTCATAGAAATATAAATCTTTTCAGTAAAAGAATTCGTGCTCATTGTGATGAATGTGAAAGAGAAGCTTTTGCTCAGTTTAGATTCAAATGTGCTTCTTGCGGATGTGTAAGTTCATTAATAAATAAAGAAAGGTTAAATATTGATTTTTTTTGTCATTCCTATTGATTTATAATTTCATAAATAAAGCAATGGTTTTATTTTTGAGGTTGCTGTGCCTTTGACACATCTACGAACATTCAACGGTAATGGTGAATGTTGCATTTGTAATGAAAAAAACTTACTGGTCCTTACTTTTGCTCATTTATTGTATTTTCTGCATATTTTTAATCTGATTTTGAATTGGACCTGGAAACTGACTGTGCTTTAAATATATACTTTCCTATTTATTTAAATATTTCAATTTGCTAAAATTATTATTTGAAATTGATAAATGATTCTAAAAAGTAATATTATTATAATCAGACTTTTCATATTTATATTTCAGGTTATTGTCGATTTAGGATGTCAACATATTACTTGTTTGGATTGTTTTTCTGCATATATTGATACAATATTCTATGAAAATAGATTCGTTTTCAGACATCCTTATGGTTATACCGTGACGTGTCCAGTTTACAATTGTAGTGGTTCGTTTTCAATCTTATAAAAACAATATCGTTTTTTTTATTACCTTTTTTATTTGAAATTTTTTAAGGATGTGTTAAGGATGCTCACCACTTCTACCTTCTTGGAAAGGAGCGCTACAAACAATATCACAAAAGAGCGGCTGAAAAATTTATTGCTTTGGAAACAAATGGAGTGTTCTGTCCACGGCCTGAATGTGGAGCGGCGTTTATTGTTGAAATTGAAACGCAATACCCAAAAGTATTATTTTTTCTGAGACTGAGAGATAAGGTGGACATTTTTTGTTTTTCACTTCTTTTTATGGTGAAAATCCTAGTTTAAAATGGTTTTGCTTTTAATTAAAATTTGTACTCATAGAAACCAAATATTTTTTTTAAGATACTGTGTCCAGAGTGCCGTCGCACATTTTGCGGTTTATGTCGACGTTCAGAATGCCGATGTTTTGAGAATGACGAAAGCAAAAAAACAATTGAAAAAACTTGTCGACCGTGTCCATCTTGTGGTGCACCCACTGAAAGGAACGGTGGTTGTGCACATATAAATTGCGCCCATTGTGGTACACACTGGTGCTTTATTTGTGTTAGACCATGGACAGACGATTGTCAGTGGGATCATTGGTTTAATTAAAGATGCTTTTCGTAGAGAGGCAAAAAATAATTGCACCTTAATAGAATGTATATTCACAGCATTTTCTTTTTGCATTCGAGTGCGGTGCGTTCATACATCCCTATATTAGCCTTTCCCAAACTTTGTATAAACTCCTTTATTTATGCTCTACAAATCCTTTAGGTCATATGTCATTTACTTAAATTTTTGAAAATACATTGGTTTGCTTCCCATATTTTCTTTTTATTTAAACAAAAGATAGGTATGAATTTAAATTCCACATCTCACTTATGGTCCGTAGTGTACTAGTTTCATTCTTATTCGTAATTGAAAAGTCTAGAAACGCCGATCCCATTAAAATCTACTTCATCAACAGTATGATTGGTTCTTATCGTATTTTTATAAGTGCATATTCCAATCGAAAAATATAAAATAATTTTCAATTTCCTTGCAATTTTTCAAAATAAACAAAATTTGTTTTAAACCCAAATAACCACAAATAAAGTTTAAGCGTTCCGCTCTTATACTATGATTTATAAAGTATTTACCAAAAAAGTTTGAAAAACGCTGTATAGTTTTCTACAATTCCTTTAGTTTTTTTTCATTCCTTCAAAAATTTTAAATTTTTATGAGTTTCTTTTACCAACTGCTGTGGTGTACAAATAAAAAGATCGTGGTAATCGTGGTATATAAATGTCAGCTATATATCTAACCATTCTGAAAACCAAATTTATTTTTCGTGATAAACTGTAAATAACAAATAAGAATTTAACAAAAAATTTAGCGAAAATTTACGTTAGTTTAGCTAACGACCATATTTCTTCCCAGAGAAGCCCTTTTCTGCTCGAGAATTATATTTTCGCGAGCGCGTCGCTTTCTTCCACGTTTTATTTTTTCATAGACTCTTTTATGTTTTTTAGCAATCATCATTTCTCGAAGTTTAAGTTCGTGACCCTGCAAATAGTTTTACAGAAAGCTAAATGCCACACTTTCTTATAATTTTTGGTTTATGGAAAGTATAAATGCCGTGATTCAATAAAATCTAAATCATCATAAATGCACGAATGTCAATTCACTAACTGATGGTTCTAAAAACTCATTTAAATTACCAAAATAATGTGAAAATAAAATAAAAATTAGCAAACCTTTTCATCGATGGACTTCTGCACATTTTCTTTGTGCGTCTTCCCTTCTTCCACACGGAATTCATCGCTTTTACTGTTATTTTGTTCCTTGTTCTTTTTGATTATCTCACTACTTTTAACTGCTGTTTTTATTTTTAGCTCTGCAACGAGTACAATTATATAAATAAATATAAATCCATTTCTTTCGCTGTGGGTGATCCTCGGTTCCCTTACCAGAGGCCTGGGAGATTGAGGATACAGCGCAGTATTTTAGCTTTCGTAGCACTCTTCTGATCACAGATCTTTGACCTTATTATGGAATTTGCTGAAACCATCGTTCTAGTTTTGGTACTTTCTTGCTCCTATTACCACTGGAACTATTTTATCCTTTATTTTCCTTTCTTTCCTAATTCCTCTTCCATCACCTGGTATTTCCCTGTTTCCTACATTCTTTCCTCCTAGCATTCCTATTACTTGCTATTATCGTCAGTGCTGATTTTTGCTTCCTTTTACTACAGCAATATCTAATTGATTAGCCAGCTCTCGTTTGTTGTCTCTGGATGGGAACATCCCATAGGACCTTGGATCCGTTGTCCTCTACAATTTTTTGAAGACCTCCCAAATGATTTTGGAGGTGTAAGCCATATAATGAATATTCTTGCAGATATTCTTGCAGACGATGCTAGCCATTTAATTATGCCTTTCAGTGTGTTCTTACCTGCAACTTGAATCTTGCCACTATGTATTGGAGAATTTCCGAGAATTTAACAGTATACCTTAGATCCAGTCTGATGTGGTAGATTCCTATTATGCTTAGTACCTATTCTTGTGCTACTATTAATGCTTCAATGCTAGCTTTTTCCAACCATTGGTACTGGGTTTACTTCACTTATTTTTCAATAATGCATCCTATGAAGAGTCTTGCTTTCCTATGGCGCTTGGTCTTTATCCAGTGTCTGTTGATGCTTCAGGTATTTTCTTAATATATACGTGTACGTATAAAACTTGTCAAGTAAAAATAAATTTCACAATATTTAAAAAATTACCATGATTTCCTTTAATTGTTCCTTCAACTAATTCCTTTAACTGCGCAATGCGCTCAGGTGGAATATATTCGCCTGAAGTATCAGAAACAAAAGGTGAGAGGTGTGGTGGTAAAACAGCACCAGGCAAGTAATTCTCTAATGGAAGTCTTCGCCTCAAATTAAAGCAATCGACAACCCACTGTGGCTGGACATAAAACCTAAAATATATTTTAAAAAAAATATATACCATATTTTTTTAAAAAAAGTAGATAGGAATACTCTAAAAACAATTATCGATGATTTACCTGTTTATATTCGTATTTGATAAAAAAGGACGATCAATCACCTGGTGAGTAATTGAAGCATCATTTTCATTAAAAAAAGCTGCAGGACAATTTTCCCACGATACGCCTCCACCACAACTCCTAAAATATTAAAATATGCAACGAGTATATCTATAAATATAATAAAAAAACTTTTTCTCACTCCTATGAGTGATCGATAGTCCTCAGCCTCGGTACCTCCACTAGAGGCCTGAGAGACTGAGGAGATTGAAGCGCAGTGCCTTGCCTTGATTCCTACAATAGCCCGTTTCTCTGGACAGAGACCTCTGGTGCTCTTCCTGGAACGTTGAAGCCACTTTTCTGCGTGCTCGCTGAATGGTCCTTTGAGAAGAGATATAGGTGGATCTCCATCACCACTCGAATTAAGTCGACATTAATTCAACTCAAATAAATTGACATTCATATTTTTTTTCCAGTAACTCTCACCATTACTGGTAAGGCCAGCTCTGCTCGCTACAAGAGTAAAACATCTCCAAACCGTTGAGTCCAACGCCACCGCTAATAATAATAGAAGCCATTCCTTTTTCCATCGTCAAAATCCATATATCCGCCGACCCCCCTATACGAAAATCTTTCCTGGCTCTATCAACGCTCCTTAGTTTTGACACTATCCATCATAGGGTTTAGCAAGTATTTTAGTGAAATATGTCAGCTTCCAAGGTTGACAATGAAAAAAAATTTGCTTCTAACCGCATTGCTAATGCAAATAGTATATGAGCAAAGGTGGATGTGATCATGTGAGATTTTCTCCACTCGGCGAATCCGGAAAATGTATCTTAGATATGACTGATAAAGGCTTCTTAATATCCTCCATTCTTATCAGGTGTGTCTCGCATAATAAGATCTGATGAAGAATTGCAGTCACAGACGGAGACTTTACAGTGATTACAGTGATTTCACAACGGCTCCACAAAAGTTTAGCCAACAGGAAGAACGCACTTCTAGTGTTATCCGGGTTATAATTTGTCTTTCGCTTGGCCGCTCGAGGCTGGAGTGGATCCAAGATAAAGTCTAGCATTTCCTCCACTGACGATGAATTGATAAAAATAGATATTTTGTCAACTTCTTGACAAATAAAACGAAGAGATTTTTCTATTCATTTTTGATCTTGAGTCCATTTTATCAGTTGACTTATGTTTAGCATTACTTGCATTTTCTCATAGCTCCCCATAACTATCAACAAAAAGAACTACATCATCAGTATATTCAAGGTGTATGATACTCTGGACTAATTTGTACATTTCTTGACAAGCGACACCCATTATCCAGTCTATCGCATAATGAAATATTGTATGAAAAAGATGCAGTCTTGACGGATATCAGTTTTTATTTTGAAAGTCTGTCAGTTCCCCATATATGCCTGTGCCGACCTATGCCGAGTCGAATGATCTCTGGAACACATTTCACCATCCTCCAAAATACCATTCTATCAACTCAGTCGAATACAGCTGTATTATAGCTGAATACAGCTGAATACAAATTGATTTTAAAATTGATTGAATTGATATCAAATTAGTCCACATCCCACTAGCATAGAAGTGACTGACTTTCGGAGACGTGCTTTTAATTGAATATACAATCAACAACAGATTAACCTAATTCGAACGTTGGTTATCCGCAGATGTGATTAGTTGTCACTGATGCCCGAAGCATATATTAATAATAAAAAGTTCACGCTCGCCAGTAAAAAGAAGGCAAGAAAAGAAAACAAAAAAGCATTTTCTAATGGCGGATCTCGATGCATTATTTGCCAATCACCGAGTTCAACGTAGCGGCACTATGCACGCATTTCTCCGATAATTACCATGTTACGTTAGAATTGCAGCCGATGTGAGGAAGATAGCCACCCGCAAGAAGGCGACATTCACGCAATATTTAGAAAAAATCGAAAGCATCGATGTTACGCTTTACGGCTAACACCTCGACGCGCATGCAGAATGCATTTCCCTTGAAAAGACAATTAACTTGGTTCGCGAGCACTCAGATTTTCAAGCTTTGAGGCCTTTGAGGTCGTTTGAACGTAGATTGCATACTTATTACATATATCATCGGACTGGAAGTATCGTGTATCATCAATTTTCGAAAAGAAAAATTAACAAATATCGTTATCATTACAGTTCTCCACCTTAATATATCCAAAAAAACGACGCCATCATTTCAAACCGAAAATCTCGAATCGAATTTAAAAAATTCTTTCAAATTGTCCCAAAATTTATCATACAATATGAAAACTTCCTTAAGCTCAAATGCATAAAAGATAAATCATTTCATTTTATCAACGACGTAGAATCGATATATAATATAAGGGATAAAAAATATCAGATCAACTCGACATTCATATTATAGATGATATATATTTATGTATTTATGCCGCAGATTTCTTTTAAACTTATTCTATTTTTTTACATTGCGTTATCTCAAATTCTTTTCTACCTTTTTAATTCTACCTCAAGCTCACATATAAAACCCATCATATTCTAGTAGATTTCATTAGAACAAAACAATCACAGCATTTTAACGCAATCATGACCCTAATTATAAATGAAAATAAGAATATACCGAATTATTATCGCCAACAAATCCTTAGGTGTCTCTCTGTTAAGCCAGAATTTACAGTTCACAAAAAGATTATTCTTCTTTTCCATATCATTAAACCTTTCAGCGAATTCGCTATTTATTTCACTGCTTATATCCATATCCGGTAATGGCTCCTCTTCTTTTACCTGTTTGGCCAAAGGACGTGCCAAACTGTATATTTTTTCTGCTTCCTCCTCTTCATTGCTGTTCACATTCTAAAAATTTAATTTTCATTAATTTCACATTTTATTTGATAAAAAAACCTTTGGTTTGAAATAATGTTAAACTCAAATACTTCTGATAATACGACTGAAGATGACAACCTTCGAAAAATATGCGATTTGTGGCGGATAAAAAAGACCAATTGATTGGTAAAGACGAAAATTGACAAAGCTAAGCATGGTGATATAAAACTCAACAAAAGTGGTCATTACTGCAAAATCTACTTGTGACACATGACCTACACCACGATCATGGCCGACAATCCATGTTATTCGTTCTCCCATTATTTCTGCTTGATAATAAATACCTTTTATTGATATAAATACCTGGGAAAGAAGTTTATATTTGGCAAAATGTAGAAAAAAATTGAAAATTTCAGCGAATTTATTATTGATTGTAATTAATATATCTCATTCTTATACCAAAAAATTCTTGAGATAAAAATATAAAAATAAAAAAATAAGAAGATGAAATTTCAACAGTCAACGAAAATTATTTCTTATAATGATATAACAATAACAACCTTAGAAAGAGTCTGCGATTCAATTAAATAATGATTAAATTCAGCCGTTAACCGTCTACACGAATTTACCAAAGATGTTGTAATGGTCTTGGTATGAGGTAAAGTTGCGAATGCAAAACATAAACACAACGCATCATCTAAATCTCTTAATGCAGATGCAAAAGTTGGATACCTGAATATAAATTAAATCAAATTTCGAAATAAAAATAAAACTTATGAATTATCAATTATTATTATTATCAATTGAATTATCAATTATTATTATTATCAGTTATTAATGTAATTAGTTATTAATAACGTAATTTTAATCTTAAAAATTTCAAAATTAAATAGCAATTTGAAGATTCCGTGCAAAATACTTTATCTTGTGTTATGAGAATAAATTTTATGAAACGATTTAAATCATAAAATAAACCTTTCTTTAACAATTCGATCTAGCTGGTACCTTGGCTTTCTAGCATACAAACGTCTTACTCGATCATATTCACGCTTCGCTTTTGCATTTTTCAATTTTCTTAGAAAAATCTTAAAAAAAAAGACCTGAAGAAAAAATGTGTAAGAAAATGATTTTATAGAAGTGATTTTTTTTTTTAACAATCTTACTATTCCCAGATAAGCTTGCTCAACTGATTTTTTAAAATAAACAGTTTAAAAACCTAGTTATTTAGATATAAATACAATCTTAAGCATCACCTAGTTTTTGAAAGATTTACTCCTATCAGTAGAATCCCCATTACCTCAAGAGCAGTAATCAATCCAATTGGACAAGATTAACAAAATTTTCAAATGACCATAACAAATTCGAAGTTAATCAAGGAAGTAAAAAGCTAAAAATTCAGAGAAGAGAAAGCAGAATTATTACTATTTACTATTTAAATTAACTAAAAATACTAAAATATAGAAAGGAACGATATGGTGAAGTTATTCTAGCAAGAATTGCTAGCTTTACATAGATCGAAGATAGCGATAACAGCTTTAAAAAAATTATGTTTTAAAATTCTTTTAACAAAAATACTCAATCACTCTGAAATATATGGTAGGAATTTTTTCTAGAGATTCAGAAATATTTCAGAGAGAGCGAGAAAAAAGAGAAATGTACTATAAAATCTTTAGTGCAAGATTTTATATTGATATTATATTGATTTGATATTATATTGATTTTATATTGATATTTGGTATATTAAAGATAATTAGCCTGGCAGGATGGATGGCTGAAATGTTTCTTGTTCTCAAAGGTTCACTTGGCTAAATTCCATTAAGAAACAGCTCAATATCCTTTTCAGTGGTTTTTTTCTTATTGGTGCCAAATATCATCAAATCATAATATCGATAACAATATCAATAACTTTAAATAACAATATCAACACTACAGCATAAGGCAGTTTTTTTTTCTGATTCACAATCGCAGACTTCATTTACAATGAATAAAAATCTTCCGTTATTTAATTTTCATTTAGGGATTTTCTATGTTAATTAGTGGATTTTTCACCACCATTCATTAGTAATCTTTACTAATACTTCAAGTTTATCAATATAAATAAGTATTCCTTTGGTCGTTAACTTTTAATAAATTTCTTTTAATAAACTTTTAACTTTTTGCCAATTAAATTAAAAGAATTGGAAATTTCTTGAATAAAAACTGCTAAAAATGAATCAAAGCAGCCACAAACAGTTTTTTTAAAAAAATTCATAAATTTTCAGATTATTTTCGAATAATGTATTGCTAATTCCTAATTTTATCGTTTATAAATATAAATTTTTAATAAAGCAAAATCTACCTTATATTCACGAAATTTATTAATGATTGGTTCAGATGCAAGGAAATTAATATCTTTCACATAATAATAAACACGATTTTCCGTACTTCCTTTATTAACCTTTTTCTTATGTAAAGGTTCATGTGGATAAATTCCTTTAAGAATACATAATCGCCGAAAATCCTTCAAATTTAACTGCAATTTTTTTATTGCTCTTGCACGACTTATATAGTTTGTTGAAGCACCCGATTCATACTGAAATTATTATTAAAATTATGTACATTATGTTTATAATCGGCATTCTTCGGTCAAATGGACAGCGCTATATGTTAAGATAATGAATGAAAAGACATGGTAATATGAGAAAGCTTAAGGTCATAAATTTAAATTTAAGATGTGCAGCAGATAACGCAGACGATGATGTGGTACTGATAATTGTGGTGATAAGAGAAAAATAGATGATAAACCAAACAAATATGGCGTGGCTCTGTCGATTTCATCGATAAGAAAGTAAGGGATCAACGATCTTCTACTATGCTTGTTCTCGCCTGTTATTAATGTGATAAAAAATAGTTAGGCGGCGATGAAGTGAGTCTCTAGCATGACCTGAGCTTTTTAACGACAGGTTTTACTCCTGCCGGATATAAGAGTCTCAACACAACCACTGTTCACTCGGCCATCCTACCCTTCAAATCATTTTTTTCTTGTTAAGAGCACTCACAACACCGATTAGACTCGTTTCTCCGGATTGCCGCAATAGATTAATATGCGAGCTCCACTGGCGACAGAAATACAGGTAAGCAGCAACGTCATCCGGATTTTTAAACAGGTTTACTCCTGCCGGGAGTCAGTACGAGCGCTCCAAATTGAGCAACAACCCACTGAGCCATTCTAGTCTCTTTTTCTCCGTTGGGCAATTGCTGTTCGATGAAGAATGATGCGTTGGAGATTCGAATGCAAATCTCGGTGGAAGTTACTTTCTCACTGCTGAATCACCGCTTGAAATTAACAACCACTGGTCAGAAATATCAATCGAAAATCACCAGTAATACAATTATATTTAAAATAAAGGTGAAATTACGAAGATGAAAAATTATAAAAATTAAAAATTCAAATACCTTTTTCTTAATTCGCATAACTGCCCAACGTTGACCTGAAAAAAGAAATATTTTTTCGAAACAAAAAATTTAAGGTGGAAAAAAATGGAAATAACATCAACCATTTAATCGCAGTTTTCCTGCGAATATTAAAAAATGATTCAAAACACAATTGTGCACACGAACTGAACTTCTCCGGCCAACTGACCCGACCAACCGACCCAACCCAAACAAATTCCACCCTTCGTCAGAAGCATCAAATCCCCAAATTGACTCAGAAAGAAACCGACAATTAGAGTTTCTTTCGAGCCGAACTGGGACGTTTAATGCTAGTTTGAAATTTAGGTTTTTAACTTTTCCTGCTAGTCAATATAGGTGGGTTGGAGCATTATCAGGTTGTTGAGGATTTGTTGGGGAGGGGGTGTTTCTTTTCTCACTTCTAGTGGTTCCAATTATATACTATTTTATATACCACTACCCTTGAGAAACGATCGCAATATTTTATTGGTATTTTTTATTGGTAGTTTTTATTTTGAATTTCAAAGAAATTTTAATTGTAATTGATATTACCAGTAAATATCTTTTATTTTACAAATAGTAACGTAAATTTTTCATCTTTCTCCTCTTTTTTTGTTTTTTTGTTTTGTTTTTTTGTTATTTTTGTTTTCGTTACTTTTGATAGTTACAACTTTCAAGTAATAGTAACTTAATTAACTTAATAAGAGTAATCATTAATAGAAATTGCCTTTTTACAACACCATTTCTCGTCTCGCTTCAGAATTAAATAGTGCGAGGATGGAATTTTGCACCAATGAGCCACTTAGGTTAGAGATAAACCGACCTTCTAAAGGAACCTATATAACTGTCCAGGTTATCCTAACCCCTGCAGCCAGTGGAGCCATCCTAGCCAGTAATGATGAGAACTATCAGAAAAAGAAGGAGAACTGTCCAGATCCAGATTTAGTCGTCCAATTGTTCACAATAATTCATTCTTTCTGGATTTCTGGATCAATTAAACTTTCTCTGAATTAAACTTTCTCCGGATTCTTCATCATATTCTTCAGACAATTAGCAGACAATTAATCATTATAATTAAAAGAATAAGAGAGAAGAAAAACTTTTCTTGTCGTACGCCAGTTAAAATATATTTATATATTTCTTCTGTACAATTGTACCAGTTTTGATTTAGCTGGAATTATATTTCAGGTGTTCCATCATGAAGCTGATAGAATCGTCTGATACTGTTAAATTTCCAAAAGATGTAAGCTTTACTATTAATAAACGAGTAATAACAGTGACTGGCCCGCGTGGAACGCTTCGACGTGATTTTCGTCATCTTAGCATGGAAATTCAGCGAGTTAAAAAAGATACGGTTCGCGTACGAAAATGGTTTGGTGTAAGGAAAGAAGTTGCTGCAATTCGAACAGTTTGTTCACATATTGAAAATATGATTAAGGGTGTCACAAAAGGTTTTCGTTACAAAATGCGTTCCGTCTATGCGCATTTTCCAATAAACGTCTCGCTTCAAGAGAAAAGTTCTGTTGTTGAGGTGAATTTTTTAATTTTTTAAAAACAGTTATATAAGTATTTAATATTTTAATATTTTAACTGAAGTTTTAGAAAAGTTGAAGAATATTTTGAAGTTTATTATTGGCAATTTTTAGAAAGTTTCAAGGGAATTAATCGAATTAAGCCTATGTATATTTAGATTCGAAACTTTTTGGGCGAAAAATATGTGAGACGAGTAACTTTGCCAGACGGAGTACGGGCCACATTATCTGCAAATCAAAAAGATGAACTAATTATTGATGGAAATGATATCCAGCTTGTTTCTCAAGCAGGTAATATTTTTATTTTCAATAGTAAATTTTTATAAGCTTTATTACATTTTGTTTTGTTTTTATTATGGGTTCATAATTTTTATATATTCATTGTTGTTCTTGTTTAAATATTTTCTTAAATCGCCATTTTTTAACTAGTGACTCATCGTAAGACCGTTTACTCCTAAAAAAAACATGATGAAAATGCCAGCTTCCTGATGACTGGCAGGATGTACGTATTTATGGCATGGATTTTGTTCTTTCCATTGGACTTGTTCTTCCAGATTTTCTTATTCTTGGCAATATTGAGATGTCTTCCTTGCTTCCTCATCATGTTAGTGTGGGTCAAGGTACTTGTTGCTAACCTATGTATCATTCGCTATGTGTTCTGATGGCAGGTCTCTCTCATTTCATTATCAATTTTACTATCATCTGGGCACATCTCTAATCCGAGTGATAATCTAACCCATGTAGAGAAGATGGCTGATGGTAGTTTAATTTTAATTTCTATCTATATTTTTCTCGTGATCATCTGACTGAGAAGATTTAGACCTGTGCAGAACAATAGGAAGAATGCATCGGCTTGGCATATGCCAACTTGATAGTCACTTGTACAAGCTGCTTTAAATTGATTTCAAATGTCATTTTCCACAGTCTAGTTGAGTTTTCAATGAACTAAAGTCCTAGTGACTTTGTGTAGAGCCAGACATTTACAGGTTCAAGTATGAGGCATTAAATCATAAGTTTTCTTTTGGCCGATCCAAGCTGTACACAGATTGGTCTGCAGATTTTTTAAGTCTAGAGCGACTGTCTTATCTATGGGAAACGGGTTTTGCAGTGTCTGGGGTGTTGTTCCCAATGCCTTTTGAACTGCGCTCATATTTAAAGCCTGACTCATCTGGTCATGAAGCTTGATGGCTATGATGTCTGACATGAATTTTCACATTGTGGGTAAGTAGGTTATTGGTAGGTTAGTTGAATAGTGTTATTCCTTTATGAGAATCTTCCACAATCAATGCCACCCTTTGTGTTAACTGATCTGAATCACAGCTTGCCACAAGCAGCTGGTTCATCTGTGCCGTTTGGCGCTCATGAACCGCTGTTAGATTTTTTAGCCAGTAGATATCCATATCATGTGTTGTCCAAGTTTTATTTTTGAGTCATTGCTGGATGTCAGCAACTGTGACGGTAGCTGGTTCCTGCTCTGGAAGATTGCTATGGCTTGATCTCAGATCTTGCAACAATCTTGCATTGGTGTTATGAATCTTTTCTCATATATTCTTCCAGTATTATATAATTTCTGCTGGCTCTGTTTTACTGAAATTGCGAGTAAACCTTGGACGGTTCCTAAGGGAACGGCGCATTTTTTTTTGGCTTCTGCTTCTCTACTGTACTTCCTTAGCTTAATGGTCAGTGCTGTGAGTCTTTGTTTAGCAGTCTCGAAGGCTTCTGATTATTTTTGATTCTGAATGTTTCCCTCGTATTTCCTCATCATCCAGATGCTGTTTTTATTCTTTGCATCTTTTTTGTAATTCTGGCTAACTTCTCTTCGTTTTTTTGCTTTAATTTTATTTTCCAGCTTCATTTTCATGGACGAATTGCATTGCTATTTTTCTCGATTTTCTTTCCCAACATTTCAAAAATTACAATGGCTGTGGCATATACCAATTCATTAGTTTCTGTTTTAGTGGCATTGCGAGATGTCTATTTCATCTTTGATTATATTGTCGAGGGGTGCATCATTGAGCCTAGATAATCAAACTCGATGGTTAATTATAGCTATTTTATTCTTTTTGATTTTGATTGACCATGACGAGACTTCACTCGAGAAGAATGCGGTTTTTAGTTGTTGGTTTAATGGTTGTCGTTTACCCAAGTAAAATTAGAATTTCTTTTTATTGTATGTAAAAGAAAAGCAAATAACGAAGTTTTTCTCACATAAACAATTTAAACAATTTCTGAAATGAGTTTATTCTATACGCATATAATATATTATTTTCATTTGCAAAAAAAAAAAATTTTAGTATGAATAGCATGCAGTGCATTTAATTAATAGATTTGTATTATAAAAACTATATTTATTTGATTCTGTCTTAATACATATGAGATTTTGTTTACTAAATTAGTTTTTTTTGGGTATACAAAAAAGGAATTGGAATTTAAGATCAATAAGCCGATTCACAGTATTTATTCGAGGAATTTATTTTGTATATTTTTTAGATTTTCGCTGTTTGCGATAGTTTATAGCAGAATTGACCAATCTCAACTGAGATAGAGGTTTTCTTTTGATGTTGAAGCACTGAGCCACTAATGTTTCTCATTTAATATAGAACTGGATGTTTTTTCCATCCGCAGTTCCTTCATAACTTTAAGGGAGTCATATAACCTTTCATATAACTTTTTTAATTAGTTCAATTATAGTAGCATCTCATTAGTTGCAGATTATCTTGCTTCTCCTCCATATAAAGTTTCTTCCAGTATCCCTTTTAACGCCAGATTGCCCTGATCGCACAACAAGTGGTGCTGTTCCAGTGGCCCACTTATCATCAGATAACCCTGGTCCCTCAGCCTCTCATACGAATCTTGTCAATCCGGGTGACATCCAATTCAGTATGATTCTAGTATGCGACACTTATCCTTATATCGAGAAGAAAGGCAAGCATTAAGGGAGTCTTGCCCAAGGACCCCACCGGAAAGGTAGAGACTTTTGGTTACGATTTGAACCAAAACATAGTTATCAATATTTATATATTTATAACATTATTATATATTTGTATATGAATTATATTTAGACGATTTTTGTAGCTGCAGAAGAGCTTCACAATCGTAACCGTTTTAGAAGCTTTGCGGGAGCATGAAGGAAGGTTTTTAAGGTTGCTATATTTTGGAGGTGACATTATGGAGGGTGATAAAAAAAATATAATTTAACGGTGTTAAAGAAATGCGAAGAGGTTTAATGGAATGGAAATATGATGGATTGTTAGAATTTGAGAGGTTCATGAAGTGGTATTAATGATTTGGGATTTAGTAATTGATGATTTAATAAATTAATAAACTCGAATTTTAGCGTTAAAATTGGTATAGTTTTTAAAGAAAAATTTTACGAGTGGCACTGGTTAGAACTTATACACCCATTTCAGCATAATTAGAGCATTATTTTTTTGTAAATATTTTTATAAATTTTTTTGTAAGCGGCTAATTATTTTATATTTCCAGAAATATTCTATCTGGGATTTTCTTTCCATTTTTCTAATATTTTTTGATGAAAGCTTTTACTATTAATTTTATGAAAATTTTGTGTTAAATGATTTCTTGAATAATTTCAGTGTTTTTCTCCTAAATTTAGCAATATTTTTTTTGCAGCTGCTAGAATTCAACAATCTACGACGGTAAAGAATAAGGATATCAGAAAATTTTTGGATGGAATTTATGTAAGTGAGAAAACAACCATTATTGAGGATTAATTACTCAGTTATTATTATTATCTTTTTACCATTTTGATATAAATTTATTGGCATTATAAATTGTTCTAAATGTAATCTGAAAATATCAAAATAAATAATTATAATAAATTTTTACTACCTTTTAAATTCGGAAGTACAGAGAGCAGACAGAATCCTTATGTATTAGAAATTTGTATGTACATTAGAAACATAAACAAAAAAATATAAACTTGAATTAAAAACATTAAAACATAGATCGGAATGATTATTTGGTTGAGTTTCTTGTGATCGATTCTTATTTCTAGGTGAAAGTTAAATTGGGTTGGTGGAGGGGCTGTATTTTTATAAGAAAAATGTTTAACGTTTTTCTTTGGCCTTTTGCCATGTGTTTTATGAGTATTGAACGATCGCAGTCATTGAGAAAAATAAAAAATTTATTGTAAAATTTAAAACAAGTTTAATTGCCTTTTATATTTTACTTTACGTTTTTTAATTTTCAGTCGTTTTCATACCGTTAAATTTGGCAGTTACTGAGAGTTGATAAGATAATGATAAGGCAGTTATGCAGCAAAGAATTTTTGCTCATAGGTGAATCTAAAATTTTAGGACATAATTTCCAAGAACTTTGTTTAAATTTTTTTGAATTTTTAATAAGCTAAAAATTTTTTTTCCAGTGAGTAATAGACTATTCCTTAGCTTTCGATTAACCATGTTTTACTTTTTAGAATAATGGAATTGAGCTAACCATTTGCTTTTAAGGCAGACTTGACACCTGCTAACTCGATCCTTTAAACCACCGGCTTTTAATGTTTGTGACATTGGCTTTCTCCATTGTTTATTCTGGAATTTTCATATAGAAAGAGTAAAGAACAGAATTTTGAAAGCAAATTAGGAAATTACATGTTTATATGTGATGGAAATGACTTCTCGTTCTTTGTAACTCTATGCATTTCTTACAGAGATTTTTAACATGGATTCTGCAGTATAGTATTTCTTTCATTTCTTTAAGCCACCGAATTTAATAAAATTCACGGATTTGCTAACAAAGAATGTCAAGAATGCCTATCAAAGAATGCTAACAACGGGAACGTAAGTCATGCTGTAGTACTGAGGTATTTAGGATAAATTGGTTTATTCTTTTATTCTTCTAACAGCTCTCACCATTACTGGTTAGGCTGGCTCCGCTGGCTACAAAGGTATTTCCAAGCTGCTCGGTCTGACACCATCGGTGTTAGTGATAGAAGCCATTCCTTTTTCCACCGTCTAAGTCCACAAATCGCTGGTCCATTTTTGCGTTAAAAATCTTTCCTAACTCTATCAATTCATGTCTTGATTGGATCTCCTCACTTTCGACGCCAATCATCATAGAGTTTAGCAAATAACAAATAAATTGAACGACGGAGAACTTGCCTTAACCAGCGAAGGCGACGCTATGTAATAATAATATTAATACAGATGGTATTTGAGCGAGAGTGGATATAATCATATGCGATTTTATCTCATCTTTGGATCCGTAAAATATCTTAGACATCTTAGACATATCTTAGACGTATCTTAGACATGAGTGTGGTCAAAGGCTTCTGATAGCTTCTTAATATTTTCCACTTACATTGGCCATGTTTCTCAGCCAAAATAGCAAGATCGAGCAAAATGCAGCTGTATGGACGCGGATTTTAAATTACAATTATATATTTATATAATAATTATAATTATAAAAATTGGTTTATTATTACGTTTTTTAGGAAAAATGTTTTTGTAAATGTAAAATTTCGTCAAATTCTTTCGAAAATTTTCCGATTTTTCCGCCAAAAATATTGAAGTAAATAAGGATAAGTTGGGAAATAGGTAAGACTTTATTTTGCGGAATTTTTCAATGTGTTAAAAATAATACCTTATCAACTATTGCAAGCCAGAATCCATGATTTGTAGCGTAATAATTACAAGTTCCTCTTCCGTGACATTCGATAAATGGAACTGATCTAAATTCTTCAAGACAACTTCCCGGTGATTGCAGGTTTTGTCCTGTAGCTTCAGCTCCTGCTGCGGTATGCTGGAAAAAGGCAGTTACAGGAAAATTTAAATAATTCCATTTATAGATGCAAGTGAATTGAAATTTAAAAATTGAACTTAAGAAACATACTTTAGATCGTTTTCAGCAAATTATTAAAGAGTTCAATTTGAATTAACCAGCTAGAATTAGAACTAACCATGATAAATGAATATCCGCTATATATTGGAGACCACCCTCGGGGACATTCTGGAATTTGTTTGTCTTGTGAATGGACGGCAATGATTTGTGTTGGTACTTCGCACACCGCACAACGCGATATATATGGTCTTATACCTGTACCAGAGACCTTAAAATAATTTCATCGTAATTATATGAATTTAAATCTATATATATATATATATATATAACAAAGAAAAAATGTTTAGTTGACTTCGATACGCGATATTTTAATCGAAAATTGATGAAAATCAATGAATATACAGGGTTCATCATTTGCGTCATTGGTTCAGCCGTCGATAGCCAATACGAATAATCGTTTCTACTTGAAACATGGCAAACACTATTTAAGTTGCAAAACATAAATGGCATTGTATTGAATTTCGAAAGACAAGAACCAGGTTGACCTGGAATTTACGGTGTGTTTCGAGGAATTTTTGCATCAATATTGAGCAATAAAATAGTATGTTATTAAGAATAAAAATTAAGAATATTTGTGATTTCGGGAAGATCAGTAATATTAGATCAAGGATAAAGAAAGGAGACCAAAAAGGATTGGATATTCTTCTTGGAGTAGATCAAGTGCGGAAGATTCAAGTAGATTATTTAGATCCACAATAAAAAAATAATTTAGCCATACCAAGATCTTGCCCGCTTGCTCGTCCATTGCCTTGAACATACAAAAGTGAATACCCATGCCAAAGTTTTTGTGAACCTGGAGGGCAGCGTGGTATTTCAGTGTTTTGTGAATGGCGTGCGAACGTGAATCCACGCGACGGTGCCAGTCCTCCCGGCGCTCCGGCGAACCCAGGTGGACCGGGTGGCCCAGGACGCCCAGAACGCCCCGGTACACCTGGCATTCCAACAATTCCCATTTCGCCTTTCATACCTGGCAAACCAGGACGACCAGGAACGCCAGGTGAACCATTTAGTCCCGGATATCCAACTGGCCCAGGTGGTCCTTGCAATCCTAAAATTCTGCAGTGAACCAGTGTTATATTAATTTTTTCAAAGGGGTTGTTTTGCAAAAATCTTTGAAAATATGCTGGAGATTTTTCAATCAAAGATTTTTAAAGTTGCCCCTTATCATTTATGTGTATTGAGATAAAAATAGCCTATAATAGAAAATTTTTTAACTTACCTGGGGTTCCTTCGATTCCGAGATAACCTTTTTGCCCAGGTGGACCAATGTCACCTTGTTCACCTTTCGGTGAATGAATTTTCCTACTGTAGAAAGCTGGAGCACCCGGTGGACCAGGTATTCCTGGAGGGCCCACCAAACCATCTAATCCTGGAAGACCTGGCAAACCGTCGACTCCTTGTTCGCCCTTAATGCCCGAGAATCCAGGTAGTCCTGGAACGCCTTCATCTCCGGGATAGCCTGGTGAACCCAATGAACCAGGGACACCTCGTCCTCCAGGATATCCTGGCGCCCCGTCTGCACCTGGATAACCTGGAAGACCCTCCAAACCCCTTTCGCCTTTCGAACCCGGAAACCCGTCCAGGCCAGGAGAACCTGGCAAGCCTGGCGATCCATCGAAGCCTGTAATATTAGTTTTTCTGATGTAATTGATATAATATAAATAACAAAAAAAATGAATAACAATTTCAAATCAGATCAACAACAATCAACAAACCTCTTTTTCCATCGATTCCACGGACACCAATTTTTCCCGGCAATCCCGGTAGACCGTTTTCGCCACGCATTCCCGGAAGTCCTGGTACTCCCGGTAAACCGTCGTCACCACGGTGCCCATGGAGACCTGGTAACCCCGGCTTTCCATCCAAACCAACAATTCCACTGTCACCAACTTCTCCAGGTATGCCTTAATTTATTTTTATATTGAGGCATTTCATTTTAGTCCATATAGATATTAGCTATCGACACTTGAAAGATGTGTGTATCAATCAGAAGTATGGACCAAGCAGTATTCCTTTCCTTTAGTCTTTTCTCCTGATATTTATGAAGAATTATAATTACGCGAAACTCTAATACCAGATTAGTAAAAGTAAAAATATTTATAAACATATCGCATAAAAAAGTGCGAATTTTGGATGTACATTGGATCCATTCTCATATCAAATGACCAAGCAGTTGATAAAGTCCCAGGTCTGGTAATCTGTAGCCAAAAGTAGTTTCTTTCGCACAACGAAACTTTGTAAAATCGCTGAGGAATTGGATATCTCCACTTTCACCCAGTTTCCTTCCTCATTGCATTCTATGTCTTCTTAAGGTATCAAAAATACGGTCTAATTAAGACTTGCATGGATTCATTCAAAATAGAGAAATAGGCGGCCAAACGATTTCTTAGATTGGAGGATAAAAAAAAGGACGATCTCTTTTGCTTTTTGATTATGGATTAGAAAGTTTGGAAATAACTCATTCTTGCAATCAGTGGTGCCCACCCAGTAATAATCGTAGCATTATAAGAATCTAGTAAAAACAACGGTTTTGAAGATGTCCAACGTGCGATCTTCGATGCATAAGACCCCCCGAGATTAATAATGCGGTCCCATGAAGCCATAAAGTTTCATCATTATATGGTTTTCCATCAAATTAGACATTAATCAGTGTTTCGAAAGCAAAATATTCCACACAACAATAAAAGTTTTACGCCGCTTTCTTTCAATTTTATAACAAAAGACCTGGAGAATCTGGGAAATGAAGTTTTTTGGTTATTCTTTACCATTATGATTATTTATCGGTTATATTTTGTGCATCCTAAGACAATTCCTCTTCATTCAGTGCGGCGCATGGAAGCCAAACTTTGAAATTCTCGGTCTAAAGTATGAAATTTGGTGCAGAATGGTTCAGTGAACTATCGCACCAATTCTAGAATTTTACCTCAGACAGGAGTAAAATTATACAAAAAGTGTCGTTGGTGTCGTTATCTCTATCGCCAAGTAAAAAAAATTAGTCTAATTAGATTAAATCTAAATCAAGCCAAGTTTGAAGTGATTTTAAAAAGGAAAAAAGGATTTACCTATTCCATCATATCCAGGACTGCCAGGGAAACCATCTTCTCCTTGAATACCTGGTAAACCTGGAAAGCCATCCTTGCCAGTCAGTCCAGGGACTCCATCATCTCCACGTTTTCCTTTAATTCCTGGGACGCCACTTCTTCCATGTTGTCCTACATCTCCGCTTGGTCCAGGAATACCTTCGAGTCCACTATCACCCTATTCATAAACAATTTATAAGCTACGTTTTCTATATTCCTATTTATTTTCACAGTGGGGCATATTTGGTTGTATTATTTATCAGTTATTTAATTATGGCAATTAGAAGAAATATGGAATAGGAGAAACTAAGATGGTGTTGGTAATAATATTGTAACGCATTATTAGATTGGTGAAGGAGGCCATATACAATGTGGTCCTGCTAATATGTGGTAGCACTAAGGTCAAGGTACTTTACTGCAAATTAAATTTGCTCAGTGGAAAATTCATCAATAATATCAAATACAATATCAAATATCAAAAATCTGGTACCAGTTTTTATCAACTGGGACTTTTTTAATTCAACTGCTGTTTTATTTCTTATTATGACCAATTTTTGGTTGGGGAATAGGGAGAAAGATGTGGGGGGAGGATGGGGAGAGGGGGGAGGGGAAGAGGGCGAAATAATTGATTTATTTTAATCTATTTCATTTAGATGTCTATTTCTAATGTTTTTCCCGTTTCATTCCAAAAAGCGATAATTGTTTAAAGAGTTTTAAGAGCTAAGTTGAGTTCTGATAAGAAGAAATTAGTCCTCAGATGCAAATTCAGCACCGCAAAATATAACTGAATAAGTCGTTGATCGTTAATGATCCACCAAATTAAGCCAATTCAACATCAAATAAAAATAAAAGCAATAAAACCTTCCACAAATTTACCATTAAAGAATGAAAAAACATGAGTACCATTAAAAATGCTGTGGTTGAGAATAAATTTCTTACAGGTAATCCTGGTGGTCCGGTAGAACCTGGAAGGCCAGAAACTCCAGGCCAACCACTTTCCCCTTTTTTTCCTGGAATGCCTGCTAGACCCGCCATTCCAGCAAAGCCTGCTTCACCGGGAATTCCTGGATATCCTTTTTGTCCTGGAGGGCCACTCAGTCCCGGGCGGCCAGGCTGACCTAGTTTTCCAGATATACCTGAAATAACTCGAGTTAATATTCTAATTTAAAAAAGTCACAAACTTAAGTCATACCTGATAAACCTTGTTCTCCTTTGATACCTGGAATTCCAGACAAACCATCTCGACCTTTTTCACCATTTTGTCCAAAGTCTCCCATATCGCCTTTCAGGCCTAAAGAAAAATATCCATTATAGTCCATTTTCTTTGTTCACAATTTATAATTTTTAAAATGAAGGAAATTGTGTCAGAAACATGAATTCTTTGTTCTTTTTATTGAGTGATAATGTCGTACCTGGTATTCCAATCATTCCGGGCAATCCGGGGTGTCCATCAATTCCATCTTGGCCGTCGATTCCTGGCTCACCTGGTTCACCCTTAAGACCAAGAGCTCCCGGATAACCACGACCGAATTCACCTGGCTCTCCTTTTAAGCCAGATATGCCATCAGGTCCTATAAGACCTGGCGGGCCCATAGGTCCTGAAAGCCCAATGTCTCCTGGAAGCCCAGGATGGGCGACATGTCCTGATTCCCCTGGCAGTCCTGGCAGTCCTGGAAGGCCACTTTCACCTGGTAGCCCTGGTAGGCCCGGCATTCCATCACGGCCTCGTTGTCCTGGGAATCCATCATCACCTGCCGGGCCAGGAAAGCCTGGAACACCATCAAGTCCTCTTTCACCAGCGAGACCTGGATATCCATCTGGTCCAAGTGCTCCTTCATCGCCTTGCAGCCCTTTCAGCCCTGGGAATCCTATAAAGCCATCCTCTCCTTTACTCCCTGGTATTCCTGATAAACCTGCTGGCCCCATCATTCCTGGTAAGCCTGACGGACCAGCTTCGCCTTTTTTCCCTGGAATTCCACTGATTCCAGATGCACCGGGCAAACCAGACTCGCCTGGAAATCCTGGAAGCCCCCCTTCTCCCACAGGTCCTCCTCGACCATCTTTTCCTGGTAAACCGAGCAGTCCTCTTTCGCCTTTCTGTCCAGGAATTCCAATGAAACCTGGTAAACCGTCTTCTCCTGAAAGTATTTTTATTATGAACCTAAAAAATGATTTCCAACATTATAAATTATAATATCTGAATCTTGATACCTTTAATTCCTGTGTATCCTGGTGGTCCAATCAACCCTTGACGTCCTGGTTGACCATCTCTTCCTGGTAATCCTGGTCTTCCTATCTCGCCTTTTGGACCAGGATATCCTGCCACACCCGGTACTCCTTGACTTAACTCTCCAGGCAGTCCAATTAGGCCAGGAAGTCCCGGCAGTCCACTTTCTCCTTTTCGACCTTGTTCTCCAGGTGCACCTGGCAAGCCACTGTCTCCCGGCATGCCAGGTAATCCAGGAGCTCCATTTATGCCTGGTATACCCCTTAAGCCATCGATACCGGATTCTCCTGGCTCGCCCGGTAGTCCACCGCGTCCAACATTTCCCGAATATCCCGGCAATCCGTCGTTTCCTCTCATTCCTTTTAGACCAGGTAAACCCATATAACCATCTCGACCAGGCAATTCTCGCGTAAGTCCAGTGAATTGTGGGCCTTGTGGTCCTGTAGATCCTTGTGGTCCTGGAAATCCATCTTCTCCTCTCTCACCTTTAGCACCATCAGCACCAGAAGGGCCGGCATATGAGTCACCTGGAAGACCAGGTGATCCGGGTTGACCAATCTAAAAATAGTATTTTTCTTTCTTTCTTTATTTTACATGAAATTTGCTGAAACAATTATCTTAAAAAAAGTGCTCGTTTCTTATTCAAGCAGTAAATTTCATTTAAACGGAGAAAGTCAATCTGCGAAACTATTAAAAAAAATTATTGAGGTTGAAATTAACCATTCCATCTCTCCCATGCTTGCCGTTAATTCCGAGAACGCCTTTTTCTCCCATTAAACCGGGTAAACCATTCGGTCCGGGTAGTCCTGGCAAGCCGTCAATCCCTGGTTGACCTCGTAATCCGGGTGTACCTATAAGTTTGCCAGTTTTTGTTTACGCCAACTTTTAAATTAATTAGTAAATCAATTGTTCGCTAAATTCAAGATTCAAGAAAACAGCGAAGCATTATTTATTTTACCTGCTAGTCCACGTTCTCCTTTAAATCCAGGCAGTCCTTGTGGATTTTCCATCGATCCAAGGATTTCTCCAGCTTCGCCCTTAAGTCCTTGAAATCCAGGCAGACCAGGAAGACCATTAGAGCCCTTGAAGTGATTCAAATTAGCATGAATTATTTCATTTTCACGCTGATTTCAAATTTTAAGAAAGATCTTGAAGACTAACCGGAAGTCCATCAGGTCCGGGGAAGCCGATCTTCCCCATATTTCCTTTAGGACCATCAGCGCCTAAACTGCCATCTGGCCCTGGGGGTCCTTGATAACCATCCTGACCTGGGACACCCGGTTCTCCTTTCTGGCCTGGCAAACCATCAGGGCAATATCCGCAATCGTCTCCTGGTTTTCCGGATAGACCAGCTGGTCCAGGAATTCCATCAAGTCCGATTCTCCCATTTTCGCCCGGTTGTCCCACCAGACCTGGTAAACCAGGCGGGCCTGCTTTTTTAACTCCATCTCCAGGAAATCCTTTCATTCCCGTTAATCCAGGATCTCCAACATCTCCAGGAATTCCGGGATATCCATCTCTTCCTGGTCTTCCTTCGAGACCTGGAGGACCTTGAATGTTAAAACCAGATGAACCACTTTCCCCGGGTAAGCCAGGTTCGCCTAATTTGCCCGGTGTTCCAGCCTCTCCCGCGTATCCTGGGTTTCCATCAGTTCCTCGTTCTCCTTTCTGCGAATATCCAGGAAAGCCGGGCAATCCTGGGTTTCCTGGAAAGCCAGGTGGTCCAACAGGGCCTCGCATCCCAACTGGGCCCATAATTCCGGGCATTCCTGCAAATAATTTAATAGTTTTTTGCATTAATCTGTATTTGTTAATTGTTGTATATCAAAAAGCTGATAGACCTGGTTCTCCTTTCGGCCCAGGTATACCATCAAATCCTTGTTGTCCTCGTGGTCCTTGTTCTCCTCTTCCAACTCCATACTGTCCTGGTGGGCCAGGATCTCCTTCCAAGCCTTGCCTCCCGGGGTAACCTAACTCGCCGGCTGCTCCTTTCATACCTGGATAGCCATCCAATCCTCGAACTCCTTGTATTCCTGTTTCACCTTTTTCTCCAATCAATCCTACATTGCCATCTTTTCCTCGCTTGCCCTTAAGCATAATAATGTTTTATGAAAAGATCCGTAGTAATGTTCTTAAATTTCGAAAATTTTTTGAGATCTTACCCTGCTTCCAGGATCACCAGGGGATCCTTTTTGACCTTTTAAGCCAGGATAACCAGGCGTACCATCAAGACCAGCATAACCTACTGGGCCAACTGGACCAGCTCTGCCTTTTTCACCTTTCATGCCTATTAAAATACAATTTTTATAATCCTTGATTAAGTGAAGTGGAAATCCAAGATTGTGAGAATAAAGTCAGTAATAAATTAAATTATGACGAACTTATTTAATTTAATAATGGAAATTAATAATTGAAATACAGTAAATAAATTGGTTTATACGGCAAAAATTGCATCTATAATTTTATTTAAATTTTCGATTTGTAGAAGATTACCTGGAGGTCCTGCTGGACCTTGAATGACTTCGGTTTCCTCAGGAGCTGATGCACCTGCGAAACTGCCAGGAGGTCCAGGCGGTCCTGGTGGACCGGCCAAACCTTTTTCTCCTTTCATACCAGGAGTTCTAATGCCCATGCGTCCTTTTGGTCCAGGAGGACCAGGAAAACCTGGTGGTCCCTGTAATATTTTCGAGTTTCTAATCAGCTTGTAACAAGGATAGTATTCATAATAAATATGACGGATCGCAGAAGCACCATTAGTTAAATAGGAAAAAAAAACTAACAAAAGGCCCGCGATCCCCTCTCTCGCCTTTATAACCAGGCAGACCTGGTATGCCTGGAGTACCAGGTGAGCCAGCTCGTCCAGCTTCTCCTTTTTCACCTTTCCTTCCTACTGAGTTAATGCCTCCTTCACCAGGAAAGCCAGGGTTTCCTGGTCTTCCGGCTTCTCCTGGCAATCCGCGTGAACCTGGTGGTCCAGCAAGTCCTGGAAAGCCGGGTCTGCCCTGAAAACCATTTTCTATCATTAATAATAATCGGTCATTTAAATTACATCCAGATGAAAGCCAGTACTGCTCGATCAATAGTTTATGAATCCATATATCAGTTTATGTAAGTTTAGAGAACTTTTTCGACATTCATTTTGCACCAATACCAACTCAGAATATCTTCGAAGTTAATTGTCATTTTTTTCTGCGAAAATTTACGACAAGGATTTGTTCGCTATAAGATTTTATGAAACTATCAACGATTTTTTTGATTAATGCTTCGAAAGCTTTTTTTGCAGCCAACTGTTTTTTGGAAAAGTTTTTGGTTTGGCAATTTTTTCCATTGTTCATTTTTCAGATAATTTACTTATAAATTAACAATATTTTAAAGTATATAAAAAAATTAACATCAGTTCCATTGCATCCAAGAATACCCATTTCACCTTTCATTCCAGGTATACCATCCAAACCAGGTAGGCCGACATGACCAGGTGAACCAGGGAGTCCTCGATCACCCTGAAGCGATAGTGGAAATAATTAATGAAATTTCTCCTGGAAAAATAAGTATATGTATATGTAATAAGTATAAATAAGTAAACTATTAAAGGACAAACCCTCGGTCCTTTCGGTCCTATATCGCCAAAATCACCTTCTGAGCCTATCATGCCAGGTAGTCCCAAGTTCCCTTCTGGTCCATCCAGTCCAGGAGCTCCTTGGTGTCCTCTCTCACCTTGAAATCCACGTGAGCCCTGGAATTCGGAATTGAGTTAGCTATTCGTGCAAAGAAACGTGCAAAGAATCCTGGCTAGACAAGGTTTTTGCAACTCGACTGAATTTGGGTCACAAGCCTTATAATCTATCCCTGACTGTGAAGAAAGTGCTAAAGAGCATTGTTCTTTACGAGAATGTTCTATTCATATAAATTCGTTAAAAATTTCAACTCTTTTGAAGAAAATTTCTCGAAAAAATTATATTAAAGTTGTTTATTTAAGAAAGTTTCTTAAAATCTTCTCCATCACTCTGTTTAATTTGTAATCTTTTTGCAATTATTTAGTACAGCTTAAACAATTTGCAAAAATTTATAAATCGAGCCTTTCTTTGCATTGAAATGTATTGAAATCATTGATGGACCTAAAGATCTGAAAGTAAATAAGAAGTGGTGGAGACTGATGAACTGGTTGTGCCCGTTAATAGTGTCTTAAGTAGCAAAACGGGGGATTCCATCTGCTAAGGGACGGAGCTACACTTCTATCGCCAACTCTCTCGCTCACCGAAATTTCCTGTAACGACCAAAAATGGAGAGCGTTTAGCACTTATTATAAATAATACTGCGCAAATTAATGATTAATGGAATATAAAGAATAAAATGAAAAGAAACCTTCGAAGCAATTTGACTAATTATTACTGCACTAATTATTATTGTCAATTTCAGCATAACTTGATTTGAGATAGAAATAGGTCGGAAAGAAAACTTACTTTTTCACCTTTTTCGCCAGGACATATACAGGGCGGCACACATCCTTTACAAGCTGCACCATCCGTCGATCGGAATTGTCCCAGCAAGAATGTCAACAGTAATAACCTATACAACCTATACAACATAACGACTTCCACAGTATTGCATGCAAACAGCTGCTGATCGCGCTGGCGTAGAATTTTGCAAGATTCGTCTTTGCAGTTTTTGCGACGGAATATATACGAGCATAAAATATAAGGGAATCTAAATTCAGCCGAGATTCAAAAACTCCAAAGGACCGCAAGCGTGGTTCAAGTGGAAATATTCACCGATCTATAATGAAAAGGCCTCTTAAAATTTGTAATTTTTATTAAGTTATTTTTAATAGGAAATGCTTCGATATTGAAGTTCTTATCTTCTTATTCTCAAGTTCTTATTCATGTTCTTATCCAAGCACGATAGAACGATGGCAAAAATGTACGATAGAACCAACGATAGAAAGGAAGGCTCAAATGAATGTTTCCTTTCTTGAATACTTGAATAGGCGCTGAACCTAAAATAACCAGTTATGTGAATTGCGAGCAGTTCTCATTCGAAAAGTCGCAGTAAGGACAATTTGAGTGTGTTATGAAATGAAATGTTTTGGCTTAGGCAGGTGATGCAGGAGATGCACTTGTACTTGCCACCCCAAATAACTCCCTGCTGAAAGGCTCTCATTCGAATAGTCAGCACAACCAGCCAAACCAAAAATTATCAATAGTATTAAAAGAAAACGAGTGTTCGCAAAATTAGTTACTGTCTGATATTGACAGACACAAATGATGAGAGAAACAAAAATATCTGCTGGCGCAAAAATCTCGAATGGGCTGCAACGAGCTTTTTAATAATCGAACAAAGGACACTATGAGCAAGCCGTTCAGCTGAGTAGCACTTGCCTCGATTTTCTTCGTTCTAAACGCCTCCATCACTTTAAACCGTCGAATTTTTGCAGGAACATATGGCTCAAATAAATAAACTTCTGATTAATCAAATAAATAATCCTCTCTTAAAAGTAATTTTTACAAAACACTTCCAAGTTGAATGCATTTGAATGCGATTTCTCTCCACAACTCACTGCTCAACAAGATTTTATTTTATTTGCATACATTGGTACTTTGTCTGATAAAGTCGGTCGGAAAAGGCGAAAGCAAAGCAAAGTGTCGCGAGTCTTCACTTTTAATCCTTGCTTCATTCTTATCAAAAAACAGGAATCGAAGCATCGATGCGAACGCAAAATTCCATGTTCTGCCCAATCTTTGTTCCTCACTATTTCACATTTTATATATCTTATTTGCTATTTTCATTAATTTCATATTTTATTTAATTTGTTTCATTACGCAGTAAGGTTTGGTTCAAATGAAATCTTTTTTGTGAAATCATTTCATTCGAACGATAAAATTACAAATAAACCAGATGTTCTGCATATGTCTTATCGATAAGACAATGTTCGGGAAGGGATGAATTCGAGTGCATTCACATTTATTAATTATTCTTTTCATTTCTTCGTTAAGACTGTTAGAGATTATCACTGATAATGACTGAAATTTCTATCATTCAAAAAAAATCCTTGAATTTAGCGAAATAATTGAAATTATTATCAAAAGATTGGTAAGTCTATAGAACAGCTGACTTCAGCTGCATCTCTCTTATTAATAAGACAGATAAACGTTATAGAAAACCCTTCAGCCTATCAATTATCTATTACTTTCAAAATCCTTAAGATAATCAAATCCGCTCGATTTGAACTGTCATAAATCGATTTGAAATGAGAAGTTGTCCAATCTGAAATAAAAAGCCACCGAATTTTCAGTAAAAACTGCAAGATCGGATGGATGAACGATTAATATATTGAGCATCATGTTTGCTCCATATCTCTTGGTGGCAATGATGGATCCTGTGGAATCCGAGTGGGGAACCCACTTGTACTTCTATCGCCAAATGTCAACCAGGCGGAAGACTTAAATAGTGAAGTGCACCGGAAATGGTGAATTGCATCCTCAGTTTTACACCTCATCTGGTGAAGAAAGAAGGCAAGAAAAACAGCTGAACATAACCGTTGTTTCAACTTAATCCCCCTTTACTCCCATTCTTTTTTAAATAATTTTGCTTTTTTTTGCCACCTCTGTTCTTTCACTCACAGAAAACTTGTACACTATTAAATACAAGCTCCACCAATTTGTCGACACTTGGGGTTTAATTCCCAATGTTCCAATCTAAGAATCTGCTACCCATTTCCTCGCTAATAAGGAAACAGCCGAAGCCGCATTTTGGTGCAAAGACCAGCCGATATTTGAGCGATTTCTATTCGGCAGGCTCGGCTTATCAATTGTGTTTCTGCAGTTTGTTGGCTTTCCTTTCGAAATTTTTAGGATGATTATCAGTAGTAAAGAATGAAAAGGGCTCGTAAATCTAAGAGCTCGTTCTTCGATTGTTCTGTGGGACGTATTCTCTCTCAAAGATTAGTTGGAATGTCGATTCCTTTTTCTTCTCGCCGTTTCTTCTTTCTTATCCGTTCCGTCGCTTTACGCAGTCTGCGAGTTATAAAAATTAATTTTCTTCATTTTCTTACAATGTTTTTATTGCCTCTGTACGCTTAATTAATTTTGATTAATTCTATCGCTTATGGCTTATATCTCTATTAGCGTTTTATTGGCTAAACGTAGTGTGGCGAATCGACCTCACTTCATGTTATTGTTTCAACATTGATAGTATTGTTGCACACATTATTTTTTGGTATTTTTATTATTTTTCCTTATTTTTCATTATTATGTTATTCTTTATTATTGGTGGGAATTATCGAAAGTGATCGCTTTATTCGTCGTCACATTCGCTGCGTTTGCACGGAGATTCAACGGTAGGATTCGCTTTCGTCGCTTTGGTTCAGCTTCATGCAGATTTCATTTTCTCCTCATACATTTTGTTATTATTTATTGCGAAGTAAATATCCGAACCAAGAACTGTCATCCCCACGAATAAAATTTTGCTATTTTCTGGTGCATTATTTGTGCATTATTAGTTAATGTGAATTACACCGTAGAAATAAAATTTCATGAGTCGAAAAGTTACCAATCTCTAAAACATTAGCATATTTATTTGAACATTAAAAAAATGATAATGACGATGACTTTCTTCAATAGCATTATTCTTGAAGCTTATTTTTTGGCATACTATCTAAAGGAATTTTGTTAAATGTGAAACGAGGTAAACAATCAGTACTTGAAGGTTTTAGGTTTATATGAGCGTTGATCGTCTTGTCGATGAATATACTGCAGAAATTTTTACGAGTGATGCTTCATATTATTTTCTACTAATTCCAAATTTAATTCCAGGTTTCGATTTTTCTTTTGTTTTATTTTCTTTATTTTCCTAGTTTTAAATAATCTTTTATCATTTTTATTATAAATATGATAAAAATAATTATTTTAATAATTTTAATAATTTAATAATTTCTTTAATAATTTTTGGATTTGTATTAACATTTAGAACAGTTGATTTAATTTAAATAATGAAATTATCTGTTAGGAGGACGTATATGAGTGATTTATTGGCAAAAATTTCTTATTATTACTAATACAAATCCAAAATAATAGTGGGACGGGTTAACCAGAAAAATTTATACCATTAAAAAAATGAATTTTCCATCTATGTTTATTGCAGTTTTGCTTGTCTTCCACTTTTTTATTTGGTTTGGTTTTGAATTTTTCATCAATAATTGAAACTGGAAAAAGAAATGACTATATCGGCGTTTTTGGCAATGAAATATCCATCACTTCCTAATGAGATCAAAGACTATGTCAGTTGTAAGTTTTTTTATTTTTTGTTTTTCCAACAAAAAGATTAGAAAAGAAATTTAAATGCTAGTTGTAACAATGCAATATCCTTTGAAACTGGAAATATAATTAATTGTTATTATTTTTCTCCATTTATCAAATTCATTTTGGATAAATTGCATTTTAAACACAACAGTTATTGGCATGAAAGTGGAGAAAGTTAATTGTAAATATTCTTATAGAGAGCCATGTCCACTATATGTTAATTATTGATTTACACCATTCTTCCAGGTTCTGGACTATCAGCGGGATGATTAGCAGAGATTTAAAGCAATTTTTTTCTGATTGATATTTCAGCATCATTAATTAATGGTTACTAATTATTTGCCAATTTTTAGCCATTCTTTACGAAAATGTTGACGATATGAATTGTAAGGAAGATGTTATGGAAGCTGTTGGGGATCATTTAAAATGTTCGATTGACGGTGTTACTGATGAAGAAATTAATAATATTTGCGAAAAACTTATTTTACTGCTTCAAGATTGGTTTGATTTATTTTTAAATTTTTTTTTTGAGTTTTTGAAAACCGTTATTAAAGTTGCAGATTTTTCTTATGAAAGAGTTTATATCTATAATTTTAGAAGAATTTTATTGTTTCTTTGGCTGTCAAGCCAAAATTGTCATAATATTCAATAAATATATATGATTTATTTTTAAATGTATTTTTTCTGGTGTATTTGGTGTATTAGTTGTTTTTTTTATTTTTCGAATATTTTTTCTTTTCTAGTAGACCGAACAATTCGTCAAAAGTTCACGATGGTTATCGTCGGCTTGAAAAAGTCGTTGATATCAGTACACAAGCTATAGATTCGGAAGATTTCGAAAGTATATGGAAAGTTACTACTCGTGAAACACCAACTGTATTATTAGTTTCTTAAAGTTTATTTCATTTTTCAAAAATGTTTGCAAGGAGATATACAGTATTCGGCTAAACCACCATGGTTTGGATTTTTTTTAACGGAGCTAAAAAGGTTTTCCCTAGTTTATTATATTTTATTACAGTTAATAGATAAAAGAAAATTGGGAAGAGCGCAAGCAAAAGCGCTGGAAAAAGCGTCGAAACGTGAGCTTGATGGGCATTCTTCGAAAAAGAAATCTTTCATGCTTGCTGCAACAGCTTCCCAAACCCCTTCTCGTCGTGATATTTCTAGTGCAAATATTATGGATATTCACCTTAATAATGTTGATATTAATATTGGCGCGAAGTATTTATTTGATTTTATTAATTTGTATTAGAAAAGTGGGATTGCGTAATTATTATTTTGATTATTTTTTATTTTTATGAGTGCCAGTTTAGGCAGTTGTTAAAAGGAACAGATGTTGTATTATCGTATGGTCGACGATATGGATTAGTTGGGCGTAATGGTGCTGGCAAATCGACATTTTTGCGAATGATATCATCGTTAATATTATTTAATATTTTTATGGATGGCAAAAATCACAAATATTCGAGAAATTAAATGAAAAATTTTTATATTTCAGAGGACAGTTAGTCATTCCTGCGAATATTAGGATGTTAAGTGTCGAGCAAGAAGTGGAGGGAGATGATACAGAAGTGCTACAAGCTGTTCTTAAGAGCGATATCCATAGGTTAAAGTTGCTCAATCGTGAGAAAGAATTGCAGGAAAATTTGCTTAGGTAACGAAATTATATTTATAATGTTGATAATTACTTTGGTTGTTTGCTTGTAGAAACAAAAGTTTATTTTAGTTTTTTATTTAAGGTCTGATGTAAATGAAAACGACCGCAAAAAATTCACTGCTGAACTTATGAATCTTTATTCAGAAATGCAAATTGCTCAATTAGATAAGGCAGTTAGTCGTGCTGCTTCAATTCTTTTTGGTCTTGGCTTTACTCCAGATGAGCAGAAGCGTTCAACAAAGTATTTTTTAAAATAATTTTTGAATTATTATAAAATTTTTATTATTTATACTAATTTAAGTAATATTTTAAGGGAATTTTCTGGTGGATGGAGAATGCGAATTGCTTTAGCTTGTGCTCTTTTCATCCAGTAAAAAAATTTTTTAAAATTTTTTTAAAAATTTTATTCCATCATTGAATTGAATTTCGCTTTCCATAAAAATAAAATATTTTAATGATCTTATAGAATAGGTGGCATTTTTAGGCCTGATTTATTATTACTAGATGAACCAACCAATATGTTAGATATGCGCGCTATATTCTGGTTGGAAAATTATTTGCAAGTAAAAATTTTTGCTAAAAATATCATAAAAACTTAATTTTGCTTAAAAAAACTAGTTCATTTAAATTATCGTTACAAATTACGTGATATAGTGAGGCTATCTCAAATTGCTTCAGGATTGGGCTTCAACAGTTGTTATTGTATCTCATGATCGAAGCTTTTTAAATTCTGTTTGCACTGATATCATTCACCTGCATTCAAAAATGTTGCATCAATATCGTGGTAATTATGCTATATTCGAGAAGTCTGTTAAGGATAAGCTAACACAACAGCAAAGGTCGGATGATTTTTATAAGCTGTCTCTTCTTTACAGAAAAAACCAATCATTTTTACTATTTTAAAATGGCAAAAAGGACTATTTTCGGGCTCTATTCTCATTTTTATATTTTCAGAGAATATGAAGCGCAACAGCAATTGCGACAACACACTCAGGAATTTATTGACAAATTTCGATATAATGCAAAACGTGCTAGCATGGTGCAAAGTCGTATAAAAATGCTTGAGCGATTGTAAGTTTCTTTATTTCTTAATTATTTCAGTTTATTTTATAGCTGTATGTGCATTTTAGAATAATGGAAGTGATATAAATTATAATTAAATTTATTAAATTGATATCATGGTCAGAGAATATAATTTAGTTTCTTTTCATATATTTCAAGCCTTTTTATTACTGGGCTGGCTTGCTGTAAGGGCATGATATTTTCAAGCTGTTCGATCTGATGCCACCCCTGGCAGTAATAGAAGCCATTCCTTTTTCCATCTTCTGAGTCCATATATTTCTGGCTTATTTAAAAAACTTTTTCATTCCAAGCCTTGGTTGGTCCTCTTTGCTTTTGTCATCCGTCACAAGTCGTAATATTGTTAATATAATGTTGTTAATCCGTCGTAATATTGTTAATATTTATATATCAAAGACAAAAAAATAAAATTAGAAGAAAAAAATAAATTAAGTAGAAAAAAAGAAAAGAAATAAGAAATAAGGAATTAAAATAAATAGAAAAAGCTTATCTTAAAAAAGCAATTTATTTTTTACTTTTGTAGTATTTCTATTTACTTTTTTGTATTTCTGTTTTTTTTAAATTTTATACATATTTTGTTTTATTTCTTTGTTTTAAAATTTAATTTAAAGATCCAAAAGTAGCGTAAAATAGAATAGGAGAGTAGGACAGAAAACTATCGTTCAAGAAATAAAATTTTTTAAAAGTTTAAATTTATAGCTTAAATTTTTTTTCAGGCCTATTTTGAAGCCAGTTGAAATTGAAACTGAGGTCACATTACGATTTCCTGATTGTGAAGTCTTAAGCAACCCAGTTTTACAATTAGATGAAGTTTCTTTCAGGTTTTTTAATCTTTAGTTTTGTTTTTCAGAATCGTTGTTTTCTGTATATTTGCATATAAAAATATTCTATTCTCATGCAATAGGCGGTATGGGTCTCTCCTCGAATTTTCTGTTCGAGATCTTGGTCTTATAGAGAAGAGTAGAGCACTATCTTGGTTGTTTTTGGCAGTGAGCTTCGGACAGAGACCTTTGATGTTTTCCTTGTAATCTGCCACTTTTCTGGTGTAGGGGTCATAGTTCCGATTGCTGTCACTGGAAATCCATTTCTGACTGAAGGTATTGCTGTGGTTTGCCCTCAGATCTTGCAACCATTATAAATCTTTCTTTATTCACATTCTTGTAGTATTGTTCGGTTTCTGCTGTTGGTAGCTCTGCTATTACCATATTGTTGCATCCGAGAGTACTTGGGTGATTCTTTGGAGAACAAGGCATTTATCTTTTTAGCCTCTGTTTTCTATTTATATCTCCTTAACCTAGTGGCCAATTAAGTTTAGCAGTTTCTTTGGCTTCAGATGGACTGCAGCCCTTGTTTTTTCCGATGGTAACCAGATACTATATATATATATATATATATATATATATATTTCACTTTTCTCTTATGAATGGTATGGGTCATTCTTGCGTCCTCTATCAGAGTAGTACTTCAGGCATACTCTAGGAATATGTATGTATATATGTATATATTTGAATAAATCTATATACACCTATAAAATTTGAAAATTTTAGGTATACTCCTTTATCTCCTCTTATTTTTCAAAATATATGCATTGGATCACATGCTAATTCGCGAATATGTATTGTATGCTTTTACTTTTAATTATTTAATATTTAATATAAAAATGATTTTAATGTAATGTTTTTTTAAAGTTTGGATAAGTTTTTTTCTCTGAGAAAATCGAATTATATGATTTTCCTGTTCTAACTTGATGAAAAATTGTTTATGAATTTCAGGTTGGCGAAAATGGCTCGGGTAAAACTACTCTATTAAAATTATTATTAGGTGAAATAAATCCTGTGAGTGGGTTTCGAAATGCAAATCGGCGGCTTAAAATCGGTTATTTTACTCAACATCATGTGGATCAACTTGATATGGATGTTTCTGTCATTGAAGTTTTGATGAATCGATATCCTGGTTAATTAATAAAATCTAAATTTTTTCAAAATATTGTTATTTCTTTATGGTTTATTTTTAAATTTTCTAACAATAATATTATTTTTGAAGGCAAAACACAAGAAGACTACAGGTCAGCCCTCGGACGATTCGGATTGAGTGGAGAGTTGGCTTTACAGCCCGTGGTTACTCTTTCTGGTGGCCAGAAATCACGCCTTGCTTTTGCTAATATCGCTATGATGAAGTAAGTAAGGTATTCTTTCTCGGATTTATTTCCTCAATTTGAAATTTTCCATTTTTTCAGTCCAAATTATCTTGTCATGGACGAACCAACAAATCATTTAGATGTGGAAACAGTGGAAGCTCTTGGAAAGGCATTGAAATTATTCAAGGTTTATCAGTTTATTTAGATTATATTAGATCTATTAATCGCCAAAAAAATTTAGTAATATTATTATTATTAATTTATTTTAGGGTGGTGTTTTAATAGTATCGCACGATGAAAGACTTATCGAAATAGTTTGCAACGAATTATGGGTTGTAAAAGACCGAACTGTGATTCATTTAGAAGGAGGATTAGAAGAATATAAAAGACATGTTCACAGTCAACTTGCTCTTTTAGCATAATTTTTGTGTCATTGTTGTCTTTTTGCTATTTATGATATTGTTATCCTCTCAGTTTTCCATTCTTTATTTTTATAAACTTCCATATTATAAAAAAAAACTTCGCAGAAAGAATTTTAGAAATTAATGAAAGATAGAGAGATACATTTAAAATATATATTGTTATCAAATTAAATTATTGATGAATAGAGAAGGATTTTTTGTAAATTTTTTGCAAATGTGGAAATAGCGCTGATCATTTTTGATTAATTTCCACTGGCTGTTAATGACAGATTTTTTAGTGAATTATTTTTAGCAGAGTTAATGGCTGAGCATTGAGAATATTCAGGGTTGATCAGTTCTCTTTCTCGTCCCATATTTTTGAATTAACTGAATTTTTTAACGATTCATTTTGGAAGTGAGGTTCGAAATCTTAGGAATTTGAGGTTGGTGATTCCGGATCTTTAATGCTTCTCGAATATAGTTGGATAATTCAAAAAACTTTAGAGAAAATATAAATCTAGTTATATTTGTTATATTAGTTATATTTGTGTGATAACATTTCATCCTCATTCTCATTCCACTCTGGCAAATTGTTCATTGCAATGTGGAAGTCGTAATTCGCTCGCAGTTTTTTCGTAATTTCAAACTCAACTTTGATACTGAACCAATATTGTAAAATGCAAATCGTGCAACAATTAATACAATATAATCAATTAATGTCGAATAGTTGGTGGGTAGAATGGCAGTGGGCATATTGCTCAATTTCGAGCACCAATGCTGGAGTTCTCCCCGCAGGAGTAAACTTGTCCAAAAATCCGTATGATGCTGGCGAATCACCTGTATTTCTATCGCCAAAAGACTCCATGGCATATTCGTCTAGTACGATAAACCAGCGAAGTGAGTTTAACCAGTAACGGTGAGGACTTTCTCTCTCTCTCTCTACAATTTGGCAGACTTTTATATTTCATTAACCAAGTGGGTCCATGTTACCTTTCAAAGCCCTCTTGTCCACCTGGTTTCCTATCATCGGAATACACCGAAAATCGGCTTTCAATTTTTTATCTGCAATATTCTATTGTAAATAAATCGTAACTTTTATAACTATTGTCTTATCTATCCAGTAGAGTGGTTCGACTTTATTGACATATGGCAATTACGGAATCGAACAACTGCGTTGTTTAGCACTACCAACAGCCCGGTTCCACGTGTTGCAAAGAATTGTTTATTTTTATGGCTCATTTGGGTTCGAATTTTTGCAAAAATCTAGTCCAATTTCCATTCCTTTAGTTTTTATTTCAAATTTGTTTATAGTATATGCATTCGCTGATGGTGAATACTCACTATTTTTATATGCAATATGCAATATATTGTTAATAGGCCATCGTAATTCAGGTTTTAGTATTTCGTCCCATCTGATATTCTGGAACCATAGAGACTGTAGATGGATCCTCAAAGGGAATAATGCCAGCCCGATATAATTTAGCAGATTAGATCACATATAGAAGCAAAACAGTGGCAAAAATGCTGCAATAATTGGTGTTTGGTAGTTGGTGTGGGACTTGCACTTTGGATTTTTATCGTAAAGGTGCCTTCGATCAGAACAATGCCTAAGAATTTTAGCTGTTGAATCATGTTATGCTTGTCTTTTATTGGTATACCAAAATGTTGTCAACATAAACTCTTTCTAAAACCCGAAGAATCTTTCCCGCAATTGGTGAAGTAATGAGCGTAAATGGCGACTTACCGCTGATAAAAAAGGACTTGAAATCGGACTAAAAGATTTTAGAAAACGCTACATATATCTCTATTTTTAAATCTTCTAACAGCTCTCACCATCAGTGGTTAGGTTGGCTGCACCGGCTAAAAGGTAAGACGCTTCCAAGCTGCGCGGCCTGATGCTATCGTCGACAGTAATAGAAACTATTCCTTTTTCCATTGTCGAAGTCCATATATCGCTCTATATATTCAAAAATTTTTCTTGATTGAACCACCTCTCTTTTCATGCCATCCATGACAAAGTTAAGCAAAAAAAAAATCCTGTGGTGGGCAACGAAGAAATTGCCCTAACCAGCGAAGATAGCGCTCTATAATGGTACTGTTAATGCAAGTGGTATTTGAGCGAGAGTGGATGCAGTCATGCGCGATTTTATCCTCTTCATGACTCGTAAGAATGACTTTTGTCTTAGAGTGGCCAAAGGAAGATGGTTTCTTAATATCCTCCACTCTCAATGGCCAGTCTCGCAGCCATATAGGAAGATCGAGCAAACTTTTTTAATCGATTTTTGCATATCTTTCAACCATAGGAATCTATGATATCGCGGTCAGTTGTTCAATTCTATGTGATTGGCTTTCTTCCTTCCCAGTGCCACCGTAATTTTGTACTTCCGCAGTCTCGATAGCACACCAATTTAGCAGTCCCTTTCAATAATCTATTGTTTAAAGATATACCATTTCTTTCCTTTTCGTTAGATTTGTGTTCGTCTTCCCAGATGTAAATACTGGATGATAGGAACGGTAAGAAGTAACCAACATTCGCTTATCATACAAATGCCCATTTCCAAATTGGTAAGTTCGCAAAAAAAAGTCCTTAAAACCATCCCCACACATCCACAAGCTATGAGCATACCATCCCACAGCATTCCCTAAATATTCCATTGTGTCTTATGCTTGGTTAACACCCTCTCAAACTCCATTCAATTCACTTATCATCGCAAAATCGGCTTTATTAAATCCTCTTCAACAATTTTTCCATTGTAAGTGAAAAACCGAATCGCAAATCCAGATTGATTTTGTATATCATTGCTTTGCTTTTATAAACTGCCAGCGTAACAAGTTTATGACCAAAGGTAAGGGTTTTATTCTGTTATTTATTACATGAAAAGGAATTTATTATATTGTTTAATGCAAAAGTTAAATAAAATATCACCACCAATAGCTGAGTGCTCTTAGAATCCGGAGTCTTCGTAGAGTTAGAGTCAACCTCAATCATCTTCAAAACATAACAAAAACAAAATGAAAAAATTTAACAAATCAAAGAGAACATAAAAATTATGCGAATTACTTTATAAATGAAGAAAATGAAATTTAAGAAAATTTAGCATATTTTGTATAATTCTACATAATGGACAGCTATCTTCATCCCAATTAATATAAGTAACCTATTCAGTAGAACATTTACATGTTTTTAATATATCACCAATTTTCTTTTAAAACAGCCGATGCATATTTAATTTTATTTCTTTACTTTTATTTCTTTACGAAATTTGCGAATGAATAAGTATTATTTAAGAAACTACATAAAAATTTTGCCGCAAAAGAAATTATTTTATGTCATAATAGGAATAATTATGAAAATCAAAAGTAAAACTTGAAAAAATTTTAATATTATAAAATTTTGACAGTTCATTATCAAAGTTTATATTAAATAAAAAAAGAATTAAATTAAAAATAACAACACCACTTTCTTTTTTTCAACTGATTTCGTTTTATTTTCGTTGCGAATACATCAGCCACAACATCGCCAGGTACCTTAACATATAAAAATAATACATAATCGTTGCTATTATTAAATTAATATTATTATTAAAATAAATTCCAAATTTCAATCAAAAATTAGTCTCTTTTTGTAAATGCGATTATAAATATAAATTTGATTAATTTGCTTTGCTTGAAATAAATTCATATACCATGTTTGAAAAACATAAATTTAAATTTAACAAAAAGAATAATTTACAATTGTTGTAATTACTCTAAAACACCTCAGAAAAATGCAATGCCGACAATTCCTCTTCTTTAATTGTCGACAATTTATCAATTAAAAGTGACATTGTAGGTGAATGACGATCACACTGAGCAAGCGCACATGTCAATTGAAATAATCGAGTTCGACTAAGTGTATCAACCTAAATCAAAAATTTAAATCTATTCTATTTTATCCAATTTTTTTAAAACAATAAAAAATTGATTGATACATTATGGTTAATAAAATTTCGACAACTTTCAAGTACTGATTGCATTCCAAAATAGTGAGCCATTTGTAGCACGACAGCGACGTTCGAGACTGAAATTTCTTTGACATCACACCACATTTTTCAAGAATTATATTTCTGAACTAATAAAAAAAATTTTTTTCAAAATTTAAATTTTTAACTGCTTAATTATGGCCACAAAAATGACTGCAACGATTAACCTGTAATTGGTTTTTTTCTCGGACAATAACAAACTACTCTTAATAATTCCAACACGTCTTCATATAAAATTTCTGAGCTTAATATTACTTCACTGGAATGTGAATGATCAGGAAAAAACACGGACAAGAAAAATGTCGAAATTTCAGCGAGCCAACCAGCATTCACATATAATATATGATCTGAAGAAAAATTCCTGATATTTTCGTTATATTATAATTTTTTCCAGACATATAATAACTAGACATAAGCGTTTCTAGTTAGGTCAGCTGCTAGCTTAATTACAAATTTTCACCGGACATTCATTTGGCGATAGAAGTGAACCAGCAGCATCACCTGATTTATAATGAATGATTCACTCCTACCGATTTATACTTTAAAACTTTAATACAATCAGAATCTAACCGCTAATTTCCACAAGAAAAAAATTTCGAAATTCAAATTCCAAACTTCAAAAATCCGTATTTATTTCACTAAAGCAATGATAAAACAAGTGATAAAAAATCTAAAAACTTAAAAATGCAATTGCAAATGGCATCCTATAAAGACCAGATTTACATTTCGGACGGACCGAGATGCTTCAACTTCAGAGACCCCTCATAAGCACAGGAGATGTAGGTAAATCACTAAATTTATTTATCAAGTCCTTTATATCACTGAAGCTGGCAAATTATAAAAGATAGTAAAATTAGATGATTTACTGAGTACTTCCTTGAGTATGTACATATAAATCTGAAAATTTCCAAGTAACATTATAGGCGAAGTATCTTTAGAATCCATTGTTTTTTATATCCAATAGGTACATAGCGCTTAGCGTATCATGGGTCATCATGGGTCTCTGAATTTTTATCATGAATGCAAATGGCCACTTCTAAACTGGAAATTTATAAACTCGTATCCACACATCCACAAACATCTCAACATTCCCTAAATATTTCTTTAGATCCTATATATTTTAAAAGACATTTTAACACTTATAAAGTATTCAACAAGGAGTAAAATCGCTCTCGAGATTTGGCAAACAATGAAGGCTTCAGTTCTTTTTTTTCTCAGGGGAAGAATGTAAGTTGGCTATAACTTCAAACTTTTCATATACTGTTCATATGCTATCATGCGCTCTTGTAAGGCACAAATAACTGATCTAAAATGAAATTTGAAATTAAAGCTCCACACATGAATTTTCTCCCGAAAAGAATTTTTTCTAAGGCTGATAAGCCTGATACTACTGTAGCATTACTTTATTTCCTTCCAAAGAATTCGATAGATTTGGTCCACCTATGCGTTGGTGAATGAAAAAACGGATGCAAAATTAAAGAAACTACAGTAATTCACTTACATTTTTATAGACATAAACATTCTGATGATCCACCTGAGTCGCTAAAAGTCATTTAAATCTGCAAGCAAAATGCTCCTTTCCACTAATTTTTAAACAATTCTTTAAATATTTTTTTTTCAGAAGGGACAAGGATATGGAAGAGGTCCAGAATAATTGCCCCCATTGATTCCTCATAAATCCGGCACTATCTTCCGCCTCACACCAACAGACTTGTGATATTTTTTCATCTCTCCAGTGGTTCTATTATTTTTTTTACCAGCAATGGAGAGCAACTGTCCATGCAATCGAAAAAAACTGCCACAGAAAAAATTAATCAGCAATTAATAACCTTTAAAAAATTAACATATATATATTTATTAGAATATTAGCGATTTAAGAATTCCACTGTTAAGGCAATTAACTTGCGATAATTAATGACTATTATAAGATATTATAAAATCTTATCAGAAAAGAAAAGTTAGAAAAAAATATTTCAAATAGTTTTGTATTAAAAAGAGTTCTTCTCATTAATCCTAAACAGACATTTAATATTTAATAAATTTGTCAACAAGTTTTCTGTTTTTAAAAATTAATCACTACGAAAATTACCAATGATCATTTCGATTAAACGATTAAACACTATTACTGATATTTGCTTTAATATATCTGAATGGAAAATAAATTACGTCAAAATCGATGGAAACTTTCAATTTAATTTCTTATTTTTATTTTTAATTAGTTCAAATAGATATTTATAATAAATTAATCAATTAATTTTTGAAAAATAAAAAACCATGAAGCTCAAAACTCAAAATTAGCCTTTTGTACGATAGAAACGAATTATTTAGATTTATTTAGACTTTTACTTCTAGCACCGTTGTTCGATTAATCACTAACAGGACTAATAGGATTAAAATAAAATGATCCAACAATTTAAGTGGTGCTAACCACCTAATTACACTGTCATCTCCAAATGAGTCTCCGGCAAATCCCGACCTATTAATAAATAGTTGGCAGAATTTAACTGCTGACTGCCAATTTATATCTTTAATTAGTCTTTAAAAAATAATTGACAATATTCCTCAAAATTTCACGGAAAAAATCATTGCTTAGTACCATAAACCCACATGAAATGAAGAATAAAATTCAAGAAAACAAAAATTTCGAAAAATATTTACATTTTTTCAATTAAATATAATAATAATAAGTGAATTGAATTTATTAAACCTGCGACAATAATTCGAGCTGTCCGACAATGCGTTGGCACGGAGAAGTCATCATAAATGCACTTCGGCGACGCATAATCGGAGGACAAGAACGAGGACGCAGCGTTCGCCTGTCGAGAAAATGCCTGCACAGGCGATTTCGAAATCATTGCAGGGCCAAGCACAACTGAATAAAAGCAAACGATTGTCAGTATAAGAATAAGTAATCGCAACAAAAGAAAGTAATTCTCTCGCTCTTTTCACAAAAAGCGGCGATGCTTCGTCCATATTGCCTTCTATCCCCACATCGCCTTCCTCCAATCTTCAAACCCCTTTCTCCTCAAGCTTCACAACCGCTGAGCCACAGTGAAGCAATTATTTCATTTTCCCGCCTAAAATTAATATAAAGCTTCTAAAATTGGCAATTTAAATTTGAACCGCTGATGTTCAGTTTATAAACCATTCAGCCATTCCAAATATCGATTGGTGTTATTGATCAAGCTTATGTTGACATTGCTGTGATATGAGTCGTGGGTTTGGGTTGCGGTTTATGTGGTTGTTTGGGTGGTTTGGGTGTTTGTTCTAGTCTGTGTTTCGGTGAGTTTATATTTCATACGGGAAGACCCAGCCTATTCATGTCGTACAAGCCAGTGAAATGTGTGAATATTTAACGATTATTTCACCAATTCAAATTATCCATCTCCGATTTTTTATTGTGATGGGTTCTAAGTTTTCACTGGTTGTTGCCTCTATTTTTTTTTAGTTTTTTCCCATTTAAAACTCATGGGAAAAAAATTTGGTTAATATGCACTGTAGGGGCCCATATTAGAATGCAATTATAAAATAATTTAGAAATTGTAACTAAAATTATGTGTCGTTAATATAATTTTCCCTTGATCGTGGTATTTAAGAAGGTAACTGGACTGAACTGCGGGTTCACCGCCGTATGCGATGCAGCTTTTTCCTGTTTCATTGTTTGTTTAAAAAAAAACGGGAAGGGAGCGCCCATGTTTGAATATAACCTCATATAATTTGTTATTTTGTATTTGGTACGGATGGAGTAATCCCCGCATTCTTGGTCAATTTATTTCGTAATTTATTGTGGTAATTAGTATAAAAAATAATATCCACACCATTTGTTGTATTAGTGGCCCACATAATGCATTTTAGCAGAAATTATCAGTGCTAACGAACTCATTGTCGTCCGATGGTTACTGTGTGATGGTAATTGAGATTTTGGTTTTAATGTCTTCATGATTTTCTTTTTCCTTCTTCCATTCTTATCGTTCTACTTTATTTTCGTTTGGATTTTTTTTTTTTATCTAGGGTAATGTATGGAAAATTATGAAAATAATAACCGACATGCATTTATTTTTTGCGCTCGCTCGGTAAAAGCGATAAGCACCATGATTATATTGTTTAAGAGGTTAAAGTTGCTTTGCTTTCCCAAATTAATCGTATTTTTTATCAGTCATATCAAATTTATTTTAGAAAAATATCGCATAAACTTACGCGTTTTTCGATGAGTGAAAATAATCGCGATAAATCCGGTTCACGCGGTGGTGGATCAAGCAGTAATCGACAGAATAGCAGTAATAATGGAAGTGGTGGTGCAACGGTTAATGTAGTTGCTAGTGGAGGAGAAAATTCATTATCACGCGCAAAATCAGATCGTCGGAATAATGCAGTTGGCAGGTACGTTTCATATTATTTTAATTACCTTTGTTCGTATGGTTGCTGAATTAGGATCATTTTTCGGAAGAGGTTAGTTTATCAGTCTGATAATTTATCAAATATTATAATCGTTTTATTTTATCAGTCTTTTCTGTTAAGGGAATAAGTAATTTACAATTGTAGTTGATAATTTTAGTCCTCATCATCACCATAATCATCAGCGTTCAAGAGAAAATATTAATCAGAGTGGTGGCGGAAGAGGACATCATGGCATCAATATGGGGGTTGGAGGTGGTGGACCGGGCCTAATGGGTGCAATGGGTCCGCGTATGATATTTTCGGGTCAAGCATTCAGTGAAACGGAACTGATGACTGATCTCCCGAAGAAAAAATTTACTGGTCGATGTCGTTTATTTGTTGGGAATTTACCGATGGATCTTAAAGAAGAGGAATTGAAAGAATTATTTGCTCCGCATGGGGATATTGCAGAATGTTACCTTAGTGGAAAAGGTTTCGCATTTCTCCGTATGGTAAGTTTCGTTTATTGCTTGTATATAAACTATAAGCCTACAGTCATTTTGTCAGTTTTTTTCACGAATACAGTTGCGAAAAAGATTTCTATACTTCGACAGATATAAAATTGAGCCCATTATATTATATTGAAAGAAGCTGCATGAACTTTCATTTAAAAGATTTATTAGAAGGCCTGCATAGTCACTGATTATGGTGAACTGTAGTAATGTTAATGAGAACCAAGTTGTTTTAAAAAATCTTCAGTTGAAAAATATCGCATCGTTGACATTCATTCATTCCTTAAACATAAATTGATGTAAATTGTTAATTTTTCAATCTTTCAATCGACATCTGCGGGAACATTCTGAAAGTAACTTCGCAGTTATATTTTTTTCTTTTCATGATTCAATCTGTGGATGTAAAAATTGGCTTTTATTTGGTTTAATTTCAATTAAAGAATTGCTTTTTAATTTTTTTTTTTTTTATTTGAGTAGTTTCGGTGAGAAAATTGTAAAAAATTGGGGTGAATTTGTGCGACCATTGCTCTCGGCCTTGGTTAGAATGTCTTTTTTGTGGTCAAAAAAAATGGTTGAAATGATATTTCATGATATGATGATATTATGCCATAGTTCGCAAAAGGTTTGAACATTGATTTCTCTTCATATGACGGTTTAATGAGGTAGTTTGCTTGTGATTGCGAATTCATTTGGTGGAAAAACCAGTGCTGGATTTTAAAATAGACATAAATGATTGGACAACGATGGTTGTTCAGAGGTTTTCGTATTTTTAATCGTTATGAATTAATAAAATTGTTATTTATTTGAGAAATTAGATGGAATTTAAAAGAAAAAATATGAAAAAATTAATGGAAATTGGAATGAAAGTTTTTTGCGAGTACATCTTATCAAGGACTTATATATTTATAGTAAAATTTTAGTTTTTTTTCAGAATTTTCGAGACCGCTATGTGATGGATACAATCTATTCAGTTTTATAAATTAATATGCCTAATTAATCAACAAATTCAATAAATTATTGACTGTAGTGATTTAAAATTATAGTGGGACAAATTAAAGTCAAGCAATTAATAAAATTAATGAAATTTGAGGATAGATGGGTTCTGAGGATTGTGGATGAGAGAGGGTTCGTATTAGTGGTATTCGTGTTATAGATTTCTGATATTTTTTCTAGGAAGCAAACGTTTATGAGAGAAATTGTGCGACAGATTTGTTGAAAAAGTGTTTAAAGCTTGACGATTTTTTTTTTTAATTTTTATTCTTGTTCTTATGTCATATTTCAGTTTCTTTGGCTTTTTTTTGAAGCCTTTAACTTCGTGATGTTTTTTGAAAATCTATAGCAAAAGATGCAGAAGCAAAAGAGCGACAGAAAGCACTAATATTTAAATAATATGTAGGACACACGTGCACATGCGGAAAGCGCAAAAGAAGCAATTGATGGTAAAATAATTCACAATAGACCAGTGCGTGTACGCTTTGCAGTACATGGTGCTGCATTAAAAGTAAAAGAATTATCACCGACAGTTTCAAATGAGATGTTATATCACGCCTTTTCGGCATTTGGTGAAGTAGAACGTGCCGTTCATATTGTTGATGAAAAAGGAAAGCCAACCGGCGAGGGAATTGTTGAATTCGAGAGAAAACATTCTGCTAATGAAGCACTTCACCAAATACGAGAAAAAGTTTTCCTTCTTACTGCGTGAGTTTCATTACTTTATTTCTATCTATTCATTTTCACCAAAGTCATCCATTCATCGGTTTGCGATTCGCTGACTAAATAATGGATATTACTTCAATACTATAAGTTTGATTCGAGTGAGTTATATATTTCAAATTGAAAGACTGGTTATTTTAAAATGGAAATTTTTGGCAATTTTGCATATAATCGTCGGCAGTCTTGAAATAGTAGCAATAATGTTAACAGTATTTTTTAGCAGAAATCTATTTCTTTGCCCAGATTTGGTTTCTTTTATCTTTTCATTGTTCTACAATCATTTATCAAAATTTTACCTATTTTTGCACCGTTTTGATGAAGTTAGTATTAAGTGCCTTCATGATATCATGATTTTCTCGGTTTTTTTGTCTCCTTTAATTGTTAGTTGGTTAGAATAAATTGTTCAGAAATTGTTCATTTTAGTCGGATTTAAGTTCAGTTTTTTGACAGTTTAATTTACTCAGTTAAGTTATTTTTGTCATTCTAGTCTAGAACTATATCTTCTTATCGCTGTTTTCTAAACAAAATTTTTAAATTAGTTTGAAATTATTAGCGACCAGAAATATTTTAAATGTATTCTAACATTCGAAGTTTTTTATTTTTAAAATAATATCTGAGATGTATAATGTGAAACACTGCGATTCGATAAGGACAGTGTCAAATTTGAATTTAATTTTTTAAACGGAGTGATATGAAAACATTCAAGGGAATTAAGGAAATGGAACTGTTGATATTTAATAGAGGAACTAATAGAAATCGGCTAAAAATTTATTTTTTTATTGTTCCCATGAGCGTAATTAGCAGATGAAAGAATTTTGTAAAAATTTGTAAAGTTGATATTTGTGGAAAAATTTTTATAAAAAACTTGAGGCAAGTGATAATGCTTAATATTTCAGCATTTGATTGTTTTAGTCCAAAATCTGATCAGTTTTTTGATCATAAATATTTTTTTATTCAATTTTTTTTTGATGTCATGAAGGCAGTTTGTTTTCATTTGTAATATTGAAACAATTTAAGCAAAAATATTTTTGGAACTATGTTCATTAAGTGAAGTAGCATATATTTTATGCATATTTAATTTGCGTAAGTACTTACTATGAGAGAACGGGAATTAATTATTGTATAGGAGCCCGAAGCCGTTGGTAGTCGAAATGTTGGAACCAAGAGATGAAGACGATGGACTTGCTGAGAGAATGATTCAACGTAACGCTCAACTGCAAAAGTATTTTTAATTATTATACTTTTTATTTATACAATCTTTTTTTTGGATTTGGTAATTTATTTGGATTCGTTAAAGAATAATATCATAAATTATTTTTTTTTATTCTCCATTTAAAAGAAAATGATATCAAAAAGCTTTAAGCGGTATTGGTTAATCATGAGATTTATCAGTATGACCGCCTTTTCGTTTTTTTTGGTGATTATGAAGTGATTAAGTGATTTTTTTTCTTTTAATACTTATGAAACCAAGTGAAGAAGTTTATAATGGATCTGTGATTCAGTATTTTTTATTTTATTTGCTTGATAAATGTCGAACAATTTTTGCTAGTTGGAAATTTGAGTTCATAATTTTTTATAATCATTGGATTTAAAATTTGCTTCTTTCGAAAGTAAATGTGGTATGATTCGTACTTCTGATCGTCAAAAAGATTATTCTTACTGGTTAATAGCCATTAAGGCTTTTTATTTTTGGAATTATTGGTCATAAAAATAATCGTTCGAACATTTATGTACCTTCAGTCTTTTTCGATCAATGTGGTAGTATTATTTGACTCCTAAATTTTTTGTGACTAGAACCGAAATTTATCGGAGAAAATTGGCGTATTCGATTTGGCAGGTCGATTTTTGCTTTTTTTTTAAAATTCTTCATTTGCTGCAAGAATCAATGAACTGGAAATAACAATAAAATTTAAACAAATTTGTTTGCGATTGCAAATTAGGACCATTATTCAAGTGGTGTGTTCATCATTTTGTGTGGAGTTGGCTGTTCTATAAATTTTTTGGAGTTAATTTTATTTTATTCTATTTTAAATTATCGAATGATAAGCAGTGATTAATGCTCAAAATAAAGTAATTTATTATGAAATTTTGCCATCTAACCTGAGACGCGAAAGGGCGGTCATACTATTTTATTTATCTAATGAGAATTTGGTATAGCGTCTATTTGTTTAGCTAATTCTTATTTGTTTTTAATCGAATTTTTCTTATCCGAAAGTCGTATTCATCGAATCTTTTTTTAACACTAAACCTAATTAGAAAGTTTTTAACTCATTCATCGATAGTTTTTCGATAATCTATTTAAGAGAATTATTGTTTTTTTGATGCCATGTTTTTTTTCTAGAATTTGCGCAGTTATGAAATTGGAACAATATATTAAATAAAATAAAACCACATTTTTTATAAATCTTAAAGTAAATTGGATTGTTCTCGGAATAGTTGTTTTTTAAACAACCATTTTTTTCATAGGTAGTCAATCTGGATCTTTTGTTATCATAATATTGTAAAATTATTATTTAGTGTTAGGGACGTTTAATGAAGTGATAAAGAGAATTTGTAGAAGCATATTTCTTTTCTACAGGGAGCGTGAAGTTGGACCAAGATTCCCGCCAACGAATAGTTTTGAATATGTCTTCGGCCTTAAATGGAAGGAGCTTTATGAAATGGAAAGGCAGCGTAGAAATCAGTTGGAAGATGAACTGAAAGAAGCGAGACGAAGACTGGAAGCCGATATGGAACTTGCTTTTCAAGATTATCAGACACAAATGCTACGTGAAGGTTGATATTTTCCAGTTCAAAAAAATTTAATTTAATTTGAACAATTTTCCAAAAATTTTTAAAATTATGAGCTTTTCTCAAGATTTGGCTCGTCGACAGCAAGAATTGGAACGGCTTGAGGCAGCAAAACGAGAACGAATGGCGCAAGTTGCAGCTCGACGTGGAGAGATGCCATCATCTATGATGAATAACAACTTACCTGGACAAGGTGGACCTCCACAAGTTGGCCTTGGAGGTCCAAATGCACCTTCAAGTGGACCACAACGTGAGTTCTTCGTCGGCGGTGGAAGTAGTGGCGGTAATTTATTACTGTTCTACTTTTTTTCATTGCCTCTTATTTTTCATAAGCATGAAAAAGCCTCACTTTCATCAGTTTTTGATCATTTTTTTCAGTGCCATGCTTTCACTTTCCTTATAATTTTCCTTATATCTTTCCTTTTAGGCCATTTTGGTGGTCCAAATGGTCCAGACATAAGTCGAGGACCTCCAAATCAGGGTGATATGATGGGACGTGGGCCTCCTGATAATATGATGCGAAATGGTCCACCAATGGATGGGCCAATGGGTCGCAATATACCTCCTCCATTTCAGCAAGGACCTAACCAAGGTCCTCGGCCTGGTGGTCCCGTTGGTTCCGGCACGCCTGGTGGACAGTCTGGTCCAGGAATGGGTGTTCCCGGTAAATTCTTTAAATTCTTATCAAAACAAATTTAAGGTTTTTAAAATAAATATGGTCCTCCAATTTTAATATCCTAGAAGTAATACGACCAGTTTATAGGAATTATAATTCCGAAATTCATTTGTCATTCATCTATATGAAATACATACATAGTTCTTAAGAATTTTACGAAACATTTAATAACCGTAAGAGGACCATTCAGATCCTACTCTTGTTCAAGGTGTTCAAAAACTGCTGCAAATATTTCGAACTGACAATCCAGGAGGAGGACGTTCTATGCCGCAAGGAGTTAGTTTCCTCGATAGTTTTCTTGTACCTTTAGGAATTTATTTTTTGTTTATTTCAAACTGGTTTTATCACATTTTTTCCAATATTTCTTCCATTTATACTATATTATTTTCAGCCTCAAGGATTTGGACCGAATTTTATGGGTCCAGGTGGCCCCCCGTTCGGGCCTGGAGGCCCAGCTGGGCCTTTTCATCGTGGACCACCCATTAATGATTTTGCGCCGCCTTCTGAGAAAAGAATGAGAAGATGAATATTGTTTAAAAGTTATTTAATCTTGGCTCTGTGTTTTTTTGTTTTACTTTTTGTTAATTTGGGATGTAAAAATTGTCAGCAGAATTCCCCAGATCTTACCAGTTTTTTGTTTTCCTTTATTTCCAATTGTATTTCCGATCAAGAAGAAAACAGAAAGCGGAAAATTTGATTTGAAGTTAGAAGGAATGGAATGGATTATGGATAATGAATTCATTAAAAATGGCTAATTATGATAGTTTTGTTATAATAGTTTTATTTAATTATTGTGGGTTTCTTATTTTCCGTTTTTTTGCATTTACCATCTTTTTTTATCAATGCCCGTATTTTCACCCACTTATTCTGTTTCTTAATTAATTTGTCATAATTTGTTTCTGGAAGATTTATACTCTATACTCAACCTAATTATTAGGCGTTGAAAAAAAAGAGTACATTTTTACATTAAAGACAAATAAATTTCAACTTAGACAAATTTCAAAGGATATCATTTTTTATTTTAGTGTGGTTTCATTTACATGTTGCAAAAATGAATGAATATTGTTTTTAATCATTATGATTGCTCCAGAGCATTCAAGATTTCTCAAAATATTTGTGGAAAAAGTATAAAAGAAAATTATCAGTTAATGATATGATACTCGGATTTTTAAAAATATATGGGGAAATTTGATGAAATGATTTGGTTTGATGGTTTTGGTGCGGTGATGGCTCAATCAGGGCTTAATGTTCTATATAAAACACGAAAGGGTTAAGGAGGAATAGTTTTCTGCACTTTTTGAACAAATAATAAGTAATTGGAGGAATTATTGGGTTTATGTGATCGTGTATGTTTATCGTTAAGTCTTGAGTCTTGTAGATAGGAAATCGTTGAAAATAAGAAAGGATTCAAAGTGCGTTAAGGTTGGGCTGTATTAGTACGTCAAGGGCCGATAAGTTAATTTCCACTCATACTTCCTGTCTTTATTTCCTTCCCGAATTAACCTTTGGCAAGGATTGTAGCCAGTGAAGCTGAAGAAAGTGGAGAAATAAAGAGTGAGAAATAGGATTCCATACTGGAATATTTGCACATGAAAAGTGTGGAGGTTGGATAATTAGGATTTGATGAAGGGGTTTTTTCCAATTCGTCCATTTTAAGCCGACCAGATTCGTACTGAGTGGGAAATTACGATTAATTGAAATGTTTAAGACATAAATTGTTTTAATGGAGCGAAAACGCCGAGCGGATGATGGAGATAGAGATTTCGTAATGAAACCGAGATTTCTTCGTCCAGGTTCTTTTTACGCAGAATTCATTGACGCAAAACTTTCTTAGGTCATCAACCCAAACATTGTGGTTCATCCTCTGACCTTAGCAGGAGTGCTGTTAAAAATTGGGAATGACTTTAGGTGGGAAGTGAAGCTTCCTCATGTGAAACTTATCACTAGCTTATCGGACCAGATAAATTTTGCAAGAAGTCATTTGGCGATTGAAGTTTAGCTGAGCAGACAAGCATCATACATTTTTTTGGGAGATAAGTTTGATCTTGCATAGGATTCCCATCTTTGACCGTTCGAAAAGGAATCAGTCCATTAAGCCATTCTATTCCTTGATTCTTTCCATTCGCGATTTATTTCTTTAAAGATAGTTTTCAGATAATGAAGAGCATTTGCTAGCATTAGAGGAGCGAACATCTGCTCTGAATGATATTTCATCAGTTGTATATAACAATCCTTATATTTCTTTATCTATAGAACAGCAACGATCAAGGCTTCCTATTTTTAAGGTTAAATACTCATTCCATTTTCTTATAGTCGCAGTTTTCCTTGTTGCTTTATTAAACATTTTTAGGCCATTTATTTTTTTCTAGTTCTTTAAAAATTTTCTAATATAATTTGTAGAATCGTTTGCATATATTATATTTACTGGAAAATTTTCGAACGTTAATTATTGTTGGTGAAACAGGATGTGGTAAAAGTACTCAAGTGCCTCAGGTAAGATAGTTGTATGCTCAGAGGTATGAACAACAATGATAGCCTACATCGAAAGAATAATAAAAGAAATTTAATGAAATTTTTTCTTAAATAAGTTGAATCAATTTGTTGCAGTATTTAATGGAAGCTGGTTGGGCAAATGATCATAGAAAAATTGGTGTTACTCAGCCACGAATAATAGCAGTTGTGACGGTTAATGTTCTATATATTGTTATTTTTTCCTAATTTATTTTCTGATGGACCACTAATAAGATAATTGTTACCGAGAATGGATCGGATTGGAATACTGCCGATGCACTAAGCTTCACCTATACTGGAATGAAGGCTTCGCCTATACTGATACTAAGATTCTAGAGCCCGGCAAGAATAAAGTCCATCAAAAATGTGGGCGATGCTGGCTATTTGTGCTTCTATCTTCGAATGATTTCTTTTCTTGTCTGGTTCAAAACCAGTGGTACGAGCGTAACAGCGCTGCTGAGCGCTTCTAAAAAAGAAAAGTTGCAATAAAGATGGATGAATATTTAAAATATTTTAAAAGTTCTGGGTGAATTAAAAAAATAATAATTTAATCTTTAGTTGGCAAATCGAGTTGCTGAAGAGAAGATGTGTAAACTGGGAGAAGAAGTTGGTTACATTATTCGATTTCATGATGCGACTAGTGAGAATACGAAAATCAAAGTTAATATTTTAATATTTTCCCATTTTTTTGCATTTGTTATCATGATATTTTTAAAGTTTTAGTTTTATTTTTATTTTAGTTTCATTTTTTATCGATTTCTTCGATATTGAAAAATCAGAAAAATTTTGGTTAAGCGCTATCTACTTCTTTGTTTATCATCACATTTTTTCTTCAAATGTAGTTGATGCTTGATATTTATATTTGATGCTTCTTAACTTCGGATAACTTATGAGAAAAGGACCTTAGGCTAAGAAATTTAAGAAACTGAAAATTTTTCGTTTATGGATTTAAATATTTAGGAAACTATTCTTTAACCCTATAAAAATCATATATATTTTCGTATCACGTTATTCGTTATTTTTCCGTTATATGAATTCATTTATGCGTAGGGTCTATAAGTTTTAAGAGAAGTAATTTAAGAGAAGTAAATAAAAGAGTCAGTCAGTAGCACAGAGAAAGTCTATTTTATAAATTAATGTTTTTATAAATTTCTATAGTATATTTGCATATTTATAGTTTGTAACTGATGGAATATTACTCCGAGAAATGATGATAGACCCATTATTAACACAATACAGGCAAGAATTTGTCGTTTCCGATGATTATGAATCAAGCATGAAATTTATAAAGGAACATGAATTCATTTATAATTTTAATTTAATTTTCTAATTTTTTCAGTATTTTGATGGTTGATGATGCCCATGAACGTTCCGTAAATACTGATCTTTTATTAGGTCTTCTACGAAAAATACTTTCAGTTCGAAATGATTTACGAATAATTGTGTCGTCAGCTACTTTAGATGCAATAGTAAATTTTTAGATATCTTTCTTTCGTTATATTTTTTCATTTGTATAATTCTTGTGACATATTCAGGAAATAAAATTGCAATTTACAGTTGTTTCGTGATTTTTTCGAATTGAATACTACGAATGATGCAGCAAAAAATACTTCAACGATTATTTCTGTTGAAGGTCATATGCATCCTATAACAATATATCATGTAAAGAAGTGATCAGTTTTATTTTTTTTCCATTGCATTTGTAATTATTTGCACTTTTCACCGAATTTTAAAGCGCGAAAAAGTAGGGTGTTTAAGAAATGTCCAAATTTAAGAATTATTTTAAAATTATCATTTTATGCTTTTCTTCTCTTTTTGTTTTAGTCCTGTGCCTGACTACGTGCAGAAAGCTATTGAAACTGTATTGAGTATCCATAAAAATGAACAGCATGGTGATATTCTGGTTTTCTTAACTGGGCAAGATGAGGTACAATGCTTTTATTTTTTGAGGATTTCATGTGTTATAAAATATCCAGGTATCTTTGTTGAGTCATTCCGTTAAGCTATCACTTCATTAACCCAAATGTTGAAATAATTTTGGATAAATAATATTTAAAAATAGATTGAATTTGCGTGCAAAAAACTGATTGAGGAAGCAAAACACTTAAGAAGTTCCGATAAACTTTGGATATTGCCGATATATGGATCTTTACCTCCTAAAGAACAAGTTGGATTCATTTTTTAGTCACTTTTTACTTTTATTGTATCGGAGTTTTACTTTCAGAATTCTTTTGATTTCAATTTTTGTATTTAGGTTAGAATTTTTGAATCCACTCCGCATGGTACTCGAAAAGCAATAATTGCGACAAATATTGCGGAAGCTTCAGTTACTATTCCAGGGATTGTTTATGGTGAATGATAATCCTTTGGTCTTTTTTAAAATCATAAATTCCAAAATTTAAATCCAACATATTCAGATATTCTTTCTCTTCTCTTCTTCAACATTTCTTTTTTTTATGCAATCCAAAGAACTGAAGAAAATATGGCAAGAAAATAATTATTATTATTGTTATTATTGTTTTATTATTGTTTTTATCCATGTGGGGTTTATGAGAAATCAAAAAAAAAATTCAAAAATTTTCATTTCTTTATTTTGCTATTATGATGAAATTACTTTAGTAATTGATTGTGGCTTCGTAAAATTGCGAGCCATAAATGCTGACAATGGGCTGGAAACATTAATGACTTTACCGATTTCACAAGCTTCAGCCGAACAGCGTGCAGGTAGAGCGGGACGAATTCGGCCTGGAAAGTGTTATCGCCTTTATACATGTGGTTTTTATGATAAATGAGAAAGGAAAATGGTTATGAAATTATGATTTTGTTAAGAGATTTGCAGTAACAATTATTCTAATTCTATTTAAGCTGATGAATACAATAAACTTTTACCATCAAACATTCCTGAAATGCAACGAGTGAATCTTGCTCCAGTTGTTTTGCAGTTGAAAGCACTTGGCATTAATAATGTTCTTCGATTCCATTATGTTTCAGTAATGCTTTTTAGCTTTTTATTTATTTTTCAAAAGTATTGTTCTAAAAATCAGTGTTTTTATTTGTATTATTTTATATTTTTGTCATAGTTTTTACTATTTTTACTTCTCAATATTTATTTACTTAGGTCCATTTTTTCTCGAACATTGTTAAGGAAATGGAGATTATTAATAGATGTGTTGCATAATGGTTATTCAGATGGTGAGAAGTTTACTTAGTACAATTTTTATTGAATTTAAGTTGAAGATTTAATGAATTAAATTTGCAGCATCCATCTTCATTTTGTATGGTCGAAGGGTTACAGTTATTATTTTCGCTTGGAGCTCTTTCAAAAGATGGGCTATTAACAAATCCATTAGGGTTACAAATGGCAGAATTCCCACTTCCACCAATGCATTCAAAGGCACTTCTTTGTTCAGGTTTTTTTCTTAAATTAAATATTTTCTTTGAAAGCGAATTAAGTGAATGTTTGTTTATCTTCTCTCTTCTCTCATTTCTTTTTTTGCAGGGGAATTTGGTTGTAGTGAGGAAATCGCTGCGATTATTGCTATGCTTCAAATACAAGAAGTTTTTGTTATGCCTTTAAGTGGACGACATAAGGCGGTTAGTTTTTTGTTTTCAATTTCAAATAAATATTTATTGACGATAAAAACGCAGAGAAAGAAGTAGTTCGTTGAAAATATCAAATCACGATTTTTCATTTCCTTATCAAGAGCCTTTAACCAAAAATTAATATCGTTATCGCATTATGGAAAAAATTAAATTCTATATAATAACGCAATAAACGATGAAATTAAATCTGAAAAAAAGGATGACTTACCCAATATTTATAAAAGTTGAATTGAATTGTAATTTGGAAGAAAAGAAAAGTAATATCAAGCCCAATTTAAGGTTGCGTTTATAAGATCGCATGTGAGTATGGAGGCACATAGGAAGGGGGACCATTAAGCGTAAGAATCCAAGAGCACTTAAGAGATTTTAAAATTCTTGTCAATTCATACCATAATATTCTTTAAGGGAAATATTTTGCATCAAATTTTGCATCATGGTCCATTTGGAAAATGCCGATTCGAAATCAGATTTTGACTTTAAGACCATTATTCTCCTTCCTTCCAATTTCTCATAGCAGATCTTTTAAATATTGCTTGATCAAGCCTTTTTTTTTGTTATTCCTTCATGATTTATTTTTAATTTTAATTCTTAATTTGATTGAAAACTAATTTTTAATCATAGGCTCTTGACGAAGAGGTAAAATTTCCATTATTTTTGACGTTTTATGTTTTTATATTTCTTTCTCTGCTGTATGTCTTTGCCAATTAATAAATTTATTTTAAATTATACTAATCTTCGTCTAATGCCCGTCTTTTAATGGAGAAGTTTGAATTTCTTAAATTTCAGTTTGTTCTCAGTTTTATCACATTACTGTAGTCTCAGAGTCTCAGTTTTAAAAGAAATTTAAAGAAGATATTTATGCTAATTTCTTAACGTTTTGTATTTAATCTATAGGAACTTACAAAGCGCAATTTTTGCGTCGAAGAAGGTGATCACCTTACTGCTCTCAATGTGTTCTTAAATTTTGTTGAAGTTAGTTTGGTTTTCCAATTTTTGGCCAATTTACGTTTGTTTTTTTTTGGAATTTTTATATTATTGGTCACATTTATATTCAATGAGAAATAAGTCTTTTACCATATTTTCGGGAGATTCATCGAAAAATTTTGAAATTCATAGGTATAATCATAGTAAAGATGTTCTAGTTTGGATATTGATTTGATGATGGATTAATAAGCAAAGAAACCCAGCAAAAAATTTCGAACTGCATTAATGATTCCGATCCTCACTCGCTTTAAAACCCTGCTACCGCCAGGGGACATTGGATTAATCCTCAGGCTTAAATCCGGTGTTGTCCAGTGTTTCTTATATATTATATCAGTGTATTTCTTATCACTATAAGCACCTAAAAAAAAAGTGAAATGGAGCTCAGGACGGTTAAATATTTGTTTGTTGGAGCTATTTTAATAATTTTTTGTTCAATTATTATGAAAAAAGATTTTCTTATGACTTTCAGAATGGCAAATCAAAACAGTGGTGTGTTAAGAATTTTCTAAACTATCGGGGTTTGTGTCGTGCAGTAAATATTCGTGATCAAATGATTAGACTTCTTAAACGCTATCATGTACCTATTGTCTCTTGTAAAGGACAAAAAGGTTGTGCCATTTTCTTGCCATTACTTTCTTCATAAAATGTATTTTATTTGATTATTTTTGATTTTTTTTTAGATTCTGTTGATGCAATTCGTAAATGCCTAGTTAAAGGATTTTTTTCACAAGCGGCGCATTATCATTATTCGGGTGATTATGTTACTATAAAAGAAGAATATCATTTCAAGGTGTATAAGGGATCTGCTATTATGTATAGGAAAGAATTCCCTAAATGGTACTTTACACCAGGATTTTTATTTATTTCTTTATTTATTTTTCGTTTAGAATATTATGAAGAATATTTTATATGTAATTTTAAACGATCATGGAAATTCGATGAAAATTATAATTTATTATTTATATTTATATTATTTATTATTATTTATATTATTTATAATAGATTTGATTTCTTTATATAAAATAAAATTATTTAGGGTAATATTTACTGAAGTTCTACAAGATTCTATTCGAGACATAACTGTTGTGGAGCCAGAATGGTTGTATGAGTTAGCTGCCGATTATTACGAGTTCGGAACGGTACATCTTATGTAAATTGTTGAGAAACAATGGTATTTAAAATGAGTTTTAGCATATTTTAATAGTGCACTATTGCATTTATTATAAATTTGTTATAAATTACATTTGTCGTGAAAATACAAATAATTCTTTTTTGTATATTTATATATATATATTTTAATGAATAATTTCAGGAAGGCGAAATCGCCAGAAAATGTTGTGAAGATTCTTCTTAATAATAAAATTGCTTGTTGTATAAAATTTATTGACAATAAAGTTTTAAAATTTTTGTACTTAGTTTTATTTTTCTCGGTTGTATGCGAATTCGATACTGAAATTACGAAAAATTAAATTAGCGTGAAGAAATTATTTCATTTTTGTAATTTTTGGATGATCGACTATTATCACGTTTTGTTTCTGTTTTATTTTATAATTGGCCTTAATTTATTAGCGTTTAGAAATTTTGCCAATGGCCACTTTATTAAAGGAAGCATCACGACGATTGATAAGTTCTCGAAGTTTATGTTGCTTGCCACGAGTTAATGATGGCGATAAACTCAGGCGTTTTCGAAGTCTTTTATCTGGTTGGTTTGAGATTGCTTTCATTTTGCAATGAGCCACAGAGCAAAAATTGATTTTTATGTAAATTTGTACCACTTCAAAGCATTTGTTTCGCGTTTATATGCATTTCAGAGGGGCCCGATCTTGAATATTTCTTGCCAAAATACAAAAACATCAGGCCGAAGAAAGTATTGCCTTCCTTTGAAGAAACCGACTTATATCTCTCTCAGATTGATTATAATGGAAATGGGCGAAAAGGAAATTGATTTATATTGTTTTCAGTATTTTATACTTTTAGAACGTGTTTTAAATTTACTGTTTAAGCAGAATGGTGATCGTCTGCTCTTCGCTAATTTCTCATAAGATGGCGATTGTTTGAAAATTTTGTTGCTTTTTAATATAAATTGGTGTAAATTATCAATCAAGTTAATGGAAATTTATTTTTAGTAAAATTTATTACTCATGGATGTCAAATGAATGTAAATGACGTGGAAATTGTGCGCTCGTTGATGCTTTCCAATCACTATATTGAAACAAGTGAAACTGAAGATGTCTCATTTTCATCTTCTATTTTATTCATTTATTCAAAATGTCCTTTATCTGAGTACAGTACTTAATCAAATATTTTTTTTGAGGCGGATGTGATATTTATTATGACGTGCTCAGTTCGTGAAAGTGCTGAAATTAAAGTATGGGATCAACTGAAAAAAATACACTACAATTTCGGGAAACATAAAGTTGTCGCTGTTCTCGGTTAGTAAATTTTATAGTGATTAAACTATTAACTGTAACTTAGAATACTTTTGGATCAGACTTTCTACTACATTTCTTTGAATGGTTAAACAAATAATAGTAAATGGTTAGAGCTCACCGTTTCTGGTTAACTAGTTGACTGGCGTAAGAAAAACGCCATTGAGCCTCGATGTTGGTTTAGAAGACTCATAACTTAAGACTCACTTTCCGTATTAAAAACGTTAATTGCCACTATATTTCTTCCGAAGAATTCTCAAAGTTGGATAATTAAATTTTGAAAAAAAAGTTTATTTTGAATAAAATTGCAATAAAGCATTTAAAAGTGCGATATACAATAAAAAAATTCACGAATTAAAATAATATGTTGATGATGCGGCGAATGACGCGAATGATGCGACAAGAGGAAGAAAAATCTGGAATTAGCATGGAAAAGATCAAGCTTTACTTCTATTCAACAGAAAATGAAAATTCTCAAAATTCTTAAACTACCTCCAACTCCTTCCCATTCTTTGCGATTTCCATAGCCTGCACCGAATCCGAAAGTAGTCCTAACCGAGAATAGGTGATTTTTGGTTAATATAGAGCTTGGAATAGGCTGGGAGGATGGTTTTCATCCTGCGCTCATCCTATCTTCCATTTTCTTAAGAAGTATGATTTCTCCACTAATTTTTCTTTAATGCTTGGTTTAGTTCAACTCACAAATTTTCAATAACAATTTCTCACTTTAATTTCTCTTGATTTTCTGGTGCTCTCAGCGGAAGGGAAGAATATATCTATATCCCAGTGCATTGCGGCTACTTCACCCGGTATTTTTTTGCATCCTTCTTCAACATTCTGCGACGTAGTTTTTGTTAAGGAATGTCATGACTATAAATGTCATGACTATATAAGCTGGGTCACTAGCATAATCCTGATTTCTTAATAATAGTTTTTGCTGTCCAAGAATAAGAACCGAATTCGATATGATAATTATTGTCCTATTTTTTATTGTGTTATTCTTTAAGTGATTAAAATCGTTTTTATTCGAGAAATTCTGAAAATTTCTAGTCGTAGGAAAAATTCGAAAAAAATTGGTTTCATTTGGCTAATTGTGTGATTTCCTCTATTAAATACATTGTAATACTGAAATATTATTTTTTACATTTTTACTTACATTTCAATCTTTTATCCTTATATTTCATATAGGTCAAGTTAAAATTAAAATTTTTTGCTTTCTTTTTGTCTTGATCAGTTATGTTTTTATTTAATGCAATTTAATGTTTTATGTTGTATGGCCGAAAGAATTCGACATGAACTTCTTCAAAATTATGTTATTGATATCGTTGCTGGTCCTGATTCATATCGTGATTTGCCTCGATTATTAGCTGTTGCATTTGGTGGAAGTAGAGCTATTAATGTTCAGCTTTCATTAGAAGAAACATACGCTGACATTGCACCAGTTCGCGTCGACCCTCTTGCAAAATCTGCTTATGTGTACATTAAATATTTTGATTTATAGATTATTTCATTAATATTATTATTCACTATCTGTAAAGGCCTTAATCTCATTAAAATCAGTGCACATTTATCATTTTCCATTATCTGGACAATTAGTTTAGAATTCTCCTGAATTTGCAAGGTAAAAAGGGCGTAATTTCGCAAATTATCTTTATCAATTAGTGTGGATATTGTGGATATTTTGATAAATATGATAAAAGCAAATAAAATTGTATGACAACAAATATAACTAATATAAATAGAAACTATCAGAAATTTACTTTAGTTCTATAATGAGAGGTTGCGATAATATGTGTACGTATTGTATTGTTCCATTCACGAGAGGACGTGAAAGAAGTCGACCTATGAATTCAATAATCAGTGAAATTCGTAGGTTGTCTGATGAAGTAATCTTTTTGAATTTGCATATTTTTTTATTATTTTGTATTTTTTTGTAACTGCTTTGATCCTGATAGTTAATAGAGTTTAGAAAAATGAATATTGAAATAACGAGAAAAAAAAATTTAAGGGTGTCAAAGAAGTCGTTTTACTGGGCCAAAATGTGAATAGCTATAACGATTGTTCTGAAATGAATTTTCCATTGTCTGGACAGTTTGTTGAGAATTCTCCTGGATTTAAAACAGTTTACAAGGCGAAGAAATCTGGGCTTAATTTCACAACGTTGTTGGAAAAGATATCAACAGTTAACCAGGAAATGCGCATTCGCTTTATATCACCTCATCCGAAAGATTTTCCTCTTGAGGTTTATCAAAATTATCATTTTATCAATTTTCAAATTGTAAAATCGAGAACAACTAGATTTTTTTTCTGCGGTAAGATAGAGGAGACTTTGGTAATTTTTTATTTTGGTGCTTGCAGAGTCCAGTTTCATTTATTTTGGTTTTTTGCGTTGAATTCCCTAGCTTGAAAGTGTAAAAAATTTCTTAGAATTGGAACAATATTTTAAATTTCGGATCAATTTTAGGTTATTTCATTGATAAAAGAACGACCCAATATTTGCAAACAGTTTCGACTACCCGCACAAAGCGGTAGTAATGTGGTTCTACAAGCTATGGGACGAAAATATACTAAGGAAGCATATTTGTCACTGGTAGAAAGAATAAAAAACGCAATTCCTGGTGAAATTCTTTTCTGATAGGTTTCAAAAGATCTTCTTTTTCAGAATATTAACATATCTTGAAAATGAAAAAAGTTCCGTTTGGATCGAAATTTTTTGAGAAATATTAACGGTAAAAAGGAGCAAACACCACATAATAGATTTAATCTAATGCTTTGCGGCTTCTTTTATATTAATTTTCAGAAGTCAGTCTTTCGAGCGATTTTATTACGGGATTTTGTGGAGAAACAGAAAAAGCGCATGAAGAAACATTGGATTTAATAAAACGAGTCCAATATTCATTTTGTTATGTATATCCATTTAGTATGAGAAGCGTAAGTTATTTCACGTTTGTGAAAATATCTATCAAGCTTATTTACTGGTATGGGAGGAACAGATATCACTGGATTGGGACAAGGAATTTCTTTTCCATATTCTCAGGAATGGTAATGTAGTATTGTTGTAACTGTCGAGAAATCAGATATTTCTGGAAGATTTCTGCCTTTCTTCCGCTAAGTAAACTGGCGATGCATGAGCTCCACTTAAGCCAAATTTAGGCCAAATATTTGTAAGAAGGATATTGGATTGCTTGAATATCGCTTCAAGTATCGATTACCTACCATTATATCAACTTTGCAACTGCACTTTTGCTGCGATCAGTAGGGCGGGGCTCTGCCAAGTCATGCAAAATGATAATTCAAATAATCTTTTCTTCTTTTAACAGCTTTCACCATTACTGGTTAGGCTTGCTCCATTGGCTATAAGGATAAAAAGTCTCAGTTGTCCGACGTCATCGCTTAATAGAAGCCATTCCTTTTTCCATTGTCTAAATCTATATATCGCTGATCTGCTGTATAGGAATACAGAAATCTTTCAAAATCAAAATCTTTCCCGAGTATGCCATTCTTGGTCTTGATTGATCCATCTCAATGATGGCACCCATCACAAGGTTCAGTAAATAATGAAATATCAATTGTTGTGGTGGGCACGAAAAATAACCAGCCAGCGAAGGCGGCATTCTGTGATGGTACCATTAATGCAAGTGGTATTTGAATGAAGGTGGATGCGATCATTTGAGATTTTATTCTTTAGGTGGACCCGTAAAATATATCTTAGACATGAATGGTCAAAGGCATTCCTTGTCTGTTAATAGCCCATTCTCATTGGCCATGTCTTGCAACCATATGGCAAAATCGAGCGAATCGCAACCATACAGACGCGGACCTTTGAGGTGATTTTGCAAATTTTGCAACGGCTTCATAAACGTTTCGTCAACCGGAAGACCTCATTTATAGCTACGTTTATCCGGTTATAATTTCGTCTTCTTCCTGGCCATTCGATATTAGAATGGATCCAGTGTATTTAAAATAGAAAATTTCCTCAACCGAATATATTTATAAAAATTTATAGGTAAAAAATAGGTATTACAAGTAATTAAAATATTTTATTTGTATGATGCAAGTGTGTGTATGTGCGTTTGGGGAAATGAAGCGTCAAGGTTGCTTCCTTTCCCTTACAATTCTCGACTGTGCAAAAGATTTGGTTAGTGACACTGCTTTCCGGCATCAAAAGTGTTCAAATCCAGAGCACCGCTATTAGATCGTCAATAGGCTGGTGATTTATCCCTTTAACTAATAATTACGAGCAACTGCAACCTAAACCAAGTGTTGATAGCAGCACCATTCTTATACCTAATAGCCTGGTGAAAAATAAAATTCGGGCTCGAATAGTTTCAGCTAGAGATGCTTTCTTTAGAAACACCGAAATCAGCCACAAAACAAAAGTTCGGATTCGGATGGGTTAAGCACTACAACTGCGAAATAATTACAATTACCTGGCCACTGAGAATGGAACATTAGGATGCTGACATGCTTTCTGTGCTAGATGGGCCATTTCCTTCTTCATCTATCACATCTCACTAATATGGACCCTATCTACGATGGATGACCATTCAAGGCTTGGATTGATACAGTATATTTATTGATTCATATTTATTCATTGATTCATATTTTGAAAGCATAGCAGCCTAGTAATATACGGCTAAGGCGGTAGAAGAGGAGTGGATTTAGTTATTTTCAGGGATTGCTCGGTTCAGAAGGCTTGGAAATCTTACTCTAGTTCCCAGTGCATCGAATATTGGTGTGAGCTATTAGAGAACGAAAAGAAGAAAATTCATCTAAATGAATTTCGAAAATTTTGCTCAGTCAGTGATCATTTTAGAAAACCAAGGCAAAATATCATCTGGTCGACGATATTCCTGAAGATATTAAGCATCGTCGCCATCTAGAATTGGTATCAGTTTTTCGTGAACAATCATTAAAATTCAACGAAAATCTTATTGGCTCGATTCAGTTAGTACTTATTGACTCGGTTAGTATGATTTTCCAACACAAATAAAGAGAATTTTACAAGATTTTAACTAAATAAATAACTAAATTTCAGCATAGTAAGCGAACTCGTTCTGGTTTTGTTGGTAAATGCGATGGTGGTACAAAAGTTGTAATTGAAGAAATTGCCTCGAAACATTTGAATGATGTAGGTATTGGTGACTATGTCGCAGTCAAGGTCTGCTAATGTATTTCTTCTAATATATTTCTTCACTTCAAACAAATTTAAATCTTTCCCTGTGAAAAGTTCTGTGAAAAAATTTTGTTATTTTCTGTTATTTTTATATTACGAATTTTAAAACTCATTTTACAGGTTTTTGCTGCAAATTCACAAACTCTTCGCGGCAGAATAATAGGAAAAACGACTTTGCGGAATTTCGAAAATAAGCGAAATGAATATTGCATGAAACAAAATATGTCAAATTCATCTACTTTATTTTCATGTGATTGAATCAGTGAATGATTGAATTAGTATGAAAGATTGAATTATTTTTCGCCTTTTATATGTCTGTATATTTCTAGAATAATTGAGATGCTAGTACATTCAAAAAAAATGCGATATTTCTGAAGGAATGGCAATTTTCCATTTATCTATTTGAAATAAATTCGTTTATTTGGTGTTGATTTAGAATAATCAAATAAATTAAAAATGTGAAACTGAAATTGGTCAATTCACTGATTACTGGCTTTATCAAATATTTATTATTAAATAATAGATTTTTTTTTATTATAGGCAAACTAAAAACCTTTTGCCTTATGATTTCGATGAAGTTTTGCTTATTAATTCAGAGACAAATGAAAATATTTGGTTATTCCAAATTTACTGTCAATTTCCATAGCTGAATGGCCCTTAGCAGATGTTTTTCATTGTGTTAACAACAGAGAGGAGTATAATGAGAATCAAGTCGGAGCACGTAATCTGTAGTTGCGATTGCATCTTTCTTTTACCACTAAAAGATATTTTATAGTTTGATTAATAAATTTTTTTTCCAATATGCAGATTTTATTTTCAATTTTACCCAATAAATTTTTCGGTTATGGCAAAATAGCCTATTTGGCTGAAAACTATAATAAAATCACTAACTAAACCTATGAACAACAACAAACATTTCTGGACAGACTAGCTCCATTAATTGTAAGCAGGATTAGAAATTTTTCAAGGAGTCATTCAGGAGAACGATAGAAGGACACATAAGTCGTCAGCATCACCCGAATCTTCATGATTCATTCTTGCCCAGCGTTGGGCGATTCATTCTTGCCCAGCGTTGGGCCTTCATCTCTCATCCGGGACATTATCCACTCTACTCTTCATTTACATAATAAAAATAAATAATAATAATATGCCATATGACACTGATAAGGGCAGATTTTAAACGCATAAACGACCCAGGTGTACAAGAACTTAGATGGTAAAAAAATTATATCACTTCCAGATATGGCCCGTGCCCCACCTTTAGAGGCAGTGGCATCTGCCCAAGCATTAATGGGGAGCATCGCTAGAAGAAGAAACATTGAAGAAGCATTGCTAGCCATTGCTTCATGTGAGCACTGAGTGCTGAGGGCTGCTGTGAATCATGCGAAAGCACATATTTCTCTGAGGTTCTATTGAATATTGCTGATCCTTTGTCGCGGACTCTAGTAAATGCTATATTTGGAAGAAAGTGAGAAAATGTCACTTCGTATTTACAAATGAAGGATTTCAAAACAACACTACAAAATCGCCGAATTACCTAACCTAACGGCAATAAACCCAGCTCTTGCAGGGATGCGCGAACGCATTCCCCAAACGCAAAAATTATGCTGCTGGCCAATCCCGACTCGGGATTGCCACACGGGTCAGCCAAACCTAAAGTGCAATGGATCGGCCTCACCATGGCGGTCCCGTCTTCATGATCACGAGATCCGCTCAGCAAGGTTAGTTTACGATTTTCCGTAAAACCATTTTTATATCGTTCATTTCATCAATAATGAACGGTTCACTTTTTTTCTCTGCCAACGAAAACTGAACTCTCGCCACAAATTAAAAATGCATTACAACTTGTTTCTATTCTCTTCAACTGAATATAAATTCAGTATTTTTGACATAATCATGCGGGAAAAAACGAAGGAAATGAAGACTAGTAACATATGAGAAAATGATAAACGCATCAAATGCCTAAAGAATGAAATTATGACAAAAGATAAAATCGGTAATAAAAAAAACTAGCCCAAATGAAAGATGTATGCTAAGGGAAAAAAGTTTCTGGGAAAAGGGAAAGCAAAGTCCTACCCTTGTAGCCAGTGGAACCAGCCTAACCAGTTATAGTGAGAGCTGTGAGAAGAAGAATAAGGAGGAATCGATAACAATCGATTCTATTTTTGGCATGCTGTAAAATTGTTGGGAGATTTTCAGCCGTTGTAGGTGTTTAGAAAAATATTCTAATATTAATTAGAGCCAATCAAACCGAAAATTTTCGTTTGACAGATTTCCACATGTTTTTAGCAAAAAACTGGCTAAAAGGGAGAACAGGTGTCAGCAGCTGTAGCTCCAATTCCAATAACTCCAATTTTTTAATAACAAGTTCACCTCTTTCAGAGAAAATAATCGAACTTCTGACACTCAGAATGAGAATACCATGTCAATCAGCTATCCTCTTCCCATGGTGAACGGAAAATGTATGAAACCACGGGAAATGACTATAAATGTACTCAATGAAAAAATAGCCTTTGCTCGGGAACATGTTCCCGAGAGGAAATGCAGCCGGCTAAAAAATTAACCAATCTACAGGAAAAGTAACGAGTGATTGCTTTTAAACTGCGACAAAAATAAAAGCGCAGACCAAAACTGCTATTTAACAGAATTCAAAATTCAGAATTCAAAAAAATGGTGCAATTAAATTAAGTTAAATGCCTACAAAATTTCGCAATTTTCTAGTCTATGAAAGGACTTGTGAAAAACAATCTGAATAATTCAAAAATCCCCACCAATTCCTTTAGAAGTCCACATAATATCATTACAAAGCCATCTCTAGAAATTTTGATTTTTAAATTTAATTTACTTGTAAATTTATTTACAAAATTCATTAAATTATACAAAATTTATTTTAGTTCTATTTTAATCTGATAAAAAATGATAAATGATTTAAGATTAAATGATAAATGATTTAAAATTAATGAAAACTGAACACCGGAACACCCACATTTTACTAATACCATCTGAGTTCTTTTTAAAAAAACCAATAAAAAAATTTACGAAACGCTATTTGCCGATTCCTCAAACTTAAATTAAAATCTAATATAAAATATGAAAATAATAATTCATTTTTTAGAAAATCTGAGATATAATAATACAAATATTTAATGAGATTTAAGTCAGATTTAACTGAACCCAAGATGCCACAAAATAAAACTATATTTAAAGATGTAGAAGAGGTAGAGGTTAGAAAGTATCACAATGCCACTCGCGTACTATTTATAAATTATTTCGTGAGTAATCAAAGGAAAGCACGTAAAAAATATCAACAATCCTATGGTTTGCCGGGAATTATGTTAAATAATCGCAAACCGAAAACCTTATTTTCCTCAATAATTTCCCTCAAATATACTTTCATTATTTTCCTAAAAATCATTTATTCCTTTCCCACCAATTTGAATTTTTCATTTTATATGCGATATTTTATTTTACATTTTATACGACTTCATTTATTTTCGAAGAAATATATTCACTAACGTTCAAAAAATTTTAGTCATGAATACACTGGACGATATTGCTTTGAGAATCTGATATCGTTGATTTCCTTGTTTTAAATCATTCCATATTCAGATTTTTCATTGAGCAGAAGATAAAATTTAAAAAAGATCTGTATCCATTTTAATTTCTATTGAATTTAAAATCCCTTTTATTCTTCTTTTTTATTCAATATTGAGCGTTGAATTTTTACATTATAAGAATTTTGCCGAAACTGAATAAAATACAGACGAATTTCAAATTTCCGAAAGTTCCATAAGCTTGCGGATCTCCGCAATTTCATAATGCGAAATTAAAAACTAAATTTCAACTAATCCATTGGAATAACGAAGAAAGGCATTTGAAGCAGATGAAACATATTTCTACACTGTCGATATCGCAAACTATGTGCCGTTTTTCTGAAATGGTTAATGAAAAAAGAGTGTATTTCAACTTCATTGCAATTTTCTAGAATACATGTGCTTATGCCAAGACTAATTTAACTGCTTCCAAACAAACTTCAATAGCTCATTATACGTTTGTCGTACAAGACTTTTCGCAACCACTAATTTTTTTAAAATAAAAAAGTGGTTATCCACATGCTTCGGCTAATATATAGAAACAAAGAAGTATATATATGTCCAAAAAAACTGTCACGTAAAAAACTAAATTCTGTTTGAAATGATAAACTTGTAAAAGCTAACAAATATCCTTTATAACATTAAGTGCCGCTGTTTGGTGCCATTTCGAGTACCGATTAACTTATCGATGAGAGCTGGTGAAGAAAATAATGCATATGATGACCGAATCGCAAATTACTACAAAGAAAGACAAGATGGTTTACTCTAGATTCAAAAAACTTGACTGTTACTGACACCAATAATTGGGATTAAATACATTTGTTGAAATGACCTAAAACTTGCATTCACAACTCTAATTTCAGCTGTAATTTTATGAAAAAATACCAAAAACCAAAACTGTATATAATTCCCAACCACAAGCCTAACAATTTAATAATCAGATTATAAAAATTCACGAAAACCTTGCTAACCATAAACTAACGAGTTTAGGAAATCGAACATCCACCAAGTGGTTATTTCTTCAAACCATTTTACTGACAGAATAGCTAAAGATTATAAAAATAAGTAGAAATTATTTATTATTGTTGGATTTGCGCTTTTTTAACTATTTCATTACACTCTGAAATTCAACACTAATAAAAATTTTCCAAAATTTTTATGAAAGCAATATTACTAATATATTTAAATAAAAACGGTAAAAAAGCCTTTATTTATGAATAAATCACATCGGCAATCACAGTACAAAAATTTATATAATAAATATGAGCTGAGAAAATATCCTAACGAATTATTTCATTCGTCCAATGCATTGATTATTTTTATACGCGCCTTCTTCGAAATATGCGTTGCAACGTTTAGTAATGTTATAATTTGATTCGCAGTATATTCCTGCAAAAACCTATTTTTTTAAAGAAAAACGCTTCACAAACTTCGAGATAAAGATAAATTATAAAATATGTTTAATACAAAATATTTTACGACAACAATGTATATCATAATGATATAATGATATATAAAGTCAAAGTTCTAAAATATCCAACAAAAATTTTCCGAAACTTTCGTGAAGGCAATATTACTAATATATTTAAATAAAAGTGCAAAAAAAACTTTTTTCTCATCACCCTCTAACAAACGTCTCGAAGAACGAGGGTGCTGCGCAATTTTGCAGTGTCTTCCTAATAGTTCCTGCTTTTCTGGATATAGATTTCTGATGTTGCTCCTGGAATCTGCCGGAACCACTTTTCTAGATTAGGGGTCAAATTTCTAATCAGATTTCTAAATGCTTCAATTAACACTGGAATTATATTGGCTTTTACTTTCCACATCTTCTTTAATTCCTCTTTCAGCCCTTGTAATTTTTCTAACTTTTCAGATTCCCTTCTTTCTGACGTTCCTATTCGTCAGTATTGTTATATCAATCCCCGTGCTGATTTCTGATTCTTATTGTCTATTATGATATCTGATTGAATGATCAATACTTATTTGTCTATTTGGATAGGAAAATCCAATAGAATCTTCACTTTATTATTCTTGTGTTTTGCTCAAGAATCTTCCATTTAGTCTTGGGAGAGTTTAAGCCATATACCGAGCAGATGTAGATGATGCCAGCCACTTCTTTATGCTTTACATTATATGTTGTTCCTACTTGTATTTTACATTCCTACCACTATGTGTTAGATGTGTTTCTGGGACGTTTTTAAATTGCATCTAGAGTCCTGTTTAGTGTGGCCCTTATTCCGATGGATCTGATGCTTAGTGCTTACATCTGTGTTGCTATAATCAACGCCTCAGACTTGCTTTTTAATCTGGCTTTCTCCAACCGCTGGTAGGATTTCACAACGTCAATTATCTACTAATGGTGCAATCCACGGAGAGCCTTGCTTTGTCATGATATTTCATCTACTTGATCACCTGGATTGACAAAGTCCGCGTTAGAGGTTGAGGGATCAGAGTTATATGATGACAAGGCGCCAGTTATTGTAGGATAAGGACAATCTGGCGTTAAAAGGGCTGACGAAGCAAATCTCATATGGGCGAGACAAAATGATCTGAAATCGATGGAATGCTACTATAATAATATGCCTAATCAAAGAGGTTATATGAAGCGCATGAAGGAACTGCGGATGGAAAAAACATCCAGTTCTACATTAAATGAGAAACATTGGTGGCTCAGTGCTTCAACATCAAAAGAAAATCTCTATCTCAGTTGAGATTGGTCAATTCTGCTATAAACTATCGCAAACAGCGAAAATCTAAAAAATATACAAAATAAATTCCTCGAATAAATACTGTGAATCGGCTTATTGATCTTAAATTCCAATTCCTTTTTTGTATACCCAAAAAAAACTAATTTAGTAAACAAAATCTCATATATATTAAGACATAATCAAATAAATATAGTTTTTATAATACAAATCTGTTAATTAAATGCACTGCATGCTATTCATACTAAAATTTTTTTTTTTTGCAAATGAAAATAATATATTATATGCGTATAGAATAAACTCATTTCAGAAATTGTTTAAATTGTTTATGTGAGAAAAACTTCGTTATTTGCTTTTCTTTTACATACAATAAAAAGAAATTCTAAGTTTACTTGGGTAAACGACAACTATTAAACCAACAACTAAAAACCGCATTCTTCCTGAGTGAAGTTTCGTCTGTTCGACCTCTTAGACTGAACAATTCATTCTCCCTCGAATCTCTTCCCAACACTTCAGACCCAGAAATTTCAGAAAAAGAAAAAAGAGATATGCATGAAATAAGCTGAGAAGCTGGAAATTGCCTTCCAATATCTCGCCTATAAAGCAGAGCAGTTAATATGAAGCAGAAAATCATAAATAAAATGGCTTTATTTAATCAACGAGATTATCTAGGCTTATCAGTGATGCACACTAGATAATATAGATAATATAATCGAAGATGAAATAGAATCCAAGCAATTATTACTGCCACTATAACAGTAACTAATGATAAGCCATAGCCAGTGTAACTCTCGAAATGATGGAATGTAAAATCAAGAATAGCAACGCAATTTGCCCACGGAAAAAAGACTGGAAAATAAGACCAGAACACAATGCAAAGCTGACGATAAGACTAATTAGGGAAAAAATAAAGAATAGAAAAAGAATAAATATCCGAAAGTATACGGATACTAGGAAATACTAAATGCTACACTCCATAGGATGATCTCAAGAATGCTAAATAAAGGCTCATAGTACTGGCCACTAGGAGATATATCAGAGAAGCAGAGGCTAAAAAGATAAATATCCTGTTCTTGAAGGAACCGTTCAAGCTGTTCTCTCAAATTCAGTGCAGTAACATGATAACAATATCAGAAACTATGTAATACTGGAAATATATATGGGAGAAGATTCATAAAACCAATACAAAATGGCTTCAAGATCTCAGAATAAACAATCTCCCAGAGCAGGAACTAGGTATCGTCACAGTTGCTGACACCAAACAGCGACTCAAAAATCTGAAATCTGAAAACTTGGATAGCACCTGGTCCTGATTCACATCTACCGGCTAGAAGCTAACAGCGGTTTATGAGCGACACAGATGAATCAGCTGCTTGTGGTATTCTCCAACCCAGACTGGTTAACACAAGGAAAGACGGATCATGAAAACCCTGATAAGGTACCAACACCGTCCATCGACTAATAACCTGCTTACTCACAATGTGGAAAGTCCTATTAATTATCACAGCCATCATGACCATATGAGCCAGTATATGCATACTATTCAAAAAGGCACTGGGAACAACACCAGCTGCTTATCGATAAGGCTGTCGCTCTCGATACTCAAATCCCGGCACCCTCAATCTCTCAGGCATCTGACAGATGACCCGATATATAAATAATCATTTATTAAATCCATCGAAAAAAAAAAACGAAGAGAAATATATTTGAACTCATTTATTCCAACTATTTTAACCAATAGTTTCGAAAGAAATAAGATATATAAAGTTTATAAAGTATATATTTTATTACAAACAAAGTATATATTTATTGCTTAGTTTTTATTTATATTTTATATATTAATATCGCCACTGATATATTTCCAGTTTCCTATCATTTTGCGATTGCAATTTTGGCTGCATTTTTTTAAGGATATCACAAAAATTGACCAAAAACTGGTAATTGCGAAGGTGTAAAAATATGCCATAATAATAATTTTAGATGAATGAATGCATGAATTGGCCTTGATATACTTCTTTAAATATCCTCTGAAAAAAAAGCGAAATGGAAAAAAAAAACAAACACTGTGCTGTTGAATCCATTGTTCGAAAGAACTTTCTGGCAGATAATAAGCTTTAATATAATTTTCAACATAGGCTTTGTGCGGCACTGGATGTATGTTGCAGATTTGTTCAATCCTGCTGATCAACTGCTGCAAATCCAACTGCATCAATGCACGGCCTTCGCTAGAACACTTCTTGCCCGATTCACTATATCTACAATTTTAGTGGTACTATTTTCCAATAATAAATTCTAATTATGAAAATTTAATAAGTACAATTCGTACATAAATTTAAAACCTTAGTGAAATGGCCAATTACTAGAGAAGTAAAAAAAAAAAACAAATGAGTCAAAATCTAAAAATCTATATAATATCTATATATAATATGTTTACCCTTGAACAAGTGCCTTGAAGGAACAATTTATAACTATATCCCAAACCGTATTAATGATATCCTTCGACAGTGGCAAATATTCATTTATCATTTCCAATCGTTTTTTGAAGGCTTCCAAATCCTATCGAATATGATAACTGAACTTTTTTATTTCTAACTATATTTCGTTCCGATAAAAAAAGAAAAAAAGTAAAAAACACTGACTATTGGTCGAATATGGAGAGCAATAAATCAGAAAATTGTTAATTTTTGGTTCTTAACAGAAAAACTACTTGAAATAGAAGTATTATTTAATTACTTGAAGCAAAGAATCAACATAAGCACTATGCTGAGACTGTAATTCATTCAAATCCCATCTTGTCGAAGATACTCGAACAATGAGTTGTCGATAATTAATGGCTTTAACTGCAACACAACTGTAGATGCTGCATCCGGCGTCATTAACTAAGTTTAAAATCTGAAACATAAATTTATAAATTTATTAATCACTATATGCTCATTTATTCATTTCGTTTTAAACATCAGCAAAACATAACAAAAATTTATATTAAAAGATAAATAATTAAAAAACTATTATATAAAATAGAAAATTATATAAAATAGAAAAAAAGAAACTGCTAACTGACCGAAGAATAGAATTCTCTCAGTTCCGACATCCTAATATCATTTTTTACTAAAGATTCGACAACTGGGCGAATAATATCCAAATGCTTCGCAATAAATACTCTTCAAATATTAAAGAATTAATTTATAAATAATTGAAAATAATGAATGAATGACACCACAGATAAAAGCTTACAGTGACTGAACAGAAACGATTCGCTCAGCTAATGCAAATAAACAATTCGAATCATACAAACGTATAGCGCTTGATAGCGTACATGGAGCTAAACCCAGTTTCTAAAAATTTAAAAGGCTACAAAATATAAACAAAAAGTTTCCAATTAATAAAATTTGATGTGAGAGAAAGAATAAAGAAAAATGCTAAAGAAAAAAAAATTAAAAAAGAAAAACTATTTCAGTAGTCGATGAACTGACGATTATAATATCCTTCTCAATTTTGCTTAGAACTTTTGTTAGCCTTTCCGAACGTAAATTCAGCCCCTCAGAATCCGCCGAAAATAATGTGCAAAGCTACAAAGTTATATAAAGTTATAAAGAATGTTATTTTTAATTAAACTTATTGTTTATTTAAAATTGAAAAAACATTCTTGTTAAAACTTTTGCCATAAGGAAACGGCTGTACTGAAATTATTTAAACAAAGATTCTACTAAGACAAGACAAAAGATAAATTATAATAATTATAACTTACCGAATAAAAAAAATAATCAAATAATTGCATGATCGAAGCAACTGCCTGCTCTGCTACTGAATCAAGCATAAATGTCATTCGAATGTAGCGACCTAAACAAATTTGTTAGACGAAAAGTAATGCAAAGTGAATTCATCCGTCCAAAAATATCAACATTACAATCAATGCAATAACTAACAATAATAAATGTAAAATAATTTACCGAAAAAACGAAGCAGATTAAGTGCCGCATTGGAAATTATTGGTGGATTTAGTTGATTTTCACTAAATGCACAAATTTTAATTTTAAACTAAGAATATTCTCCATCTTTGTCAAAATGAAACAGGTTGATGCTTTTTGAGATTTAATGTTTCAATTTATTTTTCGAATTATCAATACATTTTTAGGAAAACACTCAGTAGACACTGAACAAATAAACATAAACACCTTTCTTGTAACCAATCGTCATTCGACTCAGGAATCGCTAAATTACTGATGATATTTGCCATATTTCTGCTCTAAAATTCATATTAACATAGCTATCAACTGAATTTTAATAAATCTGAATTTTAAATGTTCAAAATTTTAATTCAAAACTCAATTCAAAATTTTAAAGAAAATCATACACAAGAAAAAGAATCTGCTTCGGTAGCAAATGGGTTTTGAACAAAATCACCAATTACTTCGAAATCAAGCTGTTCACCCAAATTTAACTCATCATTCATATCGAAAATTGTTTCGTCATTATTATCACAACACTCCAAAGATCCTTTTAAAAATGCGAACTCCTCAAAAGATAAAAAGATGTAACTATTTATTTAAATTATTTGAATAATGACAACAAACCTGGAACAAATTTCAGATAAGTGTAGATAAATCATTACTTTTGCTAAATTTCACCGTCTCTTACCGAAAGAAAATCAAAAAAAAAATGTGAAAATTAGAAAAAAATTAGAAATTATGCAAATAAAAATTACTAACTACATAAAAGAACAAAGGTCCCAAAATAAATACTTGTAAATCAAAAATGGTGAATCGCTGAGGTAATGGGCAAGGAGCAAAGGCTTCACTTTCCAAAAACATTCGCAATTCCTCCATTTTATCATGGTGATATCTTTAAGATTGCAATAAAAAACAATGAAACTAAATTGCAAACGATAATAGATTTAGTTTCAAGTACGAAACCACCTTTGTATGGGCATTAGCCAATGTTGATTAGGATAACAGCGATTTTTGACTGCTAGCTCAGTTTATAAATAACTAATTGTAGTAGGACTTACCTACCGAAATAAAGGTGTATATGTTTCTCTAAAGTAACTGATACTTCGGTGCAACTGTTTCCAAAATATTTACGACCAAAATGCCGGAATCTAAAGTGTTATATTTGTGTTGTTTGTATATTATATATCTAATTATATTATATTTATATATATTTATATATTTATAATTATATTTTACTCAGAACTTAGAAGTTTTCTGTATATGTTAATGCCTTAAAAACTGTAATAAATTAATAAACAATAAAAAAATAAATGAAATGAAAAAGTATTACCGAGCAGACATATCAACAATATCTAAAAAATGGTCAAAATTTAGGGTGGAAAGATCTTGACAACATAGTAAAATATTGTATTTCATACAAGCAGTTTTAAAAATGGAGTGTGCTGAGTTACGCAAAATTTTCTGAGCGGAGCGAATTTCATCTGAAAAAAAAATATTAACCAAAAAAATCGAACTAGCCACAATTTTAAAAAAACAAATCTCGAGGAAATTCAAAAAATGAAGACTAGATTCACTGGAAATTATTTCAAGAATTAAAATATCAACCTAACATTAAAGTCCAACCGTAACCATAATTTTACCTTTATTTTCATCAGTGCATTGTAACCTCTCATCGTCATCCACGTGATACCGCATAATTAAATGAAAAGTAAACAAAATTTTGCATACCACAAATCCCAGTTCTCTAACACAATCAAGTGTGGAATCAGTACATACATTCTAAATATGGAAAGTTATTAAAATTATTAATAACCAAATAGAAACTATCACATTCAAAATTATTAAATTATTAAAATAAATGAAATATAAATGAATGGATAAAAAACTTTATAGTTCTTCATAAAATTTTTATTAGGTTCATTATAATCTCGAAAAAATACAGAAGGAAAATCTAGAGACTAAAAGAACGAAATCAAAACTGAATTAATGATAAAAAGCGAACTTCACACAACTGTTCATAAGACAAGTTATTCAATTCATTATCAGCAATTCTGTGAATCAGAAAATTACTAATAACAGTTCTGGACGAGTTCTCTATTGTGGCATGTGTAAAATTTATTATTTTTGTGGCAGCCTCCTGAAAAAATTCGATTTGAAAAGGAATATTTCATAGTTCATATGAATAACATAAATGAAAAAAATTCAATGAAAACAATAAATCCTTAATTAAAAAACTGCATGAAATACTATAAATAATAAATAATGATATCACATAACTAAATGACACTAAATTGCAAACCAGAAATTACAGTTCCCTCACAAAATTAAGCAGAATCTTACAGCTTTAGGAAAACATTTGAGAAAAGCCTCGCTAAATTTGCAAATTTCTAATTACAAATCACAAAATTTACCTTTTTCTTTCATAATGATATATAAATATATACTAACCGTAGTTCTATTTAACATTTCATAAGCACTAAATATTGAAGAATAACGATCGGGATCAAAAATGACGGTGAGTGATGCAAGAGCATTATCCAAACCATATTCTATTTCATGCATTGTTTCTGATAATTTTTCCATTAAATCTCTGAATAAATCAAAATAAACTTCACTAGACCGTTAAAAAAAAAAAATAAATTATTCTGAGTTGAAGAACTGATATTTTTAAAGCAGTCAATATAATATATAAATGACGAACAATAAAAAGTGGAATTTCCGAGAAATCAAAATTATATTAAAAATTATAAAGACTCACCTAATACATTTAAAATGGTTATATGTAAATGCCGCTTTTCTTGCTTCATTATATAACCTTATAGCAGCAAAAAAATTTTCTTCCTGAATATAAATCTTTATTCCTATGAAATGTAAAACTGGGATTAAATTAATAAGCAAAAAAAAAATTTAATTGATTAACTTTACTTGTATTAAATCTTTCAGTTGAAATTCTGTTTCATAGAGAGTTCTTATCGCATTTAATGATGATTTTAAACGATGCAGAAATTTTCTATTTCGATGATTAGCAAGTATTTTCAATTTATTGCGATTTTCTGATTTAATAAGTCCTATATTTCTGAAAATAGATAACAGACTAAATAAAAAAATGTAAAGTTAATAAAAAGCACAATTAAACAAAAACCTCCTTATTTCAGCGATAGTTTGTATAAGACTGGTCAAATCGTCATGAATTCCATCAATATTCTTTAACTGCGTTGAATAGGAAACGGAATTGGCTATAATCATTGAAGAAATTCGTTTCGAAACAACTTGAAGTTGCCGCTTTAGTAAATCCATCTCTCTCATCAGATCTTCAGGTAACAATTCCAAATTAAGCAATTTCTATAATTTTTTATACCTCTCTAATTACTGCTTTATAATTATAGTAAAAAATTGATCATTTTGATCTTTTGTATATATAACCTTGCATATATAACCTTTAATTCATAATTGGTTGCATCGAAATCTTCTTCAACAAAATAAGCAGCTGCAATACTTTCGATTATTTCAGCTTCTTTGACAGGATCAGTGACTGGCAAGCACCGAGTTTGAAGCTTAAAGTGAACTATAGAAATCGTTGATATCAGTTATATCTCAATTTAATTGCCCACCTTAATGTCCACATGCTGCCCACACAATGTTTATGACAAAGTTATTTTTCGTTTCAAAAAAGGAAACTATAACCGTAAAAACTGTTACCTTGGGTACTGCCGTCATCTGTTCAAGAAAAGAAGAATCATACACTGATAGATTATCTATAGACTCCATCTGCAAGCCATAATCAGAAAAATGCCGCAACTGGAAAGACATCGAAAAAAGAAAAGTGAAAAGAATTTAAGTTCTATAAATAAGCACAAAATTGTCGAGGATATATATCCATTTCATTTCCTATCAATATCCTTTCGAGCATGCAACAATGTCTCATACTGGTTAATCCCCCATTACTGTTCTTTAATATTTTTTTCAGACCTCATTTTTTTTCTAAACAAACATACAATGAAGAAGGATACACATTAAAATTGATATTATTTATTGTTATTTTGTTTTTGCTCTCAAATCACAGAAATAATGTAAATTCAAGCAAAAAGTTTTTAAAATTACGATATACCATAGTCATTTTTGATTGGATTGTAACTTCACGCTGATTTCTGAATCCATTTTATAAATCAACTACAATGCTAAAAAAAACTTCAAAATTAAAACAAATTAAAACCATCTGATAATAAAGAAAAATAATATAAAATAATAAAAACATAAAATACGAATCATAGACAAGACGATGGAATTCCGAACAAAATTATCTAACATGCTACCCTCAGATCAAAAATGAAAAAACAGGTAAGATACACAGCATTGATACTGCAACAGGATAAGCAAGTACGCGAATGGCTTAGCATACCTTTGATGCGTAAAATTCATAATGTCGAAATGAGATAAATTTAGCTTGAAGACTTTTGAAAAATTACATAAGAGATCTCGAAAATCGCCTGAAAACGCGTAACGTAACTTATAAAATATATACAATTTTAAATACAATTGCAATATTGAAAAAAAAAAAAAAATAATGCAAATAACAGCGCAATAACGTACCGCATTTCTCATTTCCACTTTTTGTACTTTAAGATTTAACGAAAAGAAATAAATGGCGATATTTCATACATTACGAAACAAAAATATAACAATAAAAAATGAATTGTGTCACAAATAAAAGTTGCACTAAATTGAAGAATAAATTAGACTAAATATTATGCTAAGTTTGAAAAATTCATCGAAGATCAATAAGAAATTTATGAGAAAACTAAATGACTTATAAAAAAATGTAAAAAGGATAAAAATGATGGCTTTTAAACAAATAAAACAAATAAATTTCATAAAGGATGAACAGATGAAAAATTTTCACATAAATAAATAAATGACATAAATGAGCGGCAAAAATTTTTTCAGTTTTCTCACAAAAAACTCCAAGAATTAGAAAATTTTAGAATTTTTAACTTAAATTTTTCCTTTTTTTGTGCAAAATGGCATTTAAATCCAAAAAAATGAAAACAAACAAAAAACACTGAGAAATCAAATTTTCGAAAAATAAAAGAGGAATATTGTTGTGCGCAAAAGACTTATAGTACCACCAGGGTGGTAGCAAAAAACACGGCCTACAAGAAGACTAATGAAAACGACAAAAACCCGAACCCCTCGGAAATCGAACAGACTAAGGGCCAAAAAAATCAATATGAGTTGACAGTTGAATTTCGGCCAGAGCAAATAAAATTCAGCCTTTTGCAAAAAGTCAGTCTTCCTAATGTTCGCAGTGAGTGTGTGAAATCGTATTTTTTGTTTTCGTGCTCTAGTTTTGCGTCCTTTTTACATTACTCTTTACTGTTAAAAGTATTAATTCGTTTTATTTGTCTCTCTTGATCGCTGATTTTGCAGTATTTCTTCCACCTGTGGTTTGGCTGGTGAGAGGGTGGGAAATCTCCCAACTCCGCGGTGCGGTGCATTTCTGAAGCCACCACGCTCTGAGCCTGTTCCTCGTTCTCTCAGAATCGCATCCGTCTAGGTTTCATTCGCTATTCTTCGTCTCGGGGCACAAGCGAGAGATATGTGGTCAACTTCGTGTTCCACGTCTTACGCTCCACGTCTAATTTAGCTTTTGTCTAAATTATTTTTTGATTATTCGCTAAAGTCTTTTAAAATTGTCTTTCTGTGTATTTTTTATCTTTTTTCACTTTTTTGGAGAAATTTTTCCGTTAAAAATAATTAATTCGTCAACAAATACGTAAACGGAGTTTTAGACGGAGTTTTTTTCAAATGTTTGCAGTCGCTTTGTTTTTTATTTCTCTAAAATTTTTCTTGAATTGTTACGCAGCAACGACGAATCTTAAGTGTGCAGGTAATTGCACCTACTTTTCTTTATTTTTTAAGTCTTTTCGAAATTTTTTTAAGTGCAGATTTATTCTTTATTGAGTTGTGGAATTGTTCGGTGATTCGGTGGGGATGCGGTCGTAGAGAGCAGAAAAGTCTTGGATATGTATGTCGCGGAGTCAGATAACTAGCAAGTGACAAGTGCTAAAGGCCAAACTCATGTATAACCTTTTTGTAACAATTTCATGAGGTGTTAATCCCTAAAATGAGTTTTTTTCCAGCTTGTATATTTTTAATGAATGAATTGGAGAGAGCAATCGGCGATATTGGAATGAAAATGACAATTGAAACAGGAAGTTACCGAGTCGATCCAAGTGGTAATCAAAACCGCCTTAATCGAGTAATTTTTATTATTTTAGTATTATTTTCTGTTTTATATTTATATTTCTCACTTGTATTTAAGGATCAACCTCAGCCTCTACCGGAGGCCTGGGAAATTGAGAGTTCTAAGCAGTCCCCAGCAGTTCTTTTCTTCTGGATAGAACTGTTATTCTGGATAGAAGTGTTTGATCTTGTTCCTGGAATTTGATGAAGCCACTTTTCTAGTTCAGCGGTCGCAGTTCCAGATGCTCCAATTATCGCTGGGATTACGTTGGCCTTCACTTTCCCCATCTTTCTTTAGTTCCTCTTTCAGCCTCTGCTATTTCCATAACTTCTCATATTCCTTTTTTTTAACGTTCCCGTCTATCACCAGTGCTAATTTCTGATTCTACTACGACGATATCTGGTTGATTGGCCAGTATTTGTCTGCTTGGATGAAAAAGTCCCACAGAATTTTTACCTTATCATTTTTCACAATTTTCTGGGTAACCTCTACTCCTATGAGATCTAAGCTATATATATTGAGCAGCAGATATTCCTGTAAATGATGGCAACTGCTTGGTTAAGCCTTTTAATATATTTTGTGTCTGTTTGCGTTTTACATCCTATTACTATGTATTGGAATATTTTTAGGACATTTTTGCACAATCTGCATCTAGAATCTTGTTTAATGTGTCTATGTAATCAATACTTCAATAAATCCAATTTTTTCCAGTCATTGACAGGATTTCTGAATGTCAGCCATTCTCATCTGTCTGTCTATTGTAGCTAAGGAGGGTTTTGCTTTGCCATAATACTTCCTCTGCTTGGTTTTATTCCAGTTTCTATTGATGTTTCACGCATTCTCTCAACCGTTCATTCTTTGGTGCCACCTTGCTAATGTATTCGTGTATATGACTCGGGTTTCATTCAAACTAGATGGCTTTTATAGTCACTAAACTCCACCACCTTCTTTTCGGCAACTTCTAAGTGTTAGATTTGGAGTGGGAATTCCCATTCATTGTGAGTTTCCTGGTCTTCACATTAGCAACCCTTATATCTTCCTTTGTTCATCTGCTCCATACCTGTTGACTGGCTGAATGTACATATTTATGGCAAGGATTTTATTTTTCCCATTGAGCTGGTTCTTCAGAATTTGTCTTATTCTTTAGTGATATTTAGTCTTCTTTGCCTCCTCATCGTGATTACCATATGGCTTTGGGATATCAAAATATTTATAGCTATTTATAGCTATTCTGTTATATGTTATAATAGCAGGTCCAGCCCATCATTCATTATTACTTTCCCTCTCTTTAATACCATCCGGCCGCATTTCTCTAATCCGAATGACATCATAGTGCCCTCGCTGTAGGTTCTAGTTAGGTGAAGGAGCGAGTCAGTATCTCATTCACTTTTTGCACATAACTTGATCATTTAGAAAAGATGGCTGATAATAGTCCTGCTCTTGAATTTGTATCCGTATCCGCTTCTTGTGCTTACCTGATTGAGGAGATTTAATCTATGCTGCATAGGGGAAAATGCGTCATCTTAATATATGCTGTACTTGATAGCCACTTGTTAGTTTTCCACAATCCCATTAAATTCTCAATGAACATCTTTAGGGTTTTGATAACTTTATATAGAATCAGACATTCACAAAACAATGAATCTTTTCTATAGTTGCAAGCTGTGCACAGATTAATCTATCGGGATTTTAAGTCTTGACTAGAGCGACTGTCTCTATGAATTGCTGGTGTTTGGAGACTCCGATGTTGTTCTCCTTGTTTTTTTGAACTCAGATACTGGATCACATATGGAAGCCGAATACACCAATTCATTAATTTCTGTTATAGTGGCGGAATTGTTGCGAGGGTTGTGTTGGCATCTTCTATTGTATTATCTGGTGATGTATTATTAAGTCTCGGTTTTCGGTCTCGATGGTTAATTACACGTTTTTATTCATGATTTTCTGCTCCATGTTAACTGCTCTGTTTTGTAGTAGAGATATTGGCAGATAGTTTCCAGCTTCCCAGCTTCTTGCTTGCATATCTTTTCTTTCCTCTTTTTGAATTTTCTGAGTCTGGGTATAGCGCAGAATCTATCCATCTGAACTGAGGGAGCAGTTTCCTTTTGAAACACTGGACCACTAATTGTTTCTCATTTAGTTGAGAAGTAGGTCTTTTTTTCTATCCACAGTTCCTTTATACGTTTCATATACCATTAGGTCTACTATTATAGTTCCAGATTATCTTGTCTCGCCCATTTAGGTCCTGATAAACCTTTGTTCCATTAACCCTTTATTTCACGCTATGAAATATACTGCAATCGTTATGCCCCAAAAATAACGAGTACGAGTAAAAGCGAGACACAAACAACTGGCGCTTTCCAGTAACCTACTTATTAGATAACCTTGGTTCCTCAACACCCAGATTTTGTTATTCCGGGCCGGCATGACTGCGATATTCTCATATTAGAGGTGGGGCATATAAGTAATAAGAGGGTCTTTTCCAAAGAGCCCACCGTAAAGGTGAAGGCTTTGATTGCGATTCGAACCAAAACTTTATTCCATATTAGCTCTTCATAATCTTTCGCTATTATATTTTGCTACATATTTTTTTATTGCTATTTTTAAAAAACTATTTTTTATTAATTAATTTATTGCTGAGCCTCTTGAATTAATTTAACAATTTTATTAAGTATTATTTATTATTTTTTATTTCAAGATTCCATATGCTCGATCCGAAGCGCATATTCATGAATTACTTGAATATATTTGTGATAAAAGTAAAGAATATTCGATTGTCACTCATCCGATTACTGGCAAATCAGTTTACGTTCGTAAAGATTCTACTTCTCGTGTCGGTAGCGTTGATAAAACAGTTCTATCAAAACTTAATGCGGCGGTAAGTTTTAATTTTTGTTTTTCTTTTTCATTGTTTTTATATATTTTTTTAGCTAATGATTTAATTCAGTTTTTTTTGGAAAAAGTGAAGGAAAAAAAGAAGTTAAAATTTTCGTATGAAAAACTAAAATTTATTGAATTTGATCGTCAACACTTTTAAATAATTTTTACAGAATGATATAAATAACAATTTTTTTCTTTTTTTTATTTGAACTGGAAATTCCACGATTTTTGATTTTATTTTTTGTATAAAATCTTTTTCATTTGTATTAATTTTGATTTAGTGTAGTGATTTTTTGGATGATCACGAAGAAGAACTTGTGAATTTCATGAAAATTGTACAAAATGAACCAGTCAGAGAATTCTGCCATCGACGACTAAGTAAAATTATTTCGAAATTTAATTTATGTTGTTTCAAAATAATTAGTGGAAAAATTTAATTTAATTTAAAATTTTAATAATTTGATTCTGTTCGTTTTATTTTTTTCATAAAATTTAAATTTTATAGGTTTTTTTTGTTATTATTTTATTTTTCATTGTTTTAGATATTTGTACATCGGTAGATGTAACTCCTTTTCCTGATTTAATTAACGAATCAGCTCGACATTTCGATGAAAGCCATGAATTATAATTTGATTTTTGGTTGCAGAGGTTTATGCCATTTCGGTAGTTGTTATAAATATAATATTAAGGAAAAATAATTTTGTTATTTAATGGAGTGGTGAAATATTCACTGAAAAATTTTCATTTTGTAGATTTCGAATGAAAAAAGTTAGACGGAAATATTTAATTTCAACAGTCATTTTCTTTTCCCCTTTATTGATATTTTTTGTCACTTGTCACTGCTTGTCATTAGTCGTAATGGTCTATTTAAAAGATCTATTTCAAAATTTTATATTTATGTTAAAATTTCACTCCTTTTTCATATTACATATTTTTTCATGTTGTATGGATTTCCATATTACTTGTACTAATTTATGAAATGAAGTTTTAATTTTAATTTTATTCGTTTTGCGATGCTTTGTGAAGATGCTGTTTTATCTTTTAATATTCAAATATATTCAAAAATGCAATCTTAATTATTAGTATATTATAATAAATTCTTAATAGTTTGTTTTATTTTTAAATTTTGCTGTGTATTTCGATTGTTGCCTTAGCGATTATTAAAAATAAGAAGTTTCAGGTTATTAGGGTTTATTTTTAATTAAGTCTTCACGAATTCTGTTATGCTAATTAATTTTATTCCTGTGACACCAAAAATTTTTTTTGATTCATTTATCCTAAATTTTTATCTTTCTGCCTGTACCTAACATAAATTTATTTTATAAAATGCTAAAAATACTACTTTTTGTGTTTAAGAATAAGCTATATGATTAAGTTTTAATAAATCGTATTTATTAATGTAGATAAAGAGTTGCAACAAAACAAGGTTATTTAAATTCCGAGAAAATTCCATGAATATTCCATGAATATGGGAATATTCCATGAATATGGGAATAAATAGATCCTATTCTCAGTGGTGATAATGAAAATTACCGATAGTAGTCCTTTTATGAATGAAAATTTGAGCAATTAAAGTGGTAAAAGTTGTTTCAAATAGTAGAAGTTATTTTTTTTAGGTAATATGGGTGGCGACGAGGAAATATGCTCAATGGCGAGGACTCAACCGATTTGTACTTTGCAGGAATTGTTGCAATGGAATGAGAATGAGGTTTCAAGAGAGTTAATTGGTGAAAAATTGGAAAATTATAAGGGAAGACGCGGAAATCGAGAAACACTTCTATGTCATGATATGAGAGGTGGTTATCTTCCTGAGGAAAGGTTTATTTAGCTTTTTGATTCGCAATTAGGATTGCAAGTGGGTTAAAACCACGCGTACTTCACTTTAATGGCACATTTATTCCCGTGAGGCGTCAGGAATCCGTTCTGTCGTTGATTGGCTTTAGTTAAAGAAAAATGTAGTATTTGTCAGTTAAAGATATGATTATTAAATTATTAAAAAGTTTCAAAAATATTAAAAATCTGTGATGATTTAGAAAAGCTTAATTGAAGAATCGCCCTATAATTTTTTTTAATTATTCGATAATTTCTTAGAATTAATATAAATTTATTAAAGGATAGATAATTTAAATAGTTTCTTTCACAGATTGGAAGGTTGTGTTATAAACGAATTAACAAATCCCTATATATTTTTTCACTGGTGGTACATCGATATATTCGTATATTTTTCTCATAATTTCATTACAATTCCAACTGTCGGATGGATTAATCAAGCACATCAGCATGGTGTTTTAATTTTGGGTTTCTTTCTATTTATTTGTTAAATAATCATTTATTAATTATTTATTATATTATCGAAATATTTTGTACACTTATTTGGCTTTATGAATGAGTTGCTTAGCATTTATTCATGCAATATAAGAAATTTATAATCGAATTTCCATTTTAAACGATTTATAAAACGAATTATTTGAAGGAAAAAAATTATAATAAATTGTTAACCTTAATCAGTTTTAAAGATTATTATAGCTCTAAGTGAGCAATTTTTGAAGGGACTTTTATCACTGAATGGAAAGATGGTGAAAAATTATGTGCGGAACTGTTCGATGTTGAAACCGTGGTAAATGTTGTAATGAATATGGTAAAAATAGCAAAAAAATATAATTTTGACGGTTGGCTTATCAATATTGAAAACAAAATCAAGGTAAAGAAGATTTTAACCAATATTTATATGAGAAATTTATGCTTGATTAATTTTATTAACTTTGTAACTATTCTTTTTCTCGGATGGTAATTAGGGAATTTATAGTAATTGATTAATTAAACTTAGAAGATGAAGAAGAAAAAACTTCTCATATTTATCACTCAGATTTTGATTTAAAAGTTATTTCAACCAAATGAATTTATAGATATAAAACCACATTTACTGTTTCTAAATTATTTATTTATTTATTTACTGTTTCCAAATGATTTAATTCTTTAGGAGGATTGTCTAGAATCATTGGCTCTATTTTTACAATTACTTACTGATGAAATGCGGTTTGCGATTGGTGAACGAAGTCGAGTTATTTGGTATGATTCGGTGACTGTTAATGGGGAATTAAAATGGCAAAATGATTTGAATAATAACAATTTGTTCGTTTTTGGCTATTTTTATTTTTATTTTTATAATTCATTTTGCGATCAATTCAGATTTTTTCAAAAAATTTTTTTATAGAAATTCATACTTTTTTTTATAGCTATGAAGAATTTTTGTTTTTTTATTTTAGACGATGGTTTAATTTGACAAATGGTATATTTTTGAATTATGCATGGGAAAAAGGCAATTTAAAAAATATTGCAAGTCGAGCAAAGCAAAGAATCAATGATGTTTATGTTGGAGTTGATTGCTTTGGAAGAGGATGCCATGGTCTTTTATTGCTATCAATTTGTAATTACTATTACGATAATTTTACCTAATAATGGAATATGCGTCAGGAGGAGGTGGATGGAATTGTTATGAAGCATTTGCTTGTGCTCGTGAAAATAATTTATCTGTTGCGCTGTTTGCTCCTGGATGGATAGCTGAGAATTTCCTTCATCGAGATATCATTATGAACTCATTGAGGTCAATTTTTCATTTTTTAATAAAAATCTATATTATAACCAAATTGTACTGCATATGTTATAATAAACAAAATAAATTCAATTAACTGAAAATTAATCAGTTCCAGTATTTTTTTTGGAAATTGACTGTAAGTTTATAATTTTTACATATTTCAAAATTTTACCAGATTCTGGGATCGATTGGCTTCACTTGTTTCCTCACATCCTGTCATTACCTTACCTGTTCATACAAAATTCTCTGTCGGATTATTTTCCGATAACGATAAAACGGTTAGTTTCTATGAGCATTATCTATCATTAATTTCGTTAATTATAAAATTCTCATTCATTTAAATAATATTTCAGCGTTTCAAACGAATATCAGGCGAACTTCAACCTTTTTATCTCGCTAGTGGGTTTTTCCCTCAGTCTGGAGCTGCCAGTTTAATTCTGCCTGGCCCTGGTTTGCACAAGTTGACATTTTGATATTTAAATTTTATCAATTTTACTATTACGATTTTCAGCTCAGCTTCATGATAAATTTTTGTAAATTTCAGAATATTCGAGTTCGATCTTTTACTACAATTTGATATTGAAGTGAAAATTGTTTCCGATGGCCCCGTAAAGCTGGTAATTTGGTTTGACGACAAACCACCAAAGATTATTGATAATGATACTAATAATTTGTTTAATTTTTGGATTGTAAAAGAAGAAAATAATCGTTTGTGTGGTTTGGGCTGTCAAACGCAAGAATGCGTGATAATGAATGAAATAGAAGTGACAAAACATATTTCGAAAGCAGTTTGAAAGATTTCACTCTGAATCTCTCAAACTTTTACAATCTATTTCAAAATAGAATTAAACTCATCTTTTTTCTGTCTCTTTTATCTTCTGTTTAATAAACAGCATAGAAAAATAATGGAATATGATTAATTAATGAATAATTAAAAAATGCTAATTTTTTCGCAAACATTTTTAAAATAGAATGAGTTATTTATTATCCACTCAAGAAAAAATATAAATAAATAAATATTAAAAATAAAAATAAGAATATTAAGAATAAAAGGAGAATAAAGAAGAAAAAAAAATATGAAGAACAAAACATTTTGCTTTAGCCGAAAAATAAAATATCTGAAATCTTTATAAATTAACGAAATACTTTGTAAAGTTTGGTTAGCCTTGGATTTGGCTTTTTATAAAAGTATTCAGAGAAAAATCTATTATATACAAAGAATAAGCGATTTTCGAATTAATACATTTCTAAAGTATTTTATAAATAATTTTAAACTTTTTAAAAGTAGTAATATTCACAGTCTATGAGCTACAATTTTAAGAATTTTAAGAAAATTTTCCAGGACTTTCGGATGCAATGGAAATAAGTATCATATTTTAAATCAATAATTAATTGAATGAAAATCCAATTTCTGCTACGTAGACGGATGGAAATCCCATCAAGATGAGTCGTGAACTGTATGAGAAAAGAAAGGAGCAGTGTCCCTTAAAAAATTCTAAATTAGTTTTTTCCATTGCATATGTTGAAAAAAAAATTGATGTCGAAGAAAATAGACCTATGTTTTAAAAAATAAGAGAAAAAAGAAATTTTCCTCATATTTAAAAGTTAAATAAATACCAATAATTCAAAAATTGGATTTAAAATATTCATTCTTATCCTGAACCATTTGGATTTAAAATCATGATTCATGTAAAAATTAAATTTTCAGCGATATCATTTAATATTACCACTGCACTTTATCAATTACCTGCTAAGAAGTGTATGGCACACCTGGCACACTTTAGCCAAACGACGATGTGGTCCACTTGGAACTGTGAATGTGAGACAAGCCGAACAGAAAATTTTACCGCAATGCTGGCAATGTAGTTTAGAACGACTTTTTGTGAATATGCTTTGGCAATGATTGCAAGCAAAAACGTCTTCATCGAACTGCCATCGGACTTCCTGACAAATTTATAAAATGATCATTAAAACTTGAAAATTATGATTAGGTTAAAGATGCAAGAAAACTCAAAAAAAATTTCAATAACCATATTCTGACTATTTTTTACAACTAAATACACAAATGAATTGAATTAATAAAATTTTGAAAAAATAATATTACTAGAAATTTAAATAAGAAAATATTTTAAAAAAAAATAAAAAGTCAAGTACTAATAAATACCTGCTCTGCTTGGCGAATTTTTTCCAATTCGATTTGTAAATTTTGCGACAATTTTACGAAATCTTTCTGTACCGCTTCCGAAGTATCTAATTCTTGTTGTAAAGCGGTACACCTAAAACTTTAATAAATAAAAAAAGTCAGATCGCTCAGAATTATAGAAATTAGTGAAAACCTCTGTTTATATGAAGCAAGCGTTATTTCAAGTTCGCTTCTATCTTTTTGCATCGATTTAATTTGTTTTTCTAAATCCTCAATAAAGGAACGATAATCCCCCATTCGCCTTTCCATCTCTTCGGCTTTTTCAGATACATTATGCAGTGAACTTAACTGAAAATATAGAATAAAAATAGGATATTTAAATCGACATTTAAAATATGTTGAAAATTAAAAAAGAATTCATTTTTTTTTTGTAGAATTAATTTTAAAAATTCAGCCTGATAATAGAACTAGAAGTACAAGTACCTGACTTCGAGCTAAACCCAATTCTTCACTTACGCCATTAACCTGATCAGTCAATGCTTGAGCTAGGCGATGTTTCGCAATCTCGTCCTCTTTTCTCTGAACTTGAAGCATTGTTACTTCATCCTTCAATTCCGTCTCCTACAATAATGATAATATAGGTTTGCGATTGTCAACTGCTAACGAATTATGTGCAAAAGGTTACTATGAAGTCACAAAACTGAAAAAGGGACTCAAAAGGAAATCAGCATTTTGCCTTATCAACAATTATTGTCAATTAATGCTGAAGTTGATAAGGCAGATCTCGTCAAATCAGAATGACGAGCTGAAATCTAGTGACATGTTAAATTAGCGAATAAGCAAAGGAAATTCAACTATTATATACATATATATTAAGACGATGGCACCCATAAAAGCAAACAAAAAAGTAAAGTTGTACAGGAACCAGTAGAATAAAAAAGCTTTTGATGTCTTCTCAGTGAAGGAAAAGCTCTGCGAGCACAGCCCAAGAAAAATGGAAACGGACCAATCCAAAAGCAATCTTTCCATTTCATCATTTGGCAATAGTAAGGCATTCAAAGAATAAAAATTTTGAAATATTGAAAAATAAAAAATAACTAACAGCTTTACCTATTGGAATGAGAAATTTTTTACTTTCCTATATGAATGTTATAGCAAAAAACAATACCAAACAAATTAAACAAATGAAGAATGAAAATTTAATTTAAAGAAAATAAAAAAAATTATTAAAATTAAAAATTAATAATTAAAAATTAAAAATAAAACAATAAATTTATTGAAAACAATAAAAACTAAAAAAAATCTAAAAAGCATAATGAAAAAATCTAAAAAGCATAAAGCAAATTCATGAACCCACAATGTGTTCTTTAATAGCGCGAGTTTCAATAAGTTCTTCTCGAAGCTGAAGGCAAAGAAATTGAAGTTGATCGATATCTTGAGGCAGTTCAATGGCTTGAGCTTGCATTTCCGAAGCACATTTCCTATTTACACCACATAACTTCTGAAAATAAAATGAAAATTTAAGCAGGTTCACTAATTATGATGAATAAGGATTTTAAAAAATAATATTAAATATTTATTATATATATATATATATATATAATTGCAAGTGATGAATTATTTCCATATATTATACCATATATTTGAAAAAATACGCAAAATAAAGTGAAAAATACCATATCATGAAAACGTCAATTTCAGCTGCGTCGATAATAATAAAATAAAAATTGAATTCCAGAACTAGCTTACCGAATATTTTTTACTCATTTTCTGCATTTCGCTATCCATGAATTTTAATTTTTCTTTTAAAGTCTGAAGCTTGCTCCTTTGAAGCTGATATAAACTTTCATATCTTAAATGAAACGAATATAAAGATCTTATATAAAGACAAATATGAAAAAAAAGTAAAAAAAATAAAAAACAATTATAATAAAACTTAAAGGCTTAAAAGAAAACCAAGAAAAAACATTTTTTGAATTCAACTTTGAACTGAAATTGAATCTAAAATGGGAACGAACTAATTTTCAACTAATTTTACATAAAAATAAAAATTATAATAAAAATAAAAATTAAATAATAAAATATCAGCAATTTTAAAATGAACTGAACATTAAGTAAAAATAAATAAGTAGATGCTTATTACTCACCATTCCTCAACAGAGGCTCCACTGTAGGATGAGAAATCTTTGTCAAAGAATAGAAATATATGTAGGTCCCTAGCACCACAACCCGGATTATTTAATGACAGGTTTACTATTCCAGTAGCAGAACCATAATCTAAGTAACAACCAACTGACTATTCTCCTCGAAGAAATAAAATTAATATAATTAATCTTTATTTTCTATATTTCAACTTCTCCAATCAAAAATTTTCATTTTCCATTCCAAAAATTTGAGTCGTAAAAAACTCATGAAAATTGGAAAAAATTTTTGATTAAGGTTTTAGACCAAAAAATACGGAACTTGAGATATTTTTAAAATAATAATCGATATAGATACCTTTCTTCTAATTTTGCTAAATTCTTTTGATTTTCTTCATTGACATCATCCATAATTTTCGTTTCCTTACCCGCTTCGCTGCTCAAACTGCTCATTTTCGTATCCAGTTCATTTCTGAATTGCCGCTCACCAGATAATTCAGTTTTATAGCGCTCAACAAGATGCTGTGCGGCTATTAATTGTTCTTTTAAATCTCTCTCGCCATCCTTGAATTTTATTTATAAATTTATAAAGAAAAAATCAACATTTAGAATAGCAAATTAAAATAAAAAAAATTCAACTTAAAAAATCTAAAATTATCAAAAATCAAAAAAAATTCAACTTAAAAAATCTAAAACTATCCAAATTTGCAAAGTATCGGAAGAAAAATTTTTGCAAAAAATTCATTTACAAAATATGAAAAAAAAATAAGGACCTGCAATTTAGTTAAAATCGATTCATAATTTCGACACATTTCACAAGAGAATTCATTTAGTGGTGACATTAATGAATCATGAATGGCATTATCATTATCATTAATTGCCTTCCCCATGGGAATTCTTACTGTACTATCATCCTGTATTGCCTTAGACTGAAAAAAAAAATTATTTGAGAAATAAAATGATCAATTGAAATCTATAAATTAAAAATCTTATTATTTTCTGTTTTAATCAAATTTCACAAAAATTTATAGTCTTTTCTACAGTTGGAAGAACAAGATTGCTGTCAAATTTGTTTGAAAAAATAACCTCAATCTGAGGCGATTTCTCAAATTCAATTATACCTCCTTTCGAAGGTTCTGCGTTTTCACTTGTAGAATTATGTATTGATTCCATCTTTTATAGTCATTTTCAAACTAAAATTAAAAGAACTTTATAATAACGTAGTAGATAAATTCAGCACTATCGCACCCATGCAAGATGATTCAGTAGAATCTCATGAAATGATACATACTTGAATGGTGAATAAAATCTGGACTAATAAAAATGACACTAAATAATAAGAAAGTGAAAGATGACTTCGTATGTCTCCAAATGGCGAAGATAATTACAAATATGAGCAGACTTTCATCCGCAACGTACCTGCTAAATATCTCTTTTCCAGTGAGAATATTGAGAAAATAAGAGTTGGAAAAAATGTTAGAACATATCACAGAAGTAAAGTAAAGTGCTTCATAAGTGAAAGATACAATAAAGGTGTTTTCTGTTTTGAGAGAATGGAAGATAAACTTGAATCTTGAATCTTCCTTCTGCCCATATCAAAACGAATATAAACACCAAAGAGACCACTTTTAGCCAGTTCAGGTTTATTCTGGGGAAAGGTAAGATGGAAGTGAGAGAGAAAAGGTGTGAGAAATGGGTTGGAGGTGTGGGGACTGTTGGGCAGGAACATTTTCGTCGTTTCTACTTTAGCCTTACCGAGTATTCATCTTTTATAGATTTATGTTATATGATTTCTTCTGTCCTTAGCCAAGTTTGAGGGTCTAACCTCTCGTAGTGAGATATGTGTAAAGAGAATGCTAGCCAGAGAATATATAGTGATTTTATCAATCAAAAAACACCCAGGCATAAAAATCCATACAGAAGTGGGGCTGATTCCCAAGAAATTTTAAGGGAAATGTAGTGAAACCACGAGATCTATCCAAGTTTTTTTCTATACATAGTGGATTATTTTTTCATTTCACAGTGCCAATACCAGATTTTTATCTTTGGCGGGAATAATTTTATTTTTCAAAAATCCATGCAAATCATCTGTAACGCCAGGTGATTCCCAGAAAAATCTGAACCAGAACAGTGAGCTAACCGCAAATGGCGATCCCTCCTACAACAAAAAATAAAAACGATTAACATCCCTCGTTCCGCAGGCTGCCAGTGCGGCCAGTGAGTCACTTGATGATGGAACTACACATGGGTTATCAAGGTTCTTAAGGTCTTCTCCTACGTCTCTCATCTCATTAACCTGACAACCTGGGTTACTAACCACTCGACTGCTCTTTCATCCACTAATTTGTTTTAAGTGAATAATTATTTACAATGAAGATTTTAAATTAAAAATAGTAAAGAATAAAACAAAAAATAGCAAGAAAAAGACGAACAAAGAAACAGAAAAAGCTAAATATGAACAAAGATGGAGACGAAGAGAAAATCAGACGAATTAGACGAATCGGTAACCTCAAAACTCCAAAAAATTTTCCGAATTTACTAAAACCTACAAATGAACGTCACCAAAGCAAAAAAACTGAAACAGTAAGGCTGAAATGATGACACCGTAATAGTAATATCGTTTCAAGATAAAATATTTCAAATATTCAGCAGACATTTGTCGACATTTATACTGATAATTCAGAATTTTATCTTTAGTTCTTCATTATAGGGAAATTAGTTCAAATTGTAATGGGAATTCTGTTTTTTTATAAAATATGAAAAGGGCTGAAAAAGCTTCGAAAAACATTTTGCCAGTTTCAAAATCTTTCGTTAATAATTTTACTTCCTTGATATAACTGATAAAGAACATTCGACTGCTTGTATTTTCAAAGGCTGTTTGGCAATTTGGAAAGTGCATTATTAATTTGCTGCTGAGCCTTGGATAATTTCCTTTGAAATGCTCACTCACATACGCGATCAGATGAAAAATTGCTCGAAATTCAGGAGACATCGAATCATCATAAGCGTTTTGGACTCTGAATGAGGAGTGAGGAAGGGCTGAAAGGCCTCGACCAAATGAACCTTTTAGTTTTCCGGGAAAGTTAAAAAAATTTGCAACATCTTGCTTCGGCTGAGCCACCGAACTTCAGACCGACTTCCACCAGAAAAACGTTGAACTGGCGGTAGCGGTGGCGTACGTGGACGCAAAAATTCATTGCGGCTTAAATGCCTACAGCATTATCGAATCTCATTCTCCTTCCTATTAAGTTCTATTGACGTATAATGAATGCAGTGATATTTCGTTATTTTTATTTGAATTTCTAGTTTTTTCATGTATTTGAAAAAAAAGATGCATTCTGTTTTCTTAATTCGCGTTATCCGAGAGGATAAAATGTGAATTGCATACGTCTTCACTCAAATATCGATTGCATTAATAGTACCGTCACACAGAGTCGGCTTCTTTGGTAAGGGTACGTTCTCCGCATTAATAGTGCCATCACACAGAGTCGGCTTCTTTGGTAAGGTTACGTTCGTGCACCACAAGAGTTGTCGCATATCTCGTTATTTGCTAAACCGTGTGATGGATGGCGTCAAAAGCGAGGTGGGTCAATCAAGACCTGTGTTGATACAGTAAGAAAAGATTTTGCACGTATAGGTGGACCAGCAATATATGGACTTAGACGATGGAAAAAAGAATGGCTTCTATTACTGTCGTGGATGGCATCAGACCGCGCCGCTTGGAAACGTCTTACCTTTGTAGCAGTTGGAACCAACCTAACCAGTAATGGTGAGATCTATTAGAAGAAGAAGAAGAATTAAACATTCTTTTATAAAATCAATGCCTTTAAAGGGTCTTGATACTGCAATTAACAGCGATATGCCCTAGTGATTCCGACGCATCAGAAAAAGTAGGGAAACAGCTTTTTGCTCTTAATTTTTTGAAATCTATATTTGCTTTCAAAATGGCGTTTCGGCTTTTGTATTCTTTTGGCACTTCTAGAACTTGCTTACAAAAGTTACAGAAAATTTTTTACTGCTTTTGGTAAAACAATATTTTTCATCCATTAACCGCAAAAAATTCTATATTCCTCCTCGGTTTTTTTGTTTCCTGCACAAAATATGAATAGTTTTTTCATAAAAAATAAATTTAATGGCAATGCAAGGAAAAAATTATTTCAATTTAAAAAATTAAAGGGTTAAACTAAAAAATTATACAGAAATTGAAACTAAACCCTTTTCCCAAAGGGTTAAAAATACGTAGTAGGTCGCAGAGGCTTTTAGGACTCGCTGCGTTTATGCATTACTTGTATTTGCAAAAATTTTTTATGAAACAGTTCATGAAAAACTATAAAGATTTAATTGACAGGGAATAAATATTAAAAATAATTAGTTGATTATTTTTATAAAAATTTAAGGTAAAAATATAAAAATTTATTAAGAGAATCAGAGACTCTACAGTTGATGGCTTCATATGGTGTAGCAGTGGCCAATGGTTTGTTTAAGTGTCGCTCATTTATTTTATCTTCTAGTAGCTCTCACCATCATTAACGACTAATGTAAAGAATCCCCCGATCCAATGCCTTCCTGGGAATAACTGAGGTTTCTCTTTTCTTGCAATTTCTAATTCCATATGTTGCTGATTTGCTGTGCGTTTAAAATCTTCCTTGATCGTATTAGTCCAAGACTCGATTGGTCTCTCACGCTTCTGATGCCCATTACAGAGTTGGATGTGTTAGAGACATAGGCTTATTGATAAGTAAATCAAGTCGATTCAGCATTATACAGAATTATTCATCATCCATCACTGTATGTAATTATTTTGCCTTGCAATAATTACGGTTTCAACCACATCACTCAACCACACAGCCATTAGACAAACTATCGTGTTGATAGAGCTCGGGCTCGGAAGAGGGCAGAATTAAACTTGCCATTCAAAAAATCCCAGTTCTGCTGGCGATCCATTTGTACTTCTATCGCCACGAATCTCTCTGTCAAAGATTTCTAGACCAACAGCTAGTGGAGCTAACCAGAAGTGGAGGGCGCTACTTTCGCTTCTAGCAAAATAGCAAAAACTAGTCTAATGAATACAAATAGAATTCTTAAGAATTTAAAATAATTGGGGAAATAATTAAGGAAATACTATTGAATTAACTGATGAAAAATTTTCCATTTCATTGTTATACACTATGGTAAATAATTGTAAAATCGCAGAAATCCTAACGAATTTAGAAATCTTCCATTTTATTGGATTTTTTATTCACTCGCTTACCATGGTTCTTGTAGAAAAATATTACGAAATAGAAAGAGCTATAAAGCGAAGATTAGATTCAAATTTAGAGATAGTAAGGAGTCGATGTTATTCATGGAATAATTTTATGAGAAATTCGGATTTAATATCGAAGTAATGTTTTGCTGATTTGGGCTTAAAAGCAATATCAACCGATGTCGACTGATATGGAGATCATCCTGAATCAGCAAATGATCTCCCTGGCCAAACTTTTTACTGCTAGTCAGTCATTCGAATGAACGAGGATGGCCAGCGTTGATCATTATTCACTTCTTAGGATCCGCTCCAAATACACATGGAGAGAACGGAGGTTGCGATTTTCACTGTGATATTCAATGGTGAAAGTAAAAATTTCAATTTCAAATTTCAAAAATTTCAATGCATCGGAAATTTTCATCACCTGAACGATTCATTTCATAATCATAAAGCCTACTAGGTGAATGAATCATTTCTTTCTTAGTGATTACCATGTCAAATGTGCAAGCATGATATTGCTTGATAAAAGAGTTCAATTACCAAAATGATGACCCATTTACAAAAATTTTTACTGTTCACAGTGACCATAGTTGGCACTAATAGAAAAAAAGAAGAGCCATGTTGCCATGTTGCTCGCCATGTTGCTTCGATTTAGGTGAAGAATGGTGAATTGTTTGGTGACGGCAAGCCTGGCCATTAAAGAGAAATCCGGACGATGCTATGACTTAAGCCTAAGCCATCAGTCTTCAACAATATTGAAAGTTAATTAACTACGAAAAACATTTACATTTGCTCCAATATAGAATATTTGAACGCTCCGAAAAGTGTTTATCCTCTATTTACAAATTTTTTTCTTAAAACTTTCTGTGAAAAATGCAATGCAATACATTAATTGAGCTTATTTCTTATTTCTCTTTTACCATTTCTC